GGGGTTCCGAGCAAAGTAGCACTGAAATTTTCAATGCCGGACTTGAATCAAACTGAAGTTTATAAATCAAACTGAAGTCAAGGTATACTTTGTGCTTTTTGCTCCTAAACACACCCTTTCTAACGCACTGTTGAATCATTCATCATTCCAGAACACTTCTTGAAGTTATGATTAGGTTTCGAGAAGAAAATGGACAATCAAGTGAACCAGAAAGGGGTAGTAATGTTTCAGTAGAGCACAAAGAACAACTTGTGAAGAGCCTAATCACTCAATTTCGGATTGATAAGTGAGATTTGCTTGGTTTGTGGTTCATCCATTGGCCCCATTGGTCCATTGCTCCAAGATCCATTGGCTACATAGCAAGATCCATTGGCTCCATTGCTCCAAGATCCATTGGCTACATAGCAAGATCCATTGGCTCCATTGCTCCAAGATCCATTGGCTACATAGCAAGATCCATTGGCTCCATTGCTCCAAGATCCATTGGCTACATAGCAAGATCCATTGGCTCCATTGCTCCAAGATCCATTGGCTACATAGCTAATTAAGTGCCATGTCAAAAAGTCTATAAATGAAGAATCAAAGATATTTGTTTACATCAGAAAATGTTTGTTTGTTTAGATTTCAGAGAGCTCAACCGCTCAAAGCAACTCAACTTTTGAGCAACTCAAAAGTTGAGTTGCTCAAAAGGTCAACCATCAACAATAAGATTCAAAACTTAAAACATAAATCACTGATCAATAATTAGTTACTGTGCTTGAAACTGTTCTAACTGTACCGGATTTTGTCACATGGAAGGGTCATTGTTTCCCTCTCAAACGTGCTTTTTTCATATCATTTTACTCTTTTTTTCCCTTATTCCTACAGTCATGAACCCTTTCTTCAAAAAGCCAAAAAAAAAAAATTAAGCCGATTATCCTTTCACCTTCTTGGGGTTCATATCATTATTTCTTTTTTTTTTCCTCCAAATTTTGAGAACTTCTGATAAACCTTGAAGAAAGCAAACCCGATTCTATTGAAAGTAACACTGAGAATTTCTATTTGCAAAATGAAAGCTATTTTTGTGGCTGGTTTTCTTGTGAGCTTGTGCTATTCAATGGTGAGTTTATAAAGTTATAGTATAATTAAATTGCAGATTTCAGCCAGCTGATATGGCTGAGGTTTTTGGCTTGAAACCGCATGAGTTGAACAACATTTGTGATTTGGGACGTGAGTGAAGATTTGGTATTAAGTAGAGTACGGTAGTTTACGGTGCTCTAGTAGAGTGCGGTAGTTTACGGTGCTCTAGTAGAGGGCGGTAGTTTACGATAGGTTACAGTAATCTTTGAAGTGTTCTCCTTTCACCAAACACAACTAAATTTCTTTACGTAAGAACATTAGACAACATATTGCTTGATTGTCTGCAATTTCAGCGTGCATCAACAACATGTGCCCAGCGGCAAAAGGCGTTCAATATTGGTGTTGCCCCTACAATTGGGAATGTTGCAGGGTTTAATTTGATTGATTTCAAAGTGATTTTCAAACAAAATTTAGACAATTCCGATGATAAGCGATGCGGCTCCAGGTGAGGTTTTTTTAAACAAATAACCATTCTGTCTAGCTTCCGACTTCTGAAAGCTTTAAAGTCTTGTTTTCTCTTTTAAAATCCAAACTTGATCAAATCTCTATGAATTTAAAAAGAATCAAAGTGTTTACTAGCTTTTTCAAATAGCACAAAACTCAATCAAAAGGAGAGCTTATCGTTAAACTGTAATTTCAGGCACTTGCATGGATCGCAGGAACTTTATGTCAGCTGAATCGGATTGTGCGGCGAAGAAACATTTATGCAATGATCCAAACTATGTCGAAATGATGCGCGTCGAGTGCCCAAAGAGTTGCGGATTTTGTTGAGCTCACAATCAGCAAAAGACTAATAAAGATTTTTTTTTCTTCGAGACTCGAGAATGACTCAAAGAATGGTTTCGATTTTGATTTGAGTGATGCAAAAAGTCAGCAAAAGTAGATTTTTGATTTATCTGCATCAGAAATCGACGTCATAACATTTTGAACACTTTGAGAATGACAAATTTTATGAGAAAATTTGTAAACAAAGTTCGTTTTAGGTACCGTATTTCTTCGAATAGAAGACCGGGTAAAGAGTATCATCGCGTACTCCTGCGTAGCAGCCCTTTTTAAAATTTCTTTTCTGCATAAAAGCTTTCAATCAAGTGCTATAGAGCTGGAAAATGGCTCAAAAATACCACATGAGCTAACAGATTTTTGAGCCATTTTCCAGCTCTATAGCACTTGATTGAAAGCTTTTATGCAGAAAAGAAATTTTAAAAAGGGCTGCTACGCAGGAGTACGCGATGATACTCTTTACGCGGTCTTCTATTCGAAGAAATACGCTATCTTTTTGATTTGATTGAGTTGACTTTTGGCTTCTGCCAAAAGTGCGTTTTCTAAAACGTGTCAATTTGTGAAGACTATCGTAATCCACAATTAAACTATCGTAAATTCACAACTCTATTTTTAAAACCTCTTTACGACATTGCAACCTCTGCAACAAAAATCTGTACATCTCCCTTTGTGAGCAATAAAAGATCGAGCAATAAAAGAACAATAAAAGAGCCGTCATTTTCAGACTGTACACACGAAAACAAATAACGTTAGCACCAGACAGAATCTCCCTTCATTTTTATTTCAAATCAAAAATTTTGCGCACTCACTTTTTATTTCTTCAGAGATTTTCGTTACTTTTTTGAATCGAGAAATTTATGCATTGCTTTTTGTTGAATCTTGTTTATGTCACTGCTTTGCGTTTCACTTGATTGATTAAAGCGTAAATGGCAGGCTTACAGTTAATGTGTAAATGGAAGGAAAAACAGCTTAAGGCCCGAATTTTCGTTGAAACTTTAAAAGATCAACCTTTTCTTTGCTTTGATCGGTAGATATGTGGTAGATATTGAAATCTTGCTCGCTTTCACCCAAGTACTCTCAAAATTGACCTATCTCCAGTTTGAAAATCGTTTCTTTTTTTTTCGTAAACTATCCAGAGTCAACTAGGATTACACCATTTTAGCTTTTTGTTAAATTCCACGAAACGTTTATGCCTTATTTTTTTCTCTTTAGATGACCACCCAAAATGGAACTCAAGATGCGGCGAGGCCAAAGCCCGAAGAGATGACGTCAAAGGATTACTACTTCGACTCGTACGCGCATTTTGGGATCCACGAGGAAATGTTGAAGGACGAGGTGCGCACGATAACCTACCGCAATTCGATCTACCACAACAAGCATCTCTTCAAGGATAAAGTCGTCATGGACGTTGGGAGTGGAACGGTTGGTTGTTTTTTCTGTTTGAGATAAACGTTGGAACTCGTAGTTATTTAAAAGTTCTCTGTTTAACTTTATGATTTTACTGTATAGGGTTGACAGCTAATTCTCTGTTTAAACGTTAACCTTGACCGCAGTTGCACTTTCACAATTAAAACGTTTATTGGGATCATCGTTATTAATCAAGGATAAGTTTAATTGATAAAATTAGGTAAATCCTTTTATACTTTATAAAGCTTATTGTGTTCTTTGTAGGGAATTCTCTCGATGTTTGCGGCAAAGGCTGGCGCGAAGAAAGTGTTCGCTGTGGAGTACTCAGCGATGGCCAAGCAATCACAACAGATCGTCAAGGATAATGGCTTGGATCACATTGTAGAGGTGATTCAATCGAAGCTCGAAGACATCACGGCTCTTCCCGGTGGCTATCAGAAAGTCGACATCATCATTTCGGAGGTAATATTTAAGCTGGCTATTATCGAACAACATTTATCCTTAGTGGATGGGCTATTGTCTCTTCTACGAGTCGATGTTGAACACAGTGTTGAAGGCTCGCGACACTTGGTTGGCGCCTGATGGAATGATCTTCCCGGACAAGGCAAAGCTTTACATCACAGCTATTGAGGATCGTCAGTACAAAGAGGACAAAATTCACTGGTGGGACAGGTGAGAATCTTAAATTTTGTTGTCCTAACATTTGCAACTTGTATGATTGCTTTTGTTTTAGCGTTTACGGCTTCAACATGTCAGCGATCAGAAAGGTGGCCATTCGCGAACCATTAGTTGATGTTGTGGACAATGCTCAAGTGAGTGTTGCTGCTGTTTGTTGTCTGATAAAGTTATCGACTTAATATAATGTATATTCCTTCAGGTGGTTGCCAACAACTACATGCTCAAGGAGATCGACTTGTACACGGTCAAGATTGAGGACCTTTCATGGAACAGTGACTTCATTCTTCGGGTCTCTAGAAACGACTATGTGCAAGCTCTCGTCACGTTCTTCACCATCGAATTCAGCAAATGTCACAAGAAGACTGGATTCAGCACAGGGCCCGATGTTCAATACACTCATTGGAAGCAAACCGTCTTCTATCTCTACGAGGCAATGACAGTGAAGCGAGGTGAGGAAATCATGGGACATTTCACGATGGCTCCAAATGCAAAGAATGAACGGGATCTCGACATGACGGTCAAAGTCGACTTCAAGGGAGAAGTGTGCGAGCTTCACGAGGAAAACAAATACACAATGCATTGATTTGTGTTTCTGATATCAATCTTTTAGTAATTTTCCCACTTTGAGTCTCTTGTTGATTTTCTTTTTGCTACGAGTAATTTGTGTGCCCCGTGAGCATTGTTGATTTGTCGTTGTTTTTGTTACCTTGGCATATTCTTTTTACTTTGATTTGCTTCCCTTAAAATTGTTACTATACAATAAATATTTTCAAATAACTTCTTTTCCATAATGTGGCAGTCAAGCCACTAGATACCTAAAATTTTGGAGCGATAAATTTGATCCCAAAAATGGGAAGAAATCATAACTTTTCCCACATTGAGTCATTCAGGGCTATTGGCGCTCCTCTTGAGGGTTTTGTGGGTGGGGAAAAGTTTTGACATTTTTGCGGTTTTAGTTTCTTTTGGCTTTCAAGGATTTGCAAAGCAAACGATAACTTCTTCTCAGACTCGTAATAATGTCTCGGAATCGAGGTCTCATCGACGCTCCGAACGACGACTATGGAGAGATGGCATCATCGGCGATTCCCTCAGTTTCCCTCCAATTGGAACACTTGCGAGAAACAGCGGATTTGGGAACAAGGATGACACAAAGCGGTTGGTTAGACTTTTGACTTATCTGATAACCTTTTCCAGTATCGCTTATCAAACTGACTTTAAAGACTGAAAAATCTGTTTTAGGAACTGTTGGGGTGTCGGGACTTGGTGATCGTTACTATGCACGTGGACGGGAATTCGAACTTTTGAAGACAGTACCGATCCCTTTGGAACTACAACAACAAATGCAGCGTGAGTGTAGTTATCAAAAGATTACTAAATCATATTCATATTTAGAAACACGAAGTCGCTTTGAGATGGGACTATTTCCTGAAATTGCCCGTGCCTGGGTGACGATCGATTGCGATATTTTTATGTGGAACTACGAAACAAAGTAAGCAGACGGGTTTAGACTGAATTATTGGTATTTAGTGATGATCTTGCTTACTTCGACGGAATTCAGAACACCATTGTGAAGATTTCACTAGCCAGGCCTAAAACTGGCGTCTTTCAGGTTGTTCTTTTGGAGTTTATTTGTAGAAAAGACATTTAGGCGCATGTTCATTGGGTGCTTGTAGTAGCGACGGTTCTTGATGTCCAACTTTTGGCGGTGACTGTTACAGGACGCGAAGTCTCGATCATCCCTGAAACCTTGTTCAAAGTAAGCTTTTTATCGATTGCAATTGTATTGATTCTTCATAATGCAAAACTCGTTTCTTATTTTAGGTTGACGTGGAAAATGCGCTTGTGAATGATATTGTGTCTACGGCTGCGGGAAGAATCTTTTTCACAGCGAATGAAAATCTTTTTGAACTTGAATATTACGTAAGTTCTCTGATGTTAAACTATGTAAATCATTGTTTAGGATAATGGATGGTTCAGGCGACATTGTAAGAAAGTAAATCGGTCCACTAATCTATTGCAATCGTTTATCCCTTTCCTTTCTCCCGTCACTGGTAGGATTTGCTTTGTTTTCCCACAAAAGTTGTTTTAGAAGAAATTCTTCAAGTTGTTGTCGACAATTCTCGTCATCTTTTGTTTGCGCTCACGAAAAGAAGCTCTCTTCAGGTAGTGTTCTTTCGTATCCACGTAAATTTTATATTCAGGTTTATGATCTTGGCGTGAAAGGAAATGCATGCACAAAAATCACCAATCTCACAAGTGGACAAATTATTGTTGGGTTTTTCCTTTTCAAAGCAAAAGTTTTTTAGCACGAAGCCTCAGCGATGTCTGGTGGACAGCATGATCCGAGCATGTTCTCAAATATTATTCGGATTATTCCATTATATGCGGAAAATTCCCATCAATTGAACTTGGTAAGTGGTTATTTCACTATTTGTAAGTCAGACTTCTTTAGCTTGCTGTAACGGCTCGAGGTGTTCGGCTGTATTTTTCGGTTTTGCCTAAACAAGCACAGCCACCACAAGGGCAGTATGTTGCACATTTGGTGAGTGTCATATCAATAACTTTTAATGGTTCCCAATTTAGTCTATGTCTCAAATGGAAGCACGCCCGATTTGTCTCCGAATCTGCCATATTCGATTTGCTCCTGGACTTTGTCCTACTTCAACGTATCGTGATCCCGCTGATGGTGCTTACATGTCTCAAGCGAGCAATTGTGAGCTTGTATTCTTTACTTTAAAGCAACAAATTTAGCCACTTGCATTCTTGCCACTCACCCTCAAGGACGGTTCATGCTGTTTGCAATCTCGGATTTGTACCATCCGGCTAGTAGAAGCTTTGTTGAAACCATTGTATGTTCAAAATAGTTTATCCATGTAAAAGAAAGTTTAGAGTGAATTCATGCTGAATGGACCTGTTTGGGCCATACACGTTCAATCAAAGCCGGTAAGCTGTTACAAAACAATAAATGAATATTTTGGATCTAGTTGTGTTCGTCAGAAGCTCCAATGGGCGACCTCATTCCGCCTGCTCAAACACATCCATTCTATCGAATGCACGCAAACGCACCCGAAGTCATTACAATCTTCACTAGTGAGGTATGTTTAAGTTTTGCTTTCATGATATTTCTTTTTCAGGGTTTGAGTCTCTACCAACAAAGGCCCCCAGTCCTTGCATTACGTGAGGCACTAACTGAGCATGGGTTTGAAGGCAGCGAAATCGAAGTTTTGTTGAAGGAAATGGGTCCAGTGAATGCGTTGGTGCTTGCATTGATGCTTCTTTCATCTGAGAAACCGGTTGATCAACAACATCATGATAAAGTTTGTGATATGAAAATACTAAAAATTGAGTATTCTTTTTAGGCATTGAGACTTTTCTACTCGCTCAAAGATGAGCCCGAAATGGTTGATGTGGATCAAGTGAGAGATTGGAATGACGCGAATGACTCTTTTCGAGACTGGAATGCCAGAATGCGATGTAAGTAGCTGGGATTTAGAGATTAGTCACATAGGATAAGGAGCTGATTGCATTTAGGCCGAATAATGTTTAATGCTTTCTAGCTCCATTGCGTTCATCAACCCCGTTTCACGAACGAACCATGGCCAGTCCGATGAATTTGAATGGTCACAGTCCGATAGGAACGCACGATTACTCATTCACTCATGGGAATTCCTTCTACCAATTCAGGCAATTTTACGAATTGATCATTCAACACTTTATTACGTTTAGACCTTCAAAGAGGCATGATGCCCTCTATGCATATTTTGCAAGACTTGTTGCTCCACTTTGGAGTCAGCCCATTGTGTTGGTGAACGATGGACGGGTATAGTTTAACCTTTTCGGTTAAGTATCTATAGTTTGCTATCTAGTTACATCCACTGGTTTCGGAAGCATCGTTGAATTGGCTATCTCATCAACTTCGTCTCTTTTTGGCTGCAATCGATGACAATAATCTAATCCCTCGACAACTGCCACCACAAGCCTCCGACTATACATCGCTCAACGCAAAGTTTAGTGGTGAGTTTTTGTGATAAACTTACATTCATTTGCTATTCATTTTAGCCGAAGCATATGCCCGCGAACGTTCTTCAATCCTCGCCTTGCATGCACTCATCATTCTCACGCTGGAAACGTTGGCATTGTGGGCAGTTGCTGTCGAGTACGGAATGCATCAAGTCTCAGCCAGTGTAGATTCAAACGTACGAATTTATAAATTGCTTTTGAATATGCTTATAATATAATTATAAATTTTTAGAGCCTGATGCTTTTATCTGGCCGCCGTTTGTCCGATTTGGTGACCGGAGATTCAAACTTAAATAACGATTTGATCAAAGGATTGATAAAGTTAGTGTATTGCTAGTTTTATTTCACATTTCATGACTTTCAGGTATTTCCTGGGTGACGAAGCGGGAACCCGCGACCTCTCGGATAGATTACGCAATGTTTGCCCAACTTTATACAGGTTTAAATTATAAACTCAGTGGTTAATAAGTCAATTTAGCAAAGAGGATGCACTAATCACAAATGCGACGGAAATGTTGGATAGAGCTTTACGGCAAGGACTCACATTGGAGTAAGTTTATGAGAAGAATGAGAAGGTGAATTTGATTTAGCTCCCAAAACATCGTCCGCACAGCCGTGCTTTACTTGAAACAATCTATAAACAAGGTGTCGCTACCGGTTGTGAGTCAACAACTTTCTCAACGTGAGTTATGAGCATAGTACTTCAACATCAAAATTTTAGTGCAAAGCTACGATGCAATTGTTGAGTTATGCTTGTTGAGAGCAAAGAAGGACGATCCAAAACAATTGGCGATTGCCGCATATCGAAATGGTGGTGTTGCTGAGGGAAACAAGGAAATGGCCGAAGCATCAAATCGACGAGAGAACTCTTACGCAGTCTTCAGACGATTGTTAGAGGATGTGGATGGAAAACTGGATGCGGTTAGCTTTAAGCCAAGTTTTTCCAAAAGCTATTTTAACAAATATTTTGAGTGAGATTCAATAGAAAACTTTAGCAAACGATTCGAGACCAAATCAGCAAATGCGTACTTGCTTCCGATGATGAACTTGCACATGCAGCGTTGTTTCGATGGATGTTACAGAATCATCAAGCAGAGAAGATCATTCAGGTTTTTAATAACAGAAATTTTTGAACTGATTCATTTTAGAGTAAGTCGCAATTCGTGGAACAATTTCTTCAACATGAGATCGGTCGTGGTGGAGGGCATAAATATTTGGACTTGCTTTGGCGGTTAACATCAATTTTTAAACTATTTTAAACTTTTCCACTTTAGTTTCTATGAGAAATCAAACACTTTCGACAAAGCGGCTAAGTTATTGGTGCGACTCGCGGATTGTACAACAATGTTTGTGTGTTACTTTAAACCATTTATTATAGTTTTTTCAGGCCAGAAATTACGTTGGATCAACGAATATCTTACTTGTCTCACGCGATTATGTGTGCCCAATCATCAACTGATTCAAAAATCAAGGAAAAAATCCAAGAAATGCGCGATAAGTTGGACGTCGCAAATGTTCAGCTGAGTGCACGGTGAGTAGAATAATTTGTAAATTCTACTAAAGAACTCCCTTTAGGCAAGCTCTCGCATCCATCGCCACACCACAATGCAGACAAGCCGTCAAGGAATTGGATAAATCACTTTTTGTACTACAGGTAATTCTTTTCAAGAATTTTCAAATTTTCATTTTATAGGACCTATGTGAGCGATACGTTCAACCATTCCAACTCCATCGTGTGATGCTAGCCGCATATCGATGTGCTGCCTACTATAAAGAAGACGATATACACCGAGTTTGGAATGACATCATTGATCAAGGTTAGTTTGTATATTATTGCATATTTAATTCTTAAGTTTAGAGTTCAATGGCCAACAAGATTGTGCCTTCCAAAATGTTTTATCGTGCATTGGTGATTTGGCCTTGTTGTACAAAGGTGGAAATTATTTCCCCGAAGGTAACTTTTCTTTAAATTGCTTAATTCTATTGCATTCAGAGTTCATTGTGCTCTTGTTGTTGGAAAAAACTCGAGATCGGCGCATGTCAGCAGATCTCTTTCCGCTTCTCCTCAAAAAGATGAAGATGCCGCTTGGCATTTTTCTCAAGTTTATCACGGAAGAGTTTCGGTTTGTTTCTTTGAAACTCTCCTATCTAATTTTAACTTTAGTTCTGATCGTATCTGGTCAACCAATTTGAAAGCTCTTCGTTTCTTTGTCGACTTGACGGATAAAATGGTGAACAAGTTTATCGATGAAGCACACTCATTGGAAGACAACAGAAAGTATGTTTTGATGGTGAATTAAAGAAATATTTTTTATTTAGACAAGCTGATTTGGATGCTTGCAAGACTCTTCTCGCACTAATCACTCTGACATTGAAGAAGCAGAACATTATTGAGGTAGAACTCGTTATAATCATCTATGTAACTGTTATTTCTTTAGATCGTGTCAGAATTGGACCAAATTGAGACTCTGAACGCTCGTCTGACTCATGGAAGATTCTAAGGGCGGCATTATATTTTTTCCCAATTCCAAGTTGTTATTCGTTGTTGTTGTTGTTAATTTATTGTCGCTCATCTGTTTGCGAAATATCCTAAGCCGTCTTTCAACCTTGTATTTCCTGCCCCATTTTCAAGTTGTTCTCTGAATGTTTTCCCTTGTATACCGGTTCTTCTTCCCAACTTGTCCCGAGTTACATCCATTCTTTAAGTTATGCTCATGTTTATTTTTGGTTTAGTTATTTCCGATTGATTTAAACACAAATTGGATCATTAAATTTGTCTGTTAATTCTAGGTTCTCATCAACTGTTATTGTGATCGGGCTTGCTCTCTTTTATAGGGTGAAATTTTCAAATTAACTTTTGTGTTTTTCTTCATCTCGTTGAGTAGTTCTCACATTTCTATTCGAGTGACCCTCTTTTCATCCATTATTCTCTCGGTTCATTATTAATTTAATTTGCATTATGTTTAGTGTTTTGTCAAAGTGTTCTCGGTATTTTTCAAAGTAAATGAAATTATTTTAGTAGGAGTTTGAAATACGCATGTAACAGCTGATCATAGACAGAGTTCCATAGAAGGCCTTTGATCTTGGGGATTATTGGCTTTTCGATTTCCATTTTCTGAACCATCCACAGAAGCCAATTTTAAAAAAACGCACCCGTGACTTTCTGTCGGCGCCTAATTGCGTAAATTTTTGTGCCATTCATTGCCGTTTACTTGGAAAGGAAATGAAATAAGAATGTTTGAATTGTGTGTGAATGATTGTTCGTTTTCACCAAGGAGACCATAATCATCAATTTTCGGGGTCCGATTTTTCCCGGCGACACGTCTGTCTAATTTGTGTCAGCAGGCAGCTAAATAGGGGTTTCGAGAGCTCACAAGTTGAAAGTCTGAAACATTTGGAAAACATGTTTTTTGCTTATTTGATTTGAGTTAGGTGGTATTTAAGCCACAGTTGTTGGTCAAGTATTTCGAGGAGTCGTTTGGAGTTTGCAATTCTCAATCAGCTTCTGTAGAAATTTCAAAATTGTACCCTTTTGAAACCTCATTTTGTACTCAAAAAACCACTTTCAGCAATCAGCAATGGCTCCCGGACAAGTTTATGTAGAGATCTTGCAAATAGTGTACTCGGCATTGATGGTCATCGGAACGATATCCGCTCTACTCTTTGCTTTTGTTTTGTTCTATGGATGGCCGAAATTTAGAGAGGTTTTTTGTTTTCGAAAAGTCATAGCAATTGAAGGGATATCGATCTAAACACTAAACTCTTTCCAGGCTCCATTCTATCAAATCGTTTGCTGTCTAACGATCACCGATTCTTTACATCTTCTTCTCCAATGGCTCATCGTTTATCCAAGCCTTTTCGGCCTTGTCCCAGAAGGATCTTTCCTCGATTGGCTACAAAATTCTGTTGTCGGTTCGTTTTTGGATCTTTTTTTTTTATGGATATAACGATTTCTAGGTCAGAATGGACTCGATTTCACCGATCAGGCTCTTTTCGTCTTTGTCACTTTGATCACTCTCAATCGTTTTGCGGTTTTCATCGCACAACCATTGCTCATTTTATTCACAAAGTCATGATTACTTAATACTGTAACTCTAGGTCTAAAAATTAGCTGAGCATGAAAGAAAGAACAAACGACTCTCCTCACCTTTTCGATTTCAAAACCAATCAACAAAGAAAGAGGAGATGGGAATTGAACCCTGAACTTCTGCTTTACAGGCAGATCTACTGAACCATGGGAGGATTAAAGAGCGCTAGAGGGCTTGGAGCGCTAGAGGGCTTGGAGCGCTAGAGGGCTTGGAGCGCTAGAGGGCTTGGAGCGCTAGAGGATTGAAGTAGAGGAAAAACAAAGTGTCTCCAAGTTCTTACAAAAGATTTCTAACTCCTTGAAGTTAGAACTCTAAATCTTTCTAATTCCTTGAAAGAGAAAGAAGGCAGAGGCAGAAAGAAGAGAGCAAACAGCAAACAATATTCAAAATATTGTACCTTTAATCCATTGCCTTTTCAGAAGAACAACCCCAATCACAATTCTTGTCTCACTTCTCCTTTTGATTCTACTCTGTTTTTTTCGTGAAAAGGCGCAAAGTGGAAAGCATTTTGATGAGACGCAAATGATGTTCTCTCATCAAACTCAAGAATCGACTGGGGGTAAGTGAAATCGGAAAGATATATACACAATTTTAGAGAACACTATCCAAACGGTGATGGCTGTTATTCAGTACACAATGCCAGCGGTGAATCTCGTTTGTTACGTGTTTATTTATCTCAAATTGAGGAAACAAAGGTGAATGAAATTTTTTCTAAACAAAAAGTGACTCAAAACGATCACTTTTCAGATCTGAGAGCATCAGCGCGTCAAAGAGCTCCGATCGGGGACTTTTGATTCAAGCTTTCATTGAATCCTGCTTACTTGAGGTAACAATTTAGTCAAATCAAAATTTAGTCAGTAAAATGAACGAATTTCCATAGATTAATGCATGTTAACAGTTTTGTAATCAATAAATACCGGAACCTAGCCCTGGATTGGGCTTTAAACTCAAAACAAATAGCTTGAGCTTCCTAAAAAGCTTTCCCTAGGCGATTTAATGTAACTAGGGCTCTTTCATAAGCCTAAAACCTGGGCTTGATTTGTAAAATTGGTTCTATGAGTAGCACTGAACAATAACAGTGTTTTAGTTGATGCGTATCATCGATATGATCCCTCAACCAGCAGATGATCCAACGGGAATGTCACTGGTGAGCATGCTCATCAACACACTCAAGACGATTTCTTCAGGTAAAATGGTTAAAAGAAGTTCCTCTTCCTCTCTTCTTATGCCTTTTTTCACCCCAACCCAGCAAGCGCCTATAGCTCAGTGGCAAGTCACTCGGTTGGCGGCAGGGAGGTCGGGGGTTCGACTCCTCCTCTGGCATCTTCCTTTGCCAAGTTGTTTTTAAAAACCAAAACCAGAAAGGAATTTTTGATTCACAATTGAATAATGAAAGAATCAGCTATCAAAGCCAATCCAATTCTTCAACTCATTAATTTCAGTCGTAAATCACACATGCAATTCCCTCTTTTTCCTCACCACAAACAACACAGTGAAGGGTGTGCTCCGATCGCTGCCTTGCTTTCAAAAGTGAGTTTTGAAAAGCTTCCGAAATCAGAAATACCTTTTCATTTAGTTATACTTAGATTATAAAAGATTTTTCAGCTGTTCCCATCCATCAAAGCGACGTCCACCATCCGTTTCATCAGTGAATGTCAGCAAGATCACTCTCACTAGTAAACATAAAAACTCTGAAAATTCGTGAAATTTTATTCTGTAGATAATAAATAATCAAAATTGAATTGAAAATTTTTCAAATGCTGAACATTTTTTAAGAATTTTCAGTCTTTGAGAAGTTTCTAAAATCAAAAATGCATTCTTTCATGATTTGAGTGTGTTCTTCAACCCGTTTTCTAAAGAATGGACAATCGAAAGTATCAGCATAAACGAATCAAAAGCAGTTCATATGGTGTCTCTCTTCAATCACCAATTCAAACTCTCGCATTGTACTCAAAAGCAAAATCTACTCGTAAAGCTCAGCGGCTATAGGGCGTAGCGTAAAGCTTAGCGGGTATAGGGCTTAGCGTAAAGCTTAGCGGCTAGCGGCTAGTGAATACAAGAAGAATCAGTTGAAAGAAGCTATTTTAAAAGTTTGATAAAATTGCATAGCTCAAAGGTCTGCTGTTTAAGAGAATACGTGCATTCATAAGTGAAAAACCTAATAGAAAAGGATTACTTGTGAGTCAATTCAGAGATTCAGCTTTGGAAAAGCTCAAAAAGCCAAGAATAAACGAAGATAAGACATTAAAATGAAAAGTTTTATTGATAAAGTTCTTTAATAATTCTCTTTTTTTGTTTGTTTCCCGATTTTGCTATCTAAAAGTGCAAAATGGGGGGTTTTGGTTGTTTTTGTTTTCTTTTCTCTGAAGAGAACATTCGGGAAAACTCTTTTTTTTCGAATTTCGAATCTTTTGCAATGTTTTTGAAACTTTAAGTATTGATTATCCTTTTTGAAACTTTAAAAAACTTAATGGAAATAATGGAAATGGAAATGTTTAGTTTAAATCCAGAATGAATTTAAATCCAGAGTGCTTTCTGAATTGATTCTCATTTTTTATTTCCCGGTTTTGTAAAAATGAAACTTTTTCCTTGTTTACTAGAGCTCTACTAGAGCAGATAGCTGTCTTTTTTAGCTTTTCTGTTTAAACTCAGTTCCCTAACAACGAGCCACAAAAACATTTGGCCCCTGGATCATTCTCGGTCTAGAAAAGACTCTGAATCGCTTTCCTCCTTTCTCGAGCTTTCTCGAATCTTCCCTACTCTTTCTCTAGCTTTCATTCACTTTCTTTCTTCACCTTTCTCTAAATATCTTTCAGCTACATTTTGCCTCTATTTCCTTCATTGCCTGCGCTTCTTCTAGAATCCCTCTACTTTTCCTGTGCTCTTTCTCTAACCCTTCCCTTCCTACTCAGTCTTTCTTTGCAATGGCCTAACCTCTTCAACAATTCTCTACTCTTCCATCCTTTTCTCACTCTCTCACTCCCATTCTACTCCTTTCTTCCTCACTGTCTCATCTCCCCCTTTTCTCCTCTGCAGTTCTCCTTTTCTCTTCTCACCATCACTCTCTTCACCCCTCCCCTTCCCCTTTATCCAAACTCCTCCCCATCCACCCAGTCACCCTTTCCCAGCTCTTCTCTCCCCTTCTCTCCCCTTCTCTCCCTTCCCACCCCTTCTCTCCCTTCCCTCCCCTTCTCTCCCTTCCCCTGCCCTCCCTCCCCTTCTCTCCCTTCCCATCCCTTCTCTCCCTTCCCTCCCCTTCTCTCCCTTCCCTCCCCTTCCCTTCTCTCCCTTCCCCCTGCCCTCCCTCCCCTTCTCTCCCCTTCCCCTTCCCTTCTCTCCCCTTCCCCTCCCCTCCCTCCCCTTCTCTCCCTTCCCTCCCCTTCCCTTCTCTCCCTTCCCCTGCCCTCCCTCCCCTTCTCTCTCTTCCCTCCCCTTCTCCCCCTTCCCGCACCTTCTCGATCCATCTTGTTTTGTTGTTGTTTTCCCTATAAATACCCATCCCTCCCGGCTATGAACAACCTCGAGATTTTTCACAATTTACGAAACTCACAAGTCGTTCAGTCTACAAACAGCTATCAAGCTATCTTTCCATTGAACTCTCATCAGAATACAGGTTAGTGAACTTCAAGGATACCGTAGTACTTGAATTTTTTGATTCAGATAAGTTTTAAAGATTTAAAAATAGAAGCTATCTTTTAGAAGTGATACACAATGACGAAAGCGAACGCGATTGGAATCGATTTGGGGACCACGTACTCGTGTGTTGGAGTCTTTATGCATGGGAAAGTCGAGATTATCGCGAATGATCAAGGTAAGGAAACTGGAGATTGTTTATTATTCATTAGATAATAGATAATGATATTCAATGCTTCAGGGAATCGAACCACTCCCTCCTATGTGGCTTTCACGGACACAGAGCGTTTGATTGGCGATGCGGCGAATAATCAAGTGGCCATGAATCCGCATAATACTATTTTTGGTAAACTTTTATTTATAAGCTTTCAAATAACTATTAGTCAAGTGTATATAAATGTAAAATTTATCTAAAAAGATATCTAGAGGTAACTAGGTATCTTTTAGGATCTAGATGCTGATCTTTTTGGATCTAGATGTGATCTAGAAATAGATCCATCCATTCCAATCCTTCTAAATATTCGAAATCATCATTTTTAGATGCCAAACGATTAATCGGCCGAAAATACGATGACCAAGCCGTGCAATCTGACATGAAACATTGGCCATTCAAAGTCGTTAATGCTCCAGGAAACAAACCAAAGCTACAAGTTGAATATAAAGGAGAGAACAAGACATTCACACCTGAGGAGATCTCATCAATGGTCTTGATCAAGATGAAGGTAGAGAGATTCTTTTAGCTTTGAGAAAGTGATTCAACGCTTCAGGAGACAGCCGAAGCCTTTCTTGGTGAAACAGTGAAAGACGCGGTGATCACAGTGCCCGCTTATTTCAATGACTCTCAACGACAAGCCACAAAAGATGCGGGAGCGATCGCTGGCTTGAATGTCCTTCGAATTATCAATGAACCAACAGCTGCAGCTATTGCTTATGGTTTGGATAAGAAAGGACAACCTGAGAAAAATGTGCTCATCTTTGATTTGGGAGGTGAGTGAAGTTGAGAAAGTTTTATCAAAGTAATCAAAAATTCATTCCAGGTGGTACCTTTGATGTCTCGATTTTGGCTATTGATAATGGGATCTTTGAGGTGAAATCAACAGCTGGTGATACGCATCTAGGAGGAGAGGATTTCGACAATAGAATGGTCAACCATTTCGTCGCGGAATTTCAGAGGAAACACAAGAAAGATCTTTCGACGAATCCGAGAGCGCTAAGAAGATTGAGAACTGCTTGTGAAAGAGCAAAGAGGACATTGTCGTCATCGTCACAGGTGAATGATTGGAATGATTGGGTTGATTGGAATGATTGGAATGGTTGGATTGATTGGGATGATTGGATTGATTGGAATGATTAGATTGATTGGGATGATTGTATTGATTGGATTGATTGGAATGATTGGATTGATTGAGAAATCTCTGATTAACAATTTTAACTAAGCAGCTTTAGGCCTCAATCGAAATCGATTCACTTTTCGAGGGCGTCGACTTCTATACGAGTATCACGAGAGCGAGATTTGAAGAGCTGTGCTCTGATTTGTTCCGCTCAACAATGGATCCAGTAGAGAAAGCGCTTCGAGATGCGAAAATGGACAAGGCACAGGTGGGCGTTGAATTTAGCTTCAAGCTGTTTAATCTGAGGGTTTCTTAAACCAAATCCTCATCCAAACCAAACCAATAGCAATCAAATACTCGTTTTAGATCCACGATATTGTGCTTGTTGGTGGCTCGACGAGAATCCCGAAGATACAAAAGCTGCTATCGGATTTCTTCTCTGGGAAAGAGTTGAACAAATCGATCAACCCAGATGAAGCTGTTGCGTATGGAGCTGCTGTACAGGTGAGGAAAGCTTGAATCTTATAAAATCTAGCATTGAGCTGACTTTAGTTTTAGGATTTTAGCCTAAGCCTAAGCCTAAACTTTTCCAAACAGAATCCAGTAATTCCAGAACAGTAATTCCAGAATCCAAAAATTGCATTTCCAGGCTGCTATCCTCTCAGGAGACAAATCAGAAACCGTTCAAAGCCTTCTTCTCATCGATGTAACACCGCTTTCATTGGGAATTGAGACAGCTGGTGGGGTGATGACTTCGCTAATCAAGAGAAATGCGACTATCCCAACGAAAACCTCACAAGTCTTCACCACGTATGCGGACAATCAACCAGGAGTGCTCATTCAGGTACGGTAATAGTAGATAAAGAAAAAGTAGAGCGGAGAGTTCGATCTGTACTTTGTACTTTGTACTGCAGACACGCACACTTGAGGGTAGAATCATAGCTTAAACATAAGAATCTAGAAACCAAACGAAACGAAGAATCTAGAAACCAAACAAAGCCTCTCATTTCCAGGTCTATGAGGGTGAACGAGCGATGACGAGGGACAACAATCTTTTGGGGAAATTCGAGCTTTCTGGAATTCCGCCGGCTCCACGTGGTGTCCCGCAAATTGAAGTCGCTTTTGATATCGATGCAAATGGGATTCTCAATGTTTCCGCTCAAGATAAATCCACCGGAAAACAGAATAAGATCACGATTACGAATGATAAGGGGACGATTGAGCAAGGTGAGTGGTTGGGCTTCAAAAAACAATATAGTAGGATTACTTCTGAGTGGTTGTTCTTAAGGGTTACTGTAAGAGTGTCTAAGACTTTCACAGTACTTTTCAAACCAATTCGTTTTCAGGAAGATATCGACAGAATGGTGAACGATGCTGAGAAATATCGAGCCGATGATGAGAAGCAAAGAGATCGGATCTCGGCGAAGAATGGATTGGAATCATATGCGTTCAACATGAAGCAGACGATTGAAGATGAACAGGTGAGTCGAGAATGATAGTTGAAAGTTTAGGCAGACAACTTAGATATGAATCTCTCTTTTAGATGAAGAGCAAATTGTCGAATGAGGATCGGGAAAAGATTGAGACGAAATGCGGAGAAGTTCTCCGATGGTTGGACTCGAATCAGACAGCCGAGAAAGAGGAATTCGAGCATATGCAGAAAGAGCTAGAACAAGTGTGCAATCCGATCATCACACGCCTCTATCAGGTATGAACTAGAAGCTAGACACTAGTTCAAACAGACTAGTTCAAACTAGTTCAAACTAGTTTAAACTATTGTACTCCAGCATACTATAGAGAAAAAAGTACTCTTAAGTTCTTTACAGCATCCTAAACACAAGGTTTTTGATTTAAAACCAGTGAACAAAACTAGCAAAACTTGAACTTAAACCAAAGCTAAACAAATCATTTTCAGGGATCCGGTGGTGCTGGAGGAATGCCTGGAGGTGCACCGGGTGGCCCACGTGGAGGCGGGCAAGGACAAGGCCCGACAATTGAAGAAGTCGACTAAAATGGCTAAGATAAACTAATCGACTAACCAAACCAAAAACAAAGCCAAAAACAAAACCAAAAAATACCAAAAACTCGAAAAACCCTAAAAATTATAAAAATTATTACACAAAAAAAAAATTTCAAAACGCGAACTACCCACTCATTTTGTGCGCAGTGCTTTCCCCTTTGATCTTTGCTTGAAAATTTGTTTCTGTTTCATTCTACTTGCTTGTAAATAATTTGTGCTGTATATTTTGTTGTTAATTTGCGAATTGCTTTTGTTGCCAGCGATTCTTAGAATCAATACGAGTAGATCTTTAACATTTTTGTTCGTTTCTCTGCTTTGAAGCATTGTGTGAATTTTTTTGTTCGATAAATCTATTTTTAGCAAGTTTCTTATTCAAAAAAGCACTATACTTCATTAAACATCCGAATAAGTATCAAAAATTCAAAAATTTTTGGTACAGTTTTATTGAAAATCAAAAATCCTAACGACTTAACTTCTAAAAGCACCAAGCTTTTATTCTTTATTACTACTTAATGAATATTCAGTTAAGAAACTGAGTCTTCTTGTCTCGTTGTCTGGATATCTGAAACGATATAAATAACAAAATTTTTCAACAAAAATTTCATTTACTTAACGGAAACTGACATTAGTGTCTGCATTGAATTTAAAGTTTTTGAAATTAAAACCTATTAAGAATAGATTCTAGAATTTTTGAAGCCTTAGAGCTCTGACTCAATAACAAATTTTGTTGCACGGAACCTTTCTGGTACTGGTATTAATGATGGACTTGCTGATTTCCCCGATATTGCGCCAAGTTTATGATATTGCTGGTCGTAAACTTTTAGATTCAGATCTTACCACATCCCTTGCCTGTTTCCTTTTCTTGGAGTCTTCTTTTATCTTCGTTTTTCACGCATTTTGTCTTCTACTTTAGAATGACGAGTGCTGCTCTCCTCTACTACTACTCATTACATTTACAAGAGGGATTCCCGTTTTTGCCCGGAGGCCACGACGCAAGACGCCAGAAGATCATCGGAGCAATCGGAAAATCCATAGGAAAGCCTGGGATTAGTGTGAGTGTTTTGAAAATAATCTACTGACTTTGAGACTTTAGCAAAATGCAAATAAACAGTGTTTCGAATATAGCCTAAACCGTTATTAGAGCATTGATTCTGACTACTTGAAAGCTTTTTCCGGTTAATTGCTGAAGTGCCTCAGAGAGTTTCCCGGTTTAGCTAGATTCAGCTTGGTGTTTTGCCGCGTTTGCATGGTTTGAAAGCTTTCTTGTATCAAGTTAAATATTTTTAATTTTAGAGACTCTATCGCCTTCCGTTGGATTTTAACGCCGGTTTGACGAGCCTTCAATCAGTTGAAGAGGCTGCTCAAAATGGGAATGATTCAAGACACGACCTTGCTTTAATTGTTCTATTTCTCAACCAGTGCCTTGACATGAACGATGAACAGATCTCGGTTAGTAATTTTGAGATAATAGAAGCCACTGCAATTGTAAAGAGACAAATCTTTTTAGTCCTTCGTCCATAACGAATTGCCGCGGCTAAAGAAGAATGTAGAGACGATGTTCAAGACTATCCTCGATTTTGCGGCTTTATCGGATGGCGATCCTCATCTTTTCCTCACAGCTTTTCCGAAGGTTTTTTATAAGAAATGATTTTCACCTCTTGATTCAGGAGAAAAGAAATTGCCCGAAGCAAGCTGATGTTCACCCGACTCTATCGACACTCACACGAGATTCTTCGATGGTTGGACTCGAATCAGACAGCCGAGAAAGAGAAATTCGAGCACATGCAGAAGAAGTTGAAACAATTGAGCAGTCCGATCATCACACGACTCTATCAGGTATGGAAAGGAGTAATAGATAAGGCTAAATAGGAACATCATTGACTTCTTTTACGGTACAAAGCTGAATATCTTGCCTATGACTTGACTCAAAGTCTATTTTTAATTAATCTTACTGTATTTTAGTAGTACCGAAGGGTACTGTAAGGACCCAGGATTTTTTCACGGCATTAGACATAGCATCCAGTATAAACGCGCAAAAAGACTCCGTAAATATCTTTAAATTCTCCAAGCGGAACCCGATTTACTGTAGCATACTGTAATGAAACAAGAGGCTGAGACTTACAGCACCCCTTTATTTCTAACTAATGCATTACTTGACTTGACTTGACTGTACTGGTCCAGAAGCCAAAGTACTTAGCGATACTTATTTGAGCTAAAACTAGAACTAAATCAAACCACTGTACTCTAGTGTACTGTAATGAAACAAGAGACAGAATTACATTAACTTCACGCTTTACTAGTGCATTACTGAAAATAACTGATTTTCAGGGATCCGGCGGTTCTGGAGGAAGGCCAGGTGGTGCACCGGGTGCCCTGCGTGGAGGCGGACAAGGAGAAGGACAATTGAAGAAGTCGACCAAAATGACTAAAATAAGCTAATCGATCAACAAAAGCAAAAATCTCAAACTCTCGAAAAACCCTAAAAAAATTTTGTGTTATAAGTTTTATAAAAGAAAGCACTGCGCACAAAGTGGGTGGGTAGTTTTGCTTTCAAAATGTAAACTACCCACCCACTTTGTGCGCAGTGCTTTCTCTTTTGATGTTCCACTTAAAAATTCGACTTTTTTTGATGTGAGCTTGTAATTACTGTACATTTTGACCAATTGCTTTTATTGTCAGCAATTATTAGATTCAAGACGAGTAGATCATTAGTAGACATTTTTGTTCGTTTATCTGTTTTGAACCATTGTATTGTGTGAATTTTTTTGTGCGATAAATCAATTTTACAATTTTCTCATGCAAAACAACAACGCGTTAACGTTGGAATAAGTACCAAAAATTCCTAAAATCGTATCGAGAATCCTAACCCTAAAAAGCTTTACTTCTTTATTACCATTATAAATGGCAAAAATTTCATTGGCTCATTGGTCCAACAAAATTTTTTTACTTCACAGCCCATAAGCAGCCTATTGTTTTAGCAATAAAAAGTTAAGTTAAACTGTAATTTTCACAGAATAATGAGTGTTTGGCGTTCCTCTTGGAAAGAAGACTTATAGGCAAAACAACCAAAGTAATGCAATGCAGAGCGATCAATACTTTTTTTTTCAGCACTATGTAAATGTCAAAATGTTCTAAAATCAAGGGGGTGGGACAAATGCGACCTTTTTTGCGCACCTGGACATTTGCGCACCTTTTTTTTGCTGGAAAAGGCCTTAGGCAAGGCCGAAGAGCTTCGAAAATATTTCTACATAAGGGAATCGTATGCGTAGATTCCGAATTTCGACAAATCAGACCTCGCTGACACGTCAAATTTGGGCTAAAAGGCAAAAACTGCGGAAAAGTGTTAAGTTGCGTAGTTTTTGCCTTTTAGCCCAAATTTGACGTGTCAGCGAGGTCTGATTTGTCGAAATTCGGAATCTACGCATACGATTCCCTTCTATGTAGAAATTTTTTCGAAGCTCTACGGCCTTGCCTAAGGCCTTTTCCAGGGGTAGGCTAGTTTCCGCAACTTTTTTTTGCGCAACAGGGTTATTTGCGTAACTGGGTCATTTGCGCCAATGTCCACAAATGTCGCAAATGTCCGCAAAAAAAAGGTCGCATTTGTCCCACTCCCGAAAAGAGCAAGAATGGCTATTCAACAAACTATTCAAACCAACTGCATGCGAAAACTTTCCTTTCCTTTTCATTCTTGCCAAAATTCCAAATGGTTCATTCATTTTCAGAAATTTGCATATATGATATCACATACCTTTAACCAAATCTATCACCTTTTGCAAATACTCAATTCAAAATTCAAATATCAATCATTTTCTTCGTCAACCCGTCAAAATTTTATCCTATCAATGTCCCTTTCACAATATCGTCTCCCATTTAAATTTTATCTCTCTTCTGCGCTTTTTTTATAGCAAATAAAAGCAAAATTATTCGCCGAACACCATTCAGGAAAAAATTATTGCTCTAAACATGTCACACCGTAAAACATCATGTATAGGTTTCATTTCACGGCGTGCATTTAATTTACACCGTAAAGTAAAATTTAGTGCAAGAACTTTTTCGTACAGTTGCATTGAAAATCAAAAATCCTGACAGCTTAACCTCTAAAAGAACCAAGCTTTTGTTCTTTATTACTACTAAATGAAAGATTCAGTTAAGATACTGAATGTTCTTGTCTCGTTTGGAAACAATATAAATATCAAAATTTTCTAACAAAAATTTCATTTACTTAAAACCTACATTAGTGAGTGCAGTGATTTTAAAGTTTTTGACCAAAACCTTTCTGATAGTATGATTAATGATAGACTTGCTGATTTCTCCGATAGTGCGCCAAATTTCTGTTATTTCTGGTCGTTTTTCAGCCATTTTATCTTCTACTTTAGAATGACGGTGGCTGCTCTCCTCTACTACTCATCACATCTGCAAAAGGGATTCCCGTTTCTGCCCGGAGATCACGAAGCAAGACGACAGAAGATCATCGCAGCAGTCGGAAAACCAAGGGCAATGTCTCGGATTAGTGTGAGTGTTTTGAAAGTAACCTACCGACTTTGAAACTTTAGCAAAATGTGAATAACCAGTGTTTCGAATATAGCCTAAACCGTTACTAGAGCATTGATTCTGACTACTTGAAAGCTTTTTTCGTTTGCATAGTTTGAAAGCTTTCTTGTATCAAGTTAAATATGTTTAATTTTAGAAACTTGATCGCCTTCCGTTGGATTTCCACGCCGGTTTGACGAGTCTTCAATCGGTTGAAGAAGCTGCTCAAAATGGGGAGGATTCAAGGCACGACCTTGCTTCAATTATTCTATTTCTAAACCGGTGCCTTGGCATGAACGATGGACAAATCTCGGTTAGTAATTTTGAAATAATAGAAGCCACCGCAATTGTAAAGTGACAAATTTATACTTTAGTCTTTTTACACCAACGAATTTCCGGAGCTAAAGAAAAACGTGGAAGCAATGTTCAAGAAAATCATCGACTTTGTGGCTTTATCAGATGGCGATCCTCATCTTTTCCTCACAGCTTTTCCGGAGGTTGTTTTATAAGAAATGATTTTCACCGCTTTATTTAGGAGAGAAGAAATTGCCCAAAGCAAGCTGATGTTGCGCCAAAGGAGGTGTTTATTCTTGCAAACAATGATAAAGCCTAACTTTAGGCGGTTCAAAGTTCACCAATGACTTACGAGGACTTCGAAATTCTATCCGTTCTTGGCAAAGGATCTTTCTCAAAGGTTATTTTTCTTTTTTCAAGAAAGCTATTTCATTTAGGTTGTTCAAGCTGAGCACAAAGAAACGAAGAAGCTGTACGCGATCAAGATCATCAAAAGGAGCAATTCATTAAGAAAGAAGTAAGTTTGAAAAACATCCTTGTTTTAACAAACACATACATTCTTGTCCAGGACCCTGCCTTGATTCAAACTGAGAAAAGCATCTTCGCAATTTGCACAAATCATCCCTTCCTCGTTGGACTCCATTATTCATTTCAGGTTTTTACATTTTGATTTGTACATGCATAAAGTTTAGACTGATTCTCGTCTCTTTTTTGTGATCGACTATGTATCCGGCGGTGATCTACAATATCTAGTGCGTTGGATGAGGAAAATTCCCGATAACTTTGCATGGTTTGTAATGGTTATGTCTACGTTTCTCAAAGTTTTTTAGTTTTTACGCTGCTGAGATCTCCGTTGCTTTGTACTTTCTTCACACACAGGGAATTATTCACAGGTTTCAAATTTTAAAAGTAATCATTTGAGTCTCTTTGATTTTAGGGACCTCAAGCTTCGCAATGTTTTCTTGAGTGCAGATGGGCATATCAAAGTTTCGGACTATGGTCTGAGCAAGGTAGCATTCAACTTGGACTTTTAAAAAATTATTTTAGGAAAAACTGGAAGACAACGAACTATCGGACACGTTGTGTGGAACGCCCTGCTATATGGCTCCAGAAATGCTAGGCGATGGATACAGTTATAGGTAGGTTTATTGCTAGTTGACAAGACGCTAATATTATTGTTTTCGCATTGATTGGTGGGCGCTCGGTGTGATGCTTTACGAGATGATGACGGGTGAGTTCATTGGCGATTCGATTGACGAGGACTTCAAGGAACTTGAGGAAGAGGTCATGTTTTGTCAGGTATTTGTTTAGATCTTATTTTTCAAAAACTGGTAATTCAGGGAATCGTTGAGCAAAAGCTCGGCCAACATTTTGATCTTCCACCCAGTGCGGTCGCCGCTCTTCATCGATTCTTGTGCTCGGCAAGCTTCTGTTTTGTTCAGCGTTATAAATCCTAATCTTAGGATCCAAAGAAACGCTTGGGTTGTGGCGAGGACATTCACGAAGGTTATCGACAACTGCAGAAACATCAATTTTTTAAGGAAATCGATTGGAAATTGGTTATGGCCTTTTAATCAAATCAAGTAAACGCATTTTAGTTGGAGAAATGCGAGATGACGCCTCCGTTCAAGCCGAAGATCAAGAATTCGCGTGACATTCGCTATTTCAATCCCAAATACACAAAGGTGATTCATTTAAAATATCTTTTGTTATATTTTGAAGGGCTTACGATCGAAAAATTTTTCAGCAACCTCCTCGTTTGACGATGGATAACCCGGCTACTATCGCGCAGATAAATCAGAACGACTTCCGTGGCTTCGAATTCACTGAACTGGAGCAAATGGAATCGTGAAGGAAGGAATCACAAGATCAAATACGATCTACTTATTTTGTTTCACTTCACAAGATGTGAATTTTTATTTCTTTGCATACGCGCTTCTTTGTATTTCATTAATTTGTTTACATTTACATAGTCGATTATTTGTTTGTTATTGCATAAAATGTTTTGTATGTTGCTATAAACGGTTATTTCACATTTTCTTTGATATACGCTAATTTGTTGATTTCTTGGTTGTTGAGTTACCGTACCCCCTCCCCCACCCAAGCTCCTTTGCTTTTTTTCCCTAATTTCTCTCTCCGTAAGGAGCAAGTAGTAAAAATTGAAGTGAACTACTTTGAAAATATGATTTCATCTCTGTTCCCTATTTCCTTTCGACGAATGTGAACTGTGGAATCAAAAACCAAAAATGCGTCTGTTGAATCGAGAGAATGAGTGAGAAAGAGCTAATTTTTGACTCGCCTGCACCCAGGGGAAGCCGGTTCTTTGGGAAATTCCCGATTTACAAAGGAGAGTGACAAACTCGAGATTTGGGGAGACCGGGCCCTTTGGGTTGCTTGTTTATTTTTTGATACCAACTTTGATACGCAACTGTGAGTCAAATAAAGGGATTGAGAAATCATGTTGCCATAAAAAGACTTTAGATCCATTTTTCACTGGTTGTGATTTTTTTGACGGATTTTCTCTATACACAGTTGAGAAAACTTTGGATGCGAAAATGATCATCAAAAAAACCAGAATGGTGGGTGATGGCTGGATTTTGCAGGATTTACAAGCATCCACCAAAGGAAAATCGTTCTCTTGCTTGCAAAATCCCCAATCAATAGCCCGGAGAAACTGCTCATTGAATTGTTTGTTCACTTTTTTTTTGATAAGATCAATCTAATTTCGTCAACTGTATGCACGAGCAGAAAACATGATCGTCAATCGTGAGCACTTAAACCAATCAAGGGCAAGACTTAGCAATTCATCTTAAAAGTTGTCATGTCAAAAGAAAACAAAACAAAAAAGCTTATTTTTTTCCTCGAAATGTCGACTAATTTGAAAAATAGAAAGAAATGGAGCCACTGTGGCTCGAATTGTTCACACATTCACCCGTCAACACCCAGCCAGGACAACTGCCTGGGAAAAAGATTCTTTTTTAGTATTTTTAAATTTAAATTTCCCAAAATTTCGAACTGTTTTCTTCCGGAAGCAAAACCCAAATAACCAGTGTTTCGAATATAGCCTAAACCGTTATTAGAGCATTGATTCTGACTACTTGAAAGCTTTTTCCTGATCGACTATGTCCCCGGCGGGGATCTAGCGTATCTAGTGCGTTGGAGGCGGAAAATTTCGGAGGACTAGGCATGGTTTGTAATGGTTATGTGTACATTTCACAAAATTGTTTTAGTTTTTGCACTGCTGAGATCTCCGTGGCTTTGTACTTTCTTCACACGCGTGGAATTATTCACAGGTTTCAGATTTTAAAAGTAATCATTTGAGGCCCTTTAATTTTAGGGATCTCAAGCTTCGCAATGTTTTGTTGGATGTAAATGGACATATTAAAGTTTCGGACTAAGCATGGTAACATTCAACTTGGACTATTTCTAAAATAGATTTAAGGAAAAACTGGAAGACAACCAACTATGGAACACTTTGTGTGGAACATCCTGCTACATGGCTTCAGAAATGCTAGGCGATGGATATAGTTATATGTAGGTTTATTGCTTTATAAAACACCAATATCATTTGATTTAGCATTGATTGGTGGGCGCTCGGTGTGTTGCTTTACGAGATGATGACGGGCGATATTGGAGGGGACATCACTTTTCTTCGCGAGCTGAACTTTGGGATAAGGTACAAGAAATATGACAGGAAATTTCGGTGTCATCTCTTCAGAAATTAATCGGAAGTATGCCGAGACGAAAGACAATGATTCAAGCTGCCGGAGGTCCGACAAAATATTAAATCAATTTTTTTTTTGTACCCGATCAAGACTTTTTTCCCCTCTATTCTTTGCAAAAAATTTTTATTTAATTTTTTTCTTTTAATAAAGCCATAAATATTCATTTGGTCTTTACATTTGAAAATGTTAAAAACTTTCTAGTATCTAAAACTTTTGAACTCATCAAAATCGAATGGATGAAAAGAAAAGTTATAGGCCAAACAACCAAAGTAATGCAGGGCGATACTTTTAGCACTGTAAATGTAAATGTAAATGTCAAAGTGTTCTAAAATCAAAAATAGCTTCCTTTCACATACCTTTAACCAAATCTATCATCTTTTGCAAGTACTCAATTCAAAATTCAAATATCAACCATTTTCTTATGAATCCGTCAAAAAATTTACCCTATTCCTTTCTCAATATTGTTTCCCATTTAAATTTGTGTCTATCTCTCTTCTGCGCTTTTTTTATAGCAAATAAAAGCAAATTTATTCACCGGACACTATTCAGGAAAAAATTATAGCTCTAAACATGTGACACCGTAAAGCATCATGGATTAAATTTTACTTTACGGTGTAAGCTCAAATCACTTCCAAACTTGACGTATTTTATTTCCGGCGCTTTTTTATAACAAATAAAAGCAAAATTATTCGCCGGACACCATTCAGGAAAAAAATTATAGCTCTAAACATGTCACACCGTAAAACATCATGTATAGGTTTCATTTCACGGCGTGCATTCAATTTATAGGTGACTATGACGGCAACCCTCATCTAAAAAACAAAACGGTACTTTTCCAATATCGGGGGAGCGAAAGGAAAATCGGGGGAACAAATTTTGCCCCCTCGAAAAATGCATTTCCGGGACTGTATTTTAACTGCAACGTTTTTTTTAAACTTTAACGACGTTGCGTTCTCCGACATTTTTTCTTCAAAGGAATTAGGGGGAATTTTAATTTTTTTTAAAAAAAAGATAGTTCTGGGTGGGTTTTTGTTTTTGGGGGGGGGGGGGAAGTTGGCAAAAAAGGAGAAAAAAATATTTTTTTGTGTGGGGGAAAAATAAAAAAAATTTTTTTATATAAGTATGGGGGTTGGGGGGGGGGGTGGGTTTTTTTTTGTTATTTTTTGGGTGGGTATGTATAATTGGGGGTTTTTTGTTTTTTTTTTTTTTTTTTTTTTTTTTTTTTTTTTTTTTTGATGGGAAAAAAAAAAAAAAAAAAAAAAAAAAAAAAAAAAAAAAAAAAAGGGAGGGGAGAAAAAAAGGGGAAGGGGTGGATGTTTTTTGGTGGGGGGTGTGGGTTTGGGGTGTTTTTTTTTTATGGAAAAAGGGGAGGAAGGGGGGGGTTTATTAAAAGATAAATAATATATATTTTTTTTATTTTTAAAAATAAAAATTTTATTTTTTTTTTTTTTTTTTTTTTTTATTTTTTTTGGGGGTTTTTTTTTTTTTGGGGGGGGGGTGTTTTTTTTTTTTTTTTTTTTAGTGGCTATCGGCAAGTAATTTTGCTTTAATTTGCCGTTAAAAAGAAATAAAATGCGTCAAGTTTGAAAGTGATTTGCGCTTACACCGTAAAGTGAAACCTATACATGATGCTTTACGGTGTTGCATGTTTTTTGGACTATAATTTTCTTCTGAAGAGCGTCCGGCAAACAATTTTGCTTTTATTTGTTATAAAAAAGCGCCGGAAATAAAATACGTCAAGTTTGGAAGTGATTTGAGCTTACACCGTAAAGTAAAATTTAGTGCAAGAACTTTTTGGTACAGTTGCATTGAAAATCAAAAATCCTGACAGCTTAACCTCTAAAAGAACCAAGCTTTTGTTCTTTATTACTACTAAATGAAAGATTCAGTTAAGATACTGAATGTTCTTGTCTCGTTTGGAAACAATATAAATAGCAAAATTTTCTAACAAAAATTTCATTTACTTAAAACTTACATTAGTGAGTGCAATGATTTTAAAGTTTTTTAACTTCTAACGTGTTAAGAATTGATCCTAGACTTTTTGGGCAAAGAGAATTTGCCGAAAAACAGGTTCTAACCTACTTTTATAACTTTTTAGTAATTTTAAATTTTACTTTAGCAACATCGAATAACAAGAAACAACAATAACAAAACTGTTGCTTGGTGTTGCGTACAAAAGAACTCCGTGAAACCTTAGAGGATCTGTTTTTCGGCTAATTGCCCTTATTCGAGTTCTTACTAAAAATGTTATTAATAAAGAAATTATCAAATTACTAATTGTTTCAGCATAATCAATAACCTATGGGTCAAGTTCCAGAGTGCCCCCCTCCCCCAACTACCCCAGTCTTCTTTTATGTTCGTTTTTCGCACATTTTATCTTCTACTTTAGAATGACGGTGGCTGCTCTCCTCTACTACTCATCACATCTGCAAAAGGGATTCCCGTTTCTGCCCGGAGATCACGAAGCAAGACGACAGAAGATCATCACAGCAATCGGAAAACCAAGGGCAATGTCTCGGATTAGTGTGAGTGTTTTGAAATTAATCTACCGACTTTGAAACTTTAGCAAAATGTAAATAACCAGTGTTTCGAATATAGCCTAAACCGTTATTAGAGCATTGATTCTGACTACTTGAAAGCTTTTTTCTTTTGCATAGTTTGGAAGCTTTCTTGTATCAATTTAAATATTTTTAATTTTAGAAACTTGATCACCTTCCGTTGGATTTCCACGCCGGTTTGACGAGCCTTCAATCGGTTGAAGAAGCTGCTCAAAATGGAAAGGATTCAAGACACGACCTCGCTTTAATTGTTCTATTTCTCAGCCAGTGCCTTGACAGGAACGATGAACAGATCTCGGTTAGTAATTTTGAAATAATAGAAGCCACTGGAATTGTAAAGTGACAAATTTATGCTTTAGTCTTTTTACGTCAAAGAATTTCCGAAGCTAAAGAAAAACGTGGAAGCAATGTTCAAGAAAATCATCGACTTTGCGGCTTTATCAGATGGCGATCCTCATCTTTTCCTCACAGCTTTTCCGGAGGTTGTTTTATAAGAAATAATTTGGTACTTTGGTGGTTGAGAGGGCCCACTTTTATCCTGACTTCATTGGATTTAATTTTTAGAGTGGTTGTATTGATACCTTTTATCTATTCTAAGGTAATCAAAGATGCTTAATAGATTTGTGACTATTTTAGCAAGTTTTTGGCAAATCTAATCTAATCGCGCTCACTTTAACTACCAAAGCTACTTCGAAGCTGTTTTCCACTTGAGAATCAAATAATAGCGGCAATATAAAAATTGAAACATGTTGTATATGCTCTAAAAGTATAAGCATATTGGTTTAACCTAGAATAGGTAGATAAAAGATATCAATACAACCACTCAAAACATTAGACTCAACTAATTCAGGATAAAAGTGACCCCTCCCAACGACCAAAATACCAATAATTTGATTTGATTCAGGAGAGAAGAAGTTGCCCAAAGCAAGCTGATGTTGCGCCAAAGGTGGTGTTTATTTTTGGAAAGCATTGGTAAAGCCTAACTTTAGGCGGTTCAAAGTCCACCAATGACTTACGAGGACTTCGAAATTCTATCCGTTCTTGGCAAAGGATCTTTCTCGAAGGTTATTTTTCATTTTTTTTAAGAAAGCTATTTCATTTAGGTTGTTCAAGCTGAACACAAAGAAACGAAGAAGCTGTACGCGATCAAGATCATCAAAAAGGAGCAATTCATTGAAGAAGCAGTGAGTTTTAAAAACATCCTTGTTTTAGCAAACACATACATTCTTGTTCAGGATCCTGCGTGGATTCAAACTGAGAAAAGCATCTTCGCAATTTGCACAAATCATCCCTTCCTCGTTGGGCTCCATTATTCATTTCAGGTTTTTACATTTTGATTTGTACATGCATAAAGTTTAGACTGATTCTCGTCTCTTTTTTGTGATCGATTATGTATCCGGCGGTGATCTACAATATCTAGTGCGTTGGATGAGGAAAATTCCCGATAACTTTGCATGGTTTGTAATGGTTATGTCTACGTTTCTCAAAGTTGTTTTAGTTTTTACGCTGCTGAGATCTCCGTTGCTTTGTACTTTCTTCACACACAGGGAATTATTCACAGGTTTCAGATTTTAAAAGTAATCATTTGAGTCTCTTTGATTTTAGGGATCTCAAGCTTCGCAATGTTTTCTTGAATGCAGATGGGCATATCAAAGTTTCGGACTATGGTCTGAGCAAGGTAGCATTCAACTTGGACTTTTAAAAAATTATTTTGGGAAAAACTGGAAGACAACGAACTATCGGACACGTTGTGTGGAACGCCCTGCTATATGGCTCCAGAAATGCTAGGCGATGGATACAGTTATAGGTAGGTTTATTGCTAGTTGACAAGACGCTAATATTATTGTTTTCGCATTGATTGGTGGGCGCTCGGTGTGATGCTTTACGAGATGATGACGGGTGAGTTCATTGGCGATTCGATTGACGGGGAGTTCAAGAAATTTCGGGAAGAGGTCATGTTTTGTCAGGTATTTGTTTAGATCTTATTTTTCAAAAACTGAATTCAGGAAATCGTTGAGCAAAAGCTCGGCCAGCATTTTGATCTTCCACCCAATGCGGTCGCCGCTCTTCATCGATTCTTGTGCTCGGCAAGCTTCTGTTTTGTTCAACGTTATAAATCCTAATCTTAGGATCCAAAGAAACGCTTGGGTTGTGGCGAGGACATTCACGAAGGTTATCGACAACTGCAGAAACATCAATTTTTTAAGGAAATCGATTGGAAATTGGTTATGACCTTTTAATCAAATCAAGTAAACGCATTTTAGTTGGAGAAATGCGAGATGACGCCTCCTTTCAAGCCGAAGATCAAGAATTCCCGTGACATTCGCTACTTCAATCCCAAATACACAAAGGTGATTCATTTAAAATATCTTTTGTTATATTTTGAAGGGCTTACGATCGAAAAATTTTTCAGCAACCTCCTCGTTTGACGATGGATAACCCGGCTACTATCGCGCAGATAGATCAGAACGACTTCCGTGGCTTCGAATTCACTGAACTGGAGCAAATGGAATCGTGAAGGAAGGAATCACAAGATCAAATACGATCTACTTATTTTGTTTCACTTCACAAGATGTGAATTTTTATTTCTTTGCATACGCACTTCTTTGTATTTCATTAATTTGTTTACATTTACATAGTCGATTATTTGTTTGTTATTGCATAAAATGTTTTGTATGTTGCTATAAACGGTTATTTCACATTTTCTTTGATATACGGTAATTTGTTGATTTCTTGGTTGTTGAGTTACCGTACCCCCGCCCCCACCGAAGCTCCTTTGCTTTCTTTCCCTAATTTCTCTCTCCGTAAGGAGCAAGTAGTAAAAATTGAAGTGAACTACTTTGAAAATGATTTCATCTCTGTTCCCTATTTCCTTTCGACGAATGTGAACTGTTGATTCAAAAATCAAAGGGTCATCTGTATAGTCGAGAGAGAGAAAGAGCGAATTTTTGACTCGCCTGCACCCGGGGGAAGCCGGTTCTTTGGTTCGCTGGGAAATCCCCGATTCACAAAGGAGAGTGACAAACTCGAGATTTGGGGAGACTTTGGGTAGCTTTTTTACTTTTTGATACCAACTGTGAGTCAAATAAAGGGATTGAGAAATCGTGTGCCATAGAAAGACTTTAGATCCACTTTTCACTGGTTGTGATTTTTTTGACGGATTTTCTCGATACACAGTTGAGGAAGCTTTGGGTGCGAAAATGATCATCAAAAAAAACCAGAATGGTGGTTGATGGCTGGATTTTGCAGGATTTACAAGCATCCACCAAAGGAAAATCGTTCTCTTGCTTGCAAAATCCCCAATCAATAGCCCAGAGAAACTGCTCATTGAATTGTTTGTTCACTTTTTTTTTTGATAAGATCAATCTAATTTCGTCAACTGTATGCACGAGCAGAAAACATGATCGTCAATCGTGAGCACTTAAACCAATCAAGGGCAAGACTTAGCAATTCATCTTAAAAGTTGTCATTTCAAAAGAAAACAAAACAAAAAAGCTTATTTTTTTCCTCGAAATGTCGACTAATTTGAAAAATAGAAAGAACTGGAGCCACTGTGGCTCGAATTGTTCACACATTCACCCGTCAACACCCAGCCAGGACAACTGCCTGGGAAAAAGATTCTTTTTTAGTATTTTTAAATTTTAATTTCCCAAAATTCCGAACCGTTTTCTTCCGGAACTTTGTGGCCAAAGCGGGTGACGCATATTCTGAAAAATAGCTGCTTTGCCATTGTTAATTCAGGTTTTATGCCAGTAAAACTTGCTGAAATTGCCTGTTCTCTTTCGATCTCGACATACTTCTATCTTCAGCGAGCCAAAAATGATTTGGTTCGATTTTGAATGCCGTCTTGTTACTTTTCATCGTATTGGATAAAATAGGTAGTCGTAGTCGTAGTCAGAAGTTGCCCATGTTGAAGTGTTTTTGTTTTCAAGTTTATTTCAAACGTAACAACTGAACTAAAAAGATATATTTGTTATCTCCAAACCTCTAAAGTGCTTGTGAAATATCTACACCGTTTATCGCAACATCCAAAGCATTTTATGCAATAACAAGCAAATGATCGACTGTGAATCGTAAACAAATTAGCATAATACAAAGAAGGTGTATGCAACGAAACAAAAATCAACACCTTGCGAAGTGAAACAAAATAAGTAGATAAGTAGCAATAAATACAAAATAAGTAATAAAAAATTTTTCTTTACCATTCAATTTGCTCCAGCTCCGCGAATTCAAAGCCACGAAAGTCGTTCTGATCTATCTGCGCTATAGTAGCCGGGTTGTCCATTGTCAAATCTAATGATTGCTGAAAAATTTATTGATCATAAAGCTCTTCGAAATATAACAAAGATATTTTAAATGAATCACCTTTGTGTATTTGGGATTGAAATAGCGAATGTCACGGGAATTCTTGATCTTCGGCTTGAAAGGAGGCGTCATCTCGCATTTCTCCAACTAAAATGCGTTTACTTGATTTGATTATAAAAGGCCATAACCAATTTCCAATCGATTCCCTTAAAGAATTGATGTTTCTGAAGTTGTCGATAACCTTCGTGAATGTCCTTGCCACAACCCAAGCGTTTCTTTGGATCCTAAGATTAGGATTTATAACGTTGAACAAAACAGAAGCTTACCGAGCACAAGAATCGATGAAGAGCGGCGACCGCATTGGGTGAAAGATCAAACTGCTGACCGAGCTTTTGCTTAACAATTTCCTGAATTACCAGTTTTTGAAAAATAAGACCTAAACAAATACCTGACAAAAGATGACCTTTTCCTTAAGTGTCTTGCACTCTCTATCAATCGAGCCGCCAATGAATTCACCCGTCATCATCTCGTAAAGCATCACACCGAGCGCCCACCAATCAATGCGAAAACGATAATATTAGCGTTTTATCAACTAGCAATAAACCTACCTATAACTGTATCCATCGCCTAGCATTTCTGGAGCCATGTAGCAGGACGTTCCACACAAAGTGTTCGATAGTTGGTTGTCTTTCAGTTTTTCCTAAAATCTATTTCAGAAATAGCCCAAGTCGAATGCTACCTTGCTCAGTCCAAAGTCCGAAACTTTAATATGTCCATTTGCATCCAACAAAACATTGCGAAGCTTGAGATCCCTAAAAGTCAAAGAGACTCAAATGATTACTTTTAAAATCTGAAACCTGTGAATAATTCCTTGTGTGTGAAGAAAGTACAAAGCAACGGAGACCTCAGCAGCGCAAAAACTAAAACAACTTTGAGAAACGTAGACATAACCATTACAAACCATGCCCAGTCCTCGGGAATTTTCCTCATCCAACGCACTAGATACTCTAGATCCCCGCCGGGGACATAGTCGATCACAAAAAAGAGACGAGAATCAGTCTAAACTTTATGCATGTACAAATCAAAATGTAAAAACCTGAAATGAATAATGGAGCCCAACCAGGAACGGATGGTTTGTGCAAATTTCCAAGATGCTCTTCTCAGTTTGAATCCAGGAAGGGTTCTGAACAAGTATGTGTGTTCGTCAAATCAAGAATGTTTTAAAACTTACTTCTTTCTTAATGAATTGCTCCTTTTTGATGATCTTGATCGCGTACAGTTTCTTCGTTTCTTTGTGCTCAGCTTGAACAACCTAAATTGAATAGCTTTTTTGAAAAAAGAAAAATAACCTTCGAGAAAGATCCTTTGCCAAGAACGGATAGAATTTCGAAGTCCTCATAAGTCATTGGTGGACTTTGAACCGCCTAAAGTTAGGCCTTATCATTGCTTTCTAAAAATAAACACCTCCTTTGGCTCAACATCAGCTTGCTTCGGGCAACTTCTTCTCTCCTAAATCAAGCGGTGAAAATGATTTCTTATAAAAGAACTTTCGGAAAAGCTGTGAGGAAAAGATGAGGATCGCCATCTGATAAAGCCGCAAAGTCGATGATTTTCTTGAACATTGCTTCCACGTTTTTCTTTAGCTCCGGAAATTCGTTGGTGTAAAAAGACTAAAGTATAAATTTGTCACTTTACAATTGCGGTGGCTTCTATTATTTCAAAATTACTAACCGAGATTTGTCCATCGTTCATGCCAAGGCACCGGGTTAGAAATAGAATAATTGAAGCAAGATCGTGCCTTGAATCCTCCCCATTTTGAGCAGCTTCTTCAACCGATTGAAGACTCGTCAAACCGGCGTGGAAATCCAACGGAAGGCGATCAAGTTTCTAAAATTAAACATATTTAACTTGATACAAGAAAGCTTTCAAACTATGCAAACGAAAAAAGCTTTCAAGTAGTCAGAATCAATGCTCTAATAACGGTTTAGGCTATATTCGAAACACTGGTTATTCACATTTTGCTAAAGTTTCAAAGTCGGTAGGTTAATTTCAAAACACTCACACTAATCCGAGACATTGCCCTTGGTTTTCCGACTGCTGCGATGATCTTCTGTCGTCTTGCTTCGTGATCTCCGGGCAGAAACGGGAATCCCTTTTGCAGATGTGATGAGTAGTAGAGGAGAGCAGCCACGGTCATTCTAAAGTAGAAGATAAAATGTGTGAAAAACAAATATAAAAGAAGACTTCAAGAAAAGGAAACAGGCAAGGGGTGTAGTAATTTTTGAACCAATAAGTTTACGACCAGAAATAACAGAAATTTGGCGCAATATCGGGGAAATCTAAGATCAATTCTTAACAGGTTTTAATTTCAAAAACTTTAAAATCAACACACACTGCACATCAATGCACCAACATAAGTTTCTACGCCGTCAAGTAAATAAAATTTTTTTTGGAAGAGGGATTTTTTTTTGAAAAGGGGAAAAGAGGATTCTTTCCCTAAAAAAATTTTTTTTTTTATTAAAAAAAAAAAAAAAAAAGGTTTTTTGAGGTTAAGTTGTTACCGTAATAATGACCTGTAATAGTAGCGCCCCCGCCCCGTAAAGTCGTGTAGTCTAACTTTTTTCAGAAAATCTTTTTTCTCAGCCCCTAGCTTTTTCTCAACTACACTTTTGGTACCAAAAATACTAGATTTCAAGGGCTACCATTTGACACCCAAGCGCGTACTGTAGCATATAGCAGCGCGGAGAACGGAGCGTGTAAAGTTAGACTACGCGGCAATACCCCGTCATTATTAGAATGTGTTCCTCTCAAGAAATAGTGCAAAATAGGAAACGAGGGCATTTAAAAGAAACTGAATATCTTCTTATGGCTAAATGTCTTTAGAGTTCGCTGAATTTTCTCTTCAGCTATCTTATTGACTTTTTCTACCATAATATCTGTAATAGTAGCGCCCTCCGTACAGTCGCGTCTTCTTTTTAGGAAGTCATTTTTTACCCAACGATACTTTTGGTACCAAAAAATACTAGATTTCAAGGGCTACTATTTGACACTCAAGCGCGCACTGTAGCATATAGCAGCGCGGAGAACGGAGCGTGTAAAGTTAGACCACGCGGTAATACCCCGTCATTATGGTGATGGGGTGCTACTATTACAGGTATTACGGTTGAATTTTTGATTTTTTAATACAACTTTGGGAATTTTCTATAATTATTTGAATGTTTAATGAAGTACAGTGTTGTTTGAATAAGAAAAATTAATTTATCGCATAAGCAAATGCACACAATGGTTCAAAACAGGTAAACGAACAAGAATGATAAAGATCTACTCGGATTTAATCTAAGAATCACACTTGTTCCAGCTCCTTCTGTATGTTCTCGAATTCCTCTTTCTCGGCTTTCTGATTCGAGTTCAACCATCGAAGAACCTCACCGCATTTCGTCTCGATCTTCTACCGATCCTTGACAGTTTGCTCTTGATCTAAAAATGGTAGTCAGTATTTATTGGGGAATTTGCAAACGAATACAAGTTTCCAAATGGCTTTTCTACTCACCTGTTGATTCTCAATCGTCTGCTTCATGTTGAACGCATATGATTCCAATCCATTCTTCGCCGAGATTCGATCTCTTTGCTTTTCATCATCGGCTCGATATTTCTCAGCATCGATCACCATTCTGTCGATATCTTCCTGAAAACGAATTTGTTTGAAAAGTACTGTGAAAGTATTAAACACTCTTACAGTAACCCTTAAGAACAACCACTCAGAAGTAATCCTACTATATTTTTTTTGAAGCCCAATCACTCACTTTGCTCAATCGTCCCTTATCATTCGTAATCGTGATTTTATTTTGATAAAGCCAATCCCTTCAAAAAGTAAACAAGCACCCCAATGAGTCCGATCTCTCGAATTCGAATCCTAACTCTCGAATTCGTCACTCTTCTTTGTAAATCGGGATTTCTTCCGAAACTTTGTGGACAATGCGGGTGACGCATGTTCTGAAAAATAGCAGCTTTAGTATTGTTAATCCAGGGTTTATGCGAGAGGGGACGACAAGAAAAACCGTTGGCGCTGCGATAAAGTAAGAGCTTTGACCCCAACATTTTCAAAGTCGAAATTCTCATTTTTACTTTTCGACAACAGCAATGACAGCCCCACCCCTCAACCCCGACTATTCGAACATGTCGAGTTTTCATCAACGAATCTTCGGCTTGAATGGTCCAAGGGAGCCCACAAATACTCAGGTACACAAAATTATGGGATACATAGAGTTTAAAATAGGAATAGAAAGTGATAAAAGTTAGAAAAAGGGTTTTCGGTTGAGAACAGGCGATTTTAGCAAGTTTTTCTTAGATTAGATACATTTTAAAAGCTTTATCGATTGAGGAAAAGTATTCCTAGAAAGTTGATTTTAGCGGAGTCTAGAAATGTCTAGAAAGTTGATTTTAGCGGAGCCATGTTCCTCCGTCGTGCACACAGTAATATTTTCAGATTTTCCTTTTGCAAAACATTTCCTTATTCAGGAACGCCACATCGAAGATCTCGAAATGACGACATTTCGGGCTCTCCAAGCACAAGCCGACATGGAATATAAGTTGGAGGTGGCCGAGGCACAAAGAAAACGACTCGAGCAGCAGCAACGACAACAACAAAGGGAACAAAGAGTGGTTGGTATGATTTTGTGCTTTACCGTAGCTAAAGCCGTAGCTTTACCATAAGCTTTGAAAGTGTTTTCCTAAAACGCGCTCTTTTGGTGGTATGGTGGTTTCAATAAACAAAAAATATCTACAAGAATGTGCATAAAATGTGCTTAGAGCTTAGAGCGCGCTATTTTGTGCTTAGAGCGCAGAAAGGCGCAATGTAAATGAAGGCTTTCGAAGCGGAAACACAAAATTGACCTTTTTTGACCCGGCTTGTAGTAGATGATGAACAATTTTCAGTTCCAAACATCCACTCAACCCTTTCCACTACGTGGCACTTTCCTTGTCGATCGAATTGTGCGACAACCGGCCGTTAGAGGTATTCAAGCCGTAGCCGGAGGTATTCAAGTGCCGGTAGGGGCACTAAAAGATCCACTTTGTTTATCACTTCATTTATCATTACTTTTTCACTTAATTTTTCATGAAATAAGCATCTAAACTAATAAAGAAATGAATTTCAAATTGAATTTTTATATTTAGACAACTCCCCACCGGTGGACGAGTTTTGCTGCACTGGGAACACCCTCTTGAAACTTTTCCTTTTCATTGTCGGACTGTCAATGCTGGGCTTCGGCATTTTTCTTATCATTCATTTCTGTTTCTAAACTAAAAAAGAGCAAAAGAAAAGAGTTTCATCACTTAAATTATTTTTCTTTGTGTTAATAAAAAACTGCTGAAAAAATATTGAGATTTGTGCTTTTTCTTTTTTGTTAAATCTTCTAGTGATTCAAATTTTCGATTTCACCTATCAGTCAGTTCAACGGAAACATCAAAAGATAGAGAGAATTTCTATTTATGCGACACTAATCGAAGAGATTTTGGGCAGATGCTTTGTGAGACCGCAGACGAGATCCTTCCCCACAAGATCGTCCACTCGGGACCGTCCACAAGATCGGGACCACCACTCGATAATGTTTCATCGCCCACATCACCATCAAATCCACCGCCGAATGGGTGCAAAAGATGGAGATCATCGAGATGATGCCTGAACTAGCTTAGAGTAGATGGTGACTCTTTTGCCTAGGCTAGGCTTAGACCTGGGGCTTCAGTGAAGGGTAAGCATGGTCTGGATTGCCCCAAGTGCATTCTAGAAAACGATTTCTGCTCTAGAAAACGATTTCTGCTTTATTAAACGCAAAAAACATCTAGTATCTGTTCTTTAGCAAACAAAACCGTTTTCTGAAACACTGAAAGTGATAAAGAAAGCCAACGTAAAAACCAAACTTAATGTTGGAATGGTACTTTTATAACAATTTGAAATTTGACTCAAAGAACGAAACAGTTTTACTTGTATGACTTCTCAACTGACAACTGACATGTTTCCATTTCAAGTACAAAATGATTATGTTTGTCTACTTCGAGCTCGTCATCTTCATGTTGCCTGCGACAGTAGCTGGCACAGGCGATTTGGTTGAGTGGGACGTACACGTGCGATCAGACATTGGTGAGCATAATGAGGGACGGGTTGAAAGCGATTGCACAAAGATCAATGACGTATCCCAATGACATATTCCAATTTTGACATATTCCAATGACAATGGGTTTAGCTGTTTTTACAAGATTAATGCATTGAAATAATTTAACTGACCATTGTTGACCGGATTGGGCTTTTTCTGGTTTTATTTAGCCTTGGCTTGAACAAGAGTGGATTGGTCTAGCCTTGACTAGCTTAATTTGGTCGATTTGGTCTTTGACTTTGGTCCAATTAGTCCAATCCAACTTTGGTCCATTTGAACGATCACAAAGATACGTCAAAAAGCCAAACGTTTGAAAATCGAGTGGAATATGACACTGACAGGCATCAAACTCCGCTTGAAACTTGCAAGTAAGTGCATGAGTTGGGCGAGATCAAAGTTGCGTTAAAAGCCAAACGCCAAACAAAAAAATCGGGTTAATGTGGCTTTTAAACTCCCACACTGTACCCCGTTCAATTAACTTTGAGAATTAACTATTTACTCAAGGATTCACATCGATGGTTTCCCATGAATGATCTCTTTCATTCACTTATTTCGTTAAGCTCTTTCTCCAAGTGCCTTGACTGTGAGTCTTGACTGCAATCACTTTCTTCTAACTTTATTATCTTTCTGCCAAGTTTTTCCATGCACATTTATTAAACAGAAAGCGTTAAAACATTGATTCAATTAGCGACACACTCAAAGAGTCCTTCTGATGGGATAAACACGGGAGTATAGCCTGTTGGGCATTGGTTTCCGATTGCAGGGCCAATGATCATCTGAGGGTACTGAATCGATTATTATTAAAAGAATTGAAGCAAAGAACTCACAAGCCAGTCGACAACCGGACAACAGACTAATGGAACTTGTTTGGTTTTTCCCGGAACATTGCTGTGGCAAACGGAGCCAGGTTGACCTCCACATGGATCTCCTAATACATTTTTCCCCAAGCAAGCTCCGCGTTGAACGGAAACAGGGCAAGCTATCACCTAAAATAGTATTTCAATATCAAAAATAGTTACTAGTTATTAGATTTTTTTTGTATTATAGAAGAAACTGCGGGTTATTGTTTGAAGTTGGGGAGTTTTGGATAGATATTTTGAAACGATAAATGTATTGAGACGTTTTTTGCACTAACTAGCATTTGCTTTACTTGGCACTAGGAAGCTTTGCTTTATTTCAAAGATATCTATGATATGTTCTATCTACAATATTATAATAATATAGCTATTGTTTCGAAGGAAGCGGTGAAGCCCGCCGCTTGGCCGGTTCACTTGCTACACGGTCGCATTTTTTAAATAATATGGGGTTCTATTAGGATTATGGTACTAGAATTCAAGGGACAAGAATGGGGTTCTATTGGGATTACGGTAATAGATCTAAGGGACAGGAATGGGGTTCTACTAGGACATCTAATGGATCTAATGGACAGGAATGGGGTTCTACTAGGACATCTAATGGATCTAAGGGACAGGAATGGGGTTCTACTAGGACATCTAATGGATCTAATCGACAGGAATGGGGCTCTATTAGGATTACAGTAATAGATCTAAGGGACAGGAATGGGATTCTATTAGGATTACGGTAATAGATCTAATGGACAAGAATGGGGTTCTATTGGGATTACGGTAATAGATCTAATGAACGGGGAAGGGGTTCTATTAGGTCGCACTTAATATGATAATACCACTTGATGAAGAATCGAGAAGAGTAAAGCAGCAATTAAAAGAGATTTGCAGGAAAACATTTCGATTTGATGTGATTCAAAATAGTTTCTCGTATTTATAGCGTTCTTTTTTTCTCGACGATCTTTGAAATGCATTCCTGACACAGGTGTGCTATTTAATCTAAGCTAAAACGAAAAAAAAGCAATAAAGTCAAATAGAAAAACTGAAAGGTCAGAAGAGGCAATATGGGATGACTTTTTGAGAAGAATCGTTATTTTATTGTGAAATATTTTTGCTTACAAAACAAAGAAATGACTAGGTCAATGCAAAAGAAATTTCGTTTTTTTACAAACATTAAATTAAACTGAAGAGGAAGCGATCAGTGAGAATTCAATTTTCTCAATGATCTTCAATGGAGGAAAGCCGAGCCTTGATTCTATGAAGTAGTCGAAGAGCTTCAACGTTGCTTCAGATTGCGGATCCCCTTATCTCTTAAGAACTCTTGATTCTCTTGATTTAAAGTAATCGGTCACCCAAATCTCAACCTCTTTCGCATTCTTAAACTGGCAAAGGGAATGTCGCATCGATCTGAAGAGGTGAAAATCAAATGGTGATAAGTTTGGACTATATGGCCCAAGACCTTCCATCCTAATCCCTCTAACTCCATACAAGAAGCTTTCGTTGTGTAACCTTTAACCAATCCGGATCTTCAATAGAGATGACGATATCGTTTACGGGATCGATCATCGATCATCAATTTTCAAATGGATGATAATCACAATTCGCTATACTCACAATACTAGGCTATATCTTAACTTAACCCACGCTGACATTCTCGGCTCTCTAATCCCTAATTGGATGATCCATAGATAGCTTGTTCTGGCGGTGAAGAGAAGGCGAAGACCGCTGGATAGGCTTCTCGGATTAAGGACTTGGTCTACCGCGGACGGCATTGACCCGGGTCTCTAATTCCAGAGACAGCCACACTGGCGTTAAGAAAACGAGTCACAGGAACTTAAAAACTCGAGAATTGACAATAAAAAGTGACGAAAAGGATAGAGGCCAGCGAGCGGGCCAGTGAGTCGGCGATCAAGAGAAATGAGACGGTTCTGGGAACCAACAGTGCTCCAATAGACTAGACTGTTGGAAATCTTCCAACAAAACCATGTTGACATGTTGACAAAAGAAGAGACGAGGGGAAAACTGGAGAAAATATTTTATTTATCAAAGATTTTGCATCAGAAAGTTTGCATCAAAAAGAGAGTACTTGGAGCTTCACAAATTGGATACAGTTAAAAGTGTGATACAGATCGGTAAATCGGTTCGTTGAGCTTGTAAATGTAGGCATTTGAAAGGAAAAAGAAGATGATAACCAAGACATCTAGATGATAACCAAGACATCTGTTAGGTTGATGCATAAGTCTTTTCGTTTTTTTCGTACTTCTGTTAAAAAGTAACAAATTCACCAATTAATCTATAGTTTGCTCTATAAAAAAAGTGTTTGTTTGTTCAATTTGCATCTTTTTAAATGAATTTCGGTTCACTTTCAAGCAAATTCGAGAGTGAAAAACGCCTTTTTCGTAAAAATCTATAAAAAACTCTACGGAAAAATTGGCTGAATGAATTTCTCTGAAATTTTGGCGAAATATCAAACGTTTTTTTTCTCTATCTTTTATCTATTGACACGAAGATAGGTTTTCTTTAGCTAAGGTGTCTAAACCGCATCATCGAGTTAGCCCTTTTTGACTACCCGACTTAATACTCTCAAGAAAATCCAGGCATTAAATATTTTTAAACCCGTTTTAATGTTATTTTGCAGAAAAATAATTGCTTTTTCTAATGAAATCAACCGTAGTTTAATTCGTGCATTTGTTGGCTTGAAACGGCAGACGAAAAGGAACGAAAACACTTATGCATCAACCTAATAGATGATAACAAACACATCTAGATGATAACAAACCACTTAAAAAGCTTAACAACATCAAAAGGTTATGTTGTTAAGCTTTTTAAACATTTCATTTATCACTATTAGACAGCAAAAAGCTTCGAATTATCATTGTGCATTAGAGTGTGTTTCATTCTTGATTAATATTGTGAAATAGGAAAGGGATTTGGGTAGAAACAGGTTGAATACCTTAAGTAAATTTGATTTTCCACAATTCCCATGTTTTAAAACAATGAATAAACATAAAACATGTGTTTGAATGAATACAATAAAAAAAACCCCACAAATCAAAGATATAAGAACATTTCAGATTAGAATTTTCAGAACTAAAAAAAACGCGATTTGTAAACAATTCACTATAGGTTTCTTTCTTGAATTAAAGCTTTAAATTCATAAAATTTAAAGCAGCAAATGTAGATCACAAGCAGTAGCAAGATCAAGATCAGCACAAGATCAGCACAAGACAAGCAGTAGCAAGATCAAGATCAGCACAAGATTAGCAAGATCAAGATCACAAGCAGTAGCAAGATCAAGATCAGCACAAGATCAGCACAAGATCACAAGCAGTAGATCATTCAATCTTTAATCCCTCATCTTTCACTCGTTTCTATCACTCCATTTTTGTCAAGATATTGAAATTCGAATTGGTTAACACAAGCTCTCGCGATCACATAACTCAACGTTTCTTCTTTTAGCTTCTCTGCCAATCTTGAAACTGCAATTGTTTGCACGTCTTTCGTCTCGAAATTTAAGCAAATCACTCTCTCATACTCTCGATAGTTTTTTGGATGACCGAGAAGGGTAAGAAAGCCTCCATTTCTATCGGGAATCTTCTGAAAAACAAAACTCCTTGTGATTTCCCTGTTAATGAACTCTGGATCAGCGCTCATTTTGAATGGTGTGCTCAACGAGGGAAAGCGAAACGGAAATACAGCTTGTAGAGGCTCGTCGAGAACCTCGAGCACCTCAAGCCACGCATTCATATAGGCGAGCTCGAGCTCGGAAGTGCATTTGTAGTAAGGGAATTGAAGCCCACCGTTCTCCACACTGTCGTACTGGCGAGCGAAAAAGTCACGCTGGGGAAACCCTGCCATTTCACACGACGGCTCATGAGAGCAGAGTTTTCTTGGTGGTGTTCGACTTTCGAAAATATACCCCGGAATCGGCAAATTGTCGAGAATTGCCAAATTCGAACTGCTTTTCTTATTTGTTAGCAGAAGCACAAAGCGATCCACTTCAAATCGGACCATCTCGTTGTTTACTGCGGCCTCTGTGTCAGCTCTTTGAACAAATTGATATGGATCAAAAGCTCGATCTCTAACAAATCGCATCTCGTTTTTGTCTTTGTTCACCAAAAAGATTTCCCGTTTTGTGTCAAGGAAAGCGCCATCGAAACGCTGGACTTGTGTGAGATCACCGCTGATAAACTTTGACTCGTTGACAGCCAGCAGATACCAGTCCTTTTTTGTGTCCATTGATAAATAATCTCGGAGAAAAAGTCGTGGCGAATATGTGTGAGTTTTCAGATAGCCGAAATAACTTTGGAAATTATCGGTTGGCTTTCGTTGACTCCATGGAAATACGGAGTTCTCTTTGAAGCCGAGCTTTTTCATTGACCAGCCCTCAATCGCTTCACAGAATCGAAGATAGTCAAAGAGGAGAATAGCAGAGAAATTATCGAAGATGTCAGTCGACTGGAAAAGGCGCGCGAGTTTCTCTTTTTCTTCGGCACAAGTATTCGGCTCTACGTAGACAAGCTTCTGCTGCTTTCGCTTTTCGAGAAGAGTGGGCACCTTTGTGAGGAAATCCTCTTTTTCTCGATCAGCCAACGTGGAATAATTCTCGACGACTCGTTTCACGTATTTCTTTCGCGGTGCATCAAAGTAATTGAATCTCGGCGTGCTGTTGTAGGGGTGTAAACGGCCGACAAATTTCTTCTTCGGCTCCACGATTTTCGCGTGACATCCACGGAGGAATTTGCGCAACAGACAGATGTTGAACTCAGAAAAGTCAGTCTCATCACTCGACGAAAGCCTGTGAAAGCTGATCGTCGAGCCGTCGCTAGACTGATTGCAGTAGTCATACACGGGCACTAGATTGCTCGTTCCGTCGATGCCAAGCGGTTTGACAAGCGTCTGTTGGGTCTCGTCGATGATCGGCCGCGGCTCGATTCCATCGCGATACGTGCCATTTTCACGCAAAAACTCTACCACCTAAAGTTTATCTTTAAGATTTAAAGAGTGGGGAAACCTCAGAGAGTTCCGGCTCGACTTCCTCGATCACTTGAGCAGCAGTCGGTCGTTGATCGCGAGAGAACAGCAGACATCTTAACGATTTGTTGCTTTGGATAGATTTCTGTCTGTTAATTTTTGTTAACCGCTACTCTTATAATATTTTGTTCAAGAACAAAGCCATTTTAATCATTTAATATATTAGAGATCTCTTTGTTTCTTGTACTATAGAAAGATAAAAGTTGGAAAAATGGAATTGATTAAAGAACCATATTGGAACCAAATTGGAAGCATATTGGAACCACATTTCTGGAAGGAACATATTGAAACCATATTGGAATCATATTCGAACCCTATTCGAACCATTTTGGAACCAAATTGGAATCACATTTCTGGAAGGAACATATTGAAACCATATTGGAACCAAATGGGAAACCAAATAGAAAAAAAAAGGGAAAAAAAAGGGAAGAAATTGAAACCATATTGGAACCATATTGAAACCATAGTTGGTCAAAGTCAAAGTTGGCTTTTGAAATTTAGAGAAAAGTTTAGATAAAAAATGGAATCGATTAAAGTTTCTATCGAGAGATTTACAGCTTTTAGTGAGCTTGATGAGTATTTCATTCTCCTAAAAAGGTGTCGTTCCAAACTTTTGAGCATTTTATGAGCAAAAGCGTTTTGTATGCTTGAAATAACCCTAAAAACCCTCACTTTTTGATCGTTCGACGGAAACGCTGGAGCGTACACGATGGCACACAAAACTCGAGGAGTTTTCCTTGTTGAATTCCCCGACAAAATTGAAGATAATTGAAGGGACGCCGCAGGAAGAGCTCCCTCCAGAACTGCCCCGATTCCCCTTTTCCGTCCTCGCTTTTACTCACTTCCAGCTCGATCACTCTAAACTTTCACAAAATAAGTAAACATTTTCCGCAACTAGGTCACTTGAACACCTCGTTGATCAGTTTTGTGATTTCTTTGTTAGAACTCGCTCTCCATTTGTCAGTTCCTATGATTTTGGCACTATTTTGGCATTTTGGCGCTGCAGAGATCTACAAATTTGTGCTAAAACGATGAAAACTGATCAACGGAGTGGGGAATTGAGAGTGAGAGCTTGCCCATTCCCTACCCTCGGGTCATCGTCTCCAAAATGCAAACACCAGCCGAGTAGACGTCATTTTTGTGGGAGATCTGCAAAAATTGGGACTTAATCTCGATAGAAAAAGTAGTTGCCAGTAAAAAGCAAAGCAACCTCAAGTGGCGGCAAAATGGTGGCCATTGTTCTTTCTCCAAAATCGCTGAAAGATGGGCTGAGATAACGGGGAGTGACCCCGTTAAACATGTCGATATTGCACGTGTGATCGTCTTCTTTCACGCTTCCGAAATCGCCGATTTTCAGAAAATACTTTGGCTTTGTCAGAAATATGCTAAAAAGACGTCTTTTACTGTTTGTCAAAGCAGTTTGTTTGTTTGTTTGTTTGTTTGTTTGTTTGTTTGTTTGTTTGTTTGTTTGTTTGTTTGTTTGTTTGTTTGTTTGTTTGTTTGTTTGTTTGTTTTCGCTCACTTTGTTGGCTTGAGATCTTGATGGACGACACTCGGTTGGCGTTCATTCAGATATTTGAGTGCAGAAAAGAGTTGATAGTACCATTGAAGGCACGAGTTGATCGAGTAAATGACTCTTGTGTCGGAGATTACTGTAAGTGTCGGAGATTTAAAATATTTGAAAGTTTTCTAGAGTGAATCTTTTCAGTTTTCATCTCTAGAGCTGAAGCCTTTGAGGAAAAAGTTTGAGAAAGTTTTAAAGCTTTCCGAAATATTCGACAAAATAACAAAAGCTAGCCGAATAACTTCTAAACTCTTTTAAGAATAAAAACTAGAGGAAAGCAAAAGTCTACTTTCTTTGACAACAGCACCAGGCTCAGGTTCTGGCCCAGGTTCTGACCCAGGTTCTGGCCCAGGTTCTGACCCAGGTTCTGACCCAGGTTCTGGCCTAGGTTCTGACCCATGTTGTGACCCAGGTTCTAGCCCAGGTTCTGGCCTAGGTTCTGACCCAGGCTGTGGCCCAGGTCCAGGTCCAAGCCTAGGCCTAGATTTAGGCCCAGTTTTAAGTCTAGCCCTAGGTCTAGGCCCTCATCCAGTGCTTTGAAAACAGTAAAAGACGACTTTTTAGCATATTTCTGATAAAACAAAAGTATTTTCTGAAAGTCGGCGATTTCGGAAGCGTGAAAGAAGACGATCACATGTTTAACGACATTTTTGCGACATGTTTAACGGGGTCACTCCCTGGTAGAGTGTGTTCCTATCGGATAATGCATTTTCGAAAATGCACCTACCGTAAATACTGTAATAGTACCGCCCTCGTACAGTCGCGTAGTCGCAAAAGTTTTTTAGTATTTCATTTTTTTTTCCAAAGCACCCGTACTTTCAAAAAATGCGTCTTTGGTATGCAAAAATAGCCCTGAATTTCAGCTATTTTTTTTTATATATGTTGTAGCATTGTAGCATAAACCAGTGTCTAGAAAAACGCGTTTTTTGGGGATGGTTGCGTAGTCTAACTTTAAACATCCCTTCTCTGCGCTGCTTTATGCTACAATGCGCACTTTGGTATCAAAAAATAGCCCTGAATTTCAGCTATTTTTTGATACCTAAGCGCGCATTGTAGCATAAACCAGTGTCGAGAAAAACGCATTTAAAGCTAGACTACGCAACACTCCGCACCGTCATTATGGGGATGGGGTACTATTACAGTTTTTTCCGTAGTTTTCATCAGGTTTTCATAACTGTTTGGGCAAACGTCTTTTAAAACTTATTCGAAGACTTGGACTCGAAGATTCGAAGATTCGAAGATTCGAAGATCTGCATAAAGAGCCCGCAAATTTCTTTTGAATATCCTTTTTATTTGTTTCCGCTATTATTCGCTTTCTTTTGACTACAACGAAGAAAAGCAGAAAAGTTTATTTTTAGAAGCATTGAAAGCATTTAAAGCTAAAGAATTCTTACAGTTGATTAAATACTACAGTCTTAAACTTAAACTCGCATATTTTACAAAAAAAAAACTATTAATTTACACTAGTTTTTGTTGATAAAAGAGGTTAGTTTTTTTTGTGTTTTCGACTAGTTTTTGTTGTTGTTTAAAACCACACTGAAACCCACACGATGCAAGGGTTCCTCCATCGCAGTATTCGGTAAAAATCCCGAACATTCGATGTCCCCTAAAGATCACATCTTGACTCAGTCGACTGTGCGAGAGGATATTGTAATGGTTGAGGCATTCGAGAATCTCAGCCTCTTTCAACAGCTTTTGCCGCTGAGCCGCCGTCTCATAGCGCAGACATTTCACCACTTCATCCCTGCAAAAAACAACTGACTTTTAAAGAATCCAGTACATCATTTTAAATCGATTTTTTTTCCTTTTCCTTTTTATCCTTTGTGAAAATCCTTTTATCCTTTATTCTTTATTCTCTTTATCCTAAAATCCTTTATTCTGAACTCTTTAAAATACCATTTTACACTTCTTTCTCTTCTCTCCTTAGTCATTTATCTATTTTTGATTTTGATTTAAGAAAGTTATGAATTTTTTAACATGAGAAACTTTAGTTAAGTAGCTGGGAAAGCGACAAATATCGAATAACTAGATAAATACTTTTGAGGAAATGACTACATTTGTTGTTTCGGTTTGGTTCAGGTCAACTGGAAAACCGAAAAAAAAACGAAATCGAACCAAAGCACAGATCGAGAACCGACCCAATTTGAAGACAACTTCCAAAAGCGCCACGTCCCAGCCAACTCGGATTCATTTTATCGAGATCCATTTCCAAAATTGAAAGCTAAAACAGCTTCCAAAAGCTAAAAGATTTGAATGAGGCTAAAAGGATAAAAGGTTAAAGTCAAAACCAAAAAAAGGATTCGCTTTCTTCTCATATTGTAAGCTTATAACGTGCTTATTTGCATAAAACGTCAATGCAGGGAATAAATATTTTGATTTAAAAGCAAGAAAAAATAAACCAAATAAAGAAAAACATTAAAATTCTCAAAGTGGAAACGTTTTATAAGAAATTTGAGGAGCTATTTTCTTTCTTAACAAAACTTTGTAGCTGTTTTTCCCTTTTCTCTGTCTCATCTTAGCAAAAAAGATGTTGTGAATGAGGAAAAATCATTTTAGATTACCGTATTTTGTCTAATAGTATTGCACCGTGATCGTCGTTTAAATTCCTCGAAATCTCGAGAAACGCTTATCAGAACCTATCGATGTGGGGTCGGAAAATGTAGCTGACGATGAGATCTAGTGGGAGGGATTTGAGCGTTGAGCTTCTACAAAAGCTTGGAAACTGTCAAATAGTCACCAACTCGGCTCGCTGGAGTGCACTACTATTAGAGCAAAATGTGGTATTGCAATATGACAGATTTACAGCAGATTCAAGCTTTATGATCTAATTGTAAGCTTTAAGGTGATTCCGATGTTCAATTCTAGGCTTCAATTCAATTCAATTCTAGGTTCGATTCTAGGTGATTCCGATGTTCAATTCAATTCTATTCTATCTAATAGTAGTGCACCCAGAGCGTCGCCTAAATTCCTCGAAATCTCGAGAACCGCTTATCAGAACCTATCGATGTGGGGTTGGAAAATGTAGCTGACGATGAGACCTTGTGGGGGATTTGAGCGTTGAGCTTCTACAAAAGCTTGGAAACTGTCAAATAGTCACCAACTCGGCTTGCTGGAGTGCACTACTATTAGAGAAAATACGGTAATCTTTTCTAATGTAAACAAGAAGCTGGAACAAGTGCTGAAGATCACAACCAGGTCAGGGTTCATTACTAATACCAATCAAACGTTTCTTTTGGCGGGCTACCATGATTTTCTGAGTAAATTCTCTCTTTTCCATAATCTGGAGGCAAATGCTCATGATCTCCATAAGGGTTTACCAGTTTAAAAAGGTTTAAAATGTAGCTGACGATGAGATCTAGTGAGGGATTTGAGTGTTGAGCTTCTGCAGCTTCTGTGAAAACTTTGAAAGCCGTAAAATGGTCACCAACTCGGCTCCCGGGGTGCACTACTAATAAAGAAAATACGGTCCATCAGAAACATTATAGAATATTAAAAAGAGCAATTCTTTACTCAAATTAATTTCAAAAAAGGTGGACGAAAAAGGTGACGAAAAAGATGTGATGAAACAGTGTTTCATAGTGGGGGAAAATGGCAAAATTGATACGTTATCTAATGTTTATTCAAAGAGAATCAAAAGAAAGAAATAGCGAAGAGAGAAGAATAGCAAAAGCTAAAAATAGCGAAAGAAGTACAAATTTTTCATTAATAAGCAAGATGAAGTATCAAAAAAATGAGGTTTGAACGAAAAAAAAGGTTCAGTTTCAGCTCAAACCTTACTTGAGCGTGTCAAATCTCTTCACCAAAGTTGCTTCAAGGCTTCTCTAGCTCAAAAGATTTTATAAATTTGCTCAGCTATCTCCAATTTGTTATCCTGTTATCTCGAATTTGATATTTCTTTTTTGATTCTGTAAATATTGTGAAACTGTTGATGTTTACTTTACTGTTTACTTTTATTCTCGTAATAAACTTTAAAAATTACGTTGAAAATCAACAAAGATCATCAATCAACGTATAAAAGAAGGAATCTTTAGATCATTTTAAATTGAAAAGGTTCAGAAAAACTTTACTCGAATAGCACTATTCAAAATTGATTTTGCTAACTACTCATCCGGTCAGGTATAAACATAGATTGAAACTTTTCTCACTTGAAACCTTAGAACAACGCCGTCTTATCATAGATTTAGTTGAGTGCTTTAAAATTGTAAAAGGAAAACATCAAAACCCTCTTTTTAAAAATATTTTTCGACTAAACTCGAGGCTTTTGGCGACTAGGCGTGGCTCTTTTATTAGACTTCGGAAAACAAAACTTAACCAAAACCAAAACCAAAACAAAACCAAAACAAACCAAAACAAACCAAAACAAACCAAAACAAACCAAAACTAACCAAAACAAACCAAAACCAAAACCAAACCAAAACAAACCAAAACAAACCAAAACCAAAACCAAAACAAACCAAACCAAAACTAACCAAAACAAACCAAACCAAAACAAACCAAAACAAACCAAAACCAAAACCAAAACCAAAACAAACCAAACCAAAACAACCCAAAACAAACCCAAACCAAAACCAAAACCAAACCAAACCAAACCAAAACAAACCAAAACAAACCAAACCAAAACAAACCAAAACAAACCAAACCAAAACAAACCAAAACAAACCAAACCAAAACAAACCAAAACAAACCAAACCAAAACCAAAACAAAACCAAAACAAACCAAACCAAAACAAACCAAACCAAAACCAAAACAAAACCAAAACAAACCAAACCAAAACAAACCAAACCAAAACAAACCAAAACAAAACCAAAACCAAAACAAACCAAAACTCTCTTATCTTGCATCCCGAATCTGCTTTCTCTAAATCCTCTAGAGCTTTTTTCGTAAATCGTGTGACTAAAGTTTGGAATGCCCTTCCCGACAAGTTGCGTTTGATCTGCATCGTGTCTGATTTTAAAAGGGCTATTTCGTTGCATTTTAAGTGACTTTGTGATCATTTATCTTTTATCTAGTACATTTTTCATGTCGTTTTCGCACTTTATTTCTTTCTGAATAAAGTATTTATATATTTTATAATCACAACTTTCTATAACTTGAAGAAGTAAAAGAAAAGAGTAAAGAAGAAAAGAGTACCATAAAATATCACCATAAAAAAACGAAGAGAAATTCTTAGCCTTCTCGTATGTTTCCACAAACGATTTATGTACTTTTTCTGATTGAATAGGTCATTCTCTGGCAGGATATATAAAAAGAAAATACCAAAAACAAGCAAAACAGAAAGAATTTTAAAGAAAAATCGAAAAAATCTGCTAGTCAGTTGATAGTAATATTGGTGATACCGATAAAAATGGTAAGCGGTAAAAAGTGTGGGAATCCAGAAAAGCCACCATTCAAACTGAAGATCTCTTGTTCTTTTGTGTCTTCTCAATGTCGATTCTTCATCAATCACGCACAAAAAGAGAGCAAAATAGAAGAAGAGGACAAAAGTCCAGATGAATAGATTTGGCGGCTTGTGCATGTGATTCGAAACATTTACATCGGTCATAGCGTTAAGAATATTTCAGAGAGCTTCTGAATTTCAATTGAATCGCTTTTTATAAAGTTCTTTAAGCAGATAAGAAATCAAATTTCAAATTTCTTGATCCTCTTTTTCGAAAAAAGTCAATAAAATGAGTTGAAGTGTCTCTTATCACCAATGATTTGCACCAATGACCCCATTGTCAAAAGAACGCTTCTCGTTTCATGGATTTTTAGATGACTAACAAAAAATGCCAGCAGAATGCCAACAGAATACCAGCAGAATGCCAACAGAATACCAGCAGAATGCCAACAGAATACCAGCAGAATGCCAACAGCTTGTACATTGACTTGTGAGTCTTATAGAATCAAATATATTGATCAAAATGTGATATTGTATTGTTGAGCTTTTGAGATTTCAAAAAATTTAACAAAAAAACAAATACATTTTCCGACGGGGTATTGCCGCGTAGTCGAACTTTACATGCTCCGTTCTCCGCACTGCTTTATGCTAGAGTGTGTGCTTGCATATCAAATGATAGCCCTTGAAATCTACTATTTGTGCGCAAATGAAGTTTTTGTTCGTGTGCGCAAATGGCTTGTGCGCAAAAGACGCTTTTTGTTCGTGTGCGCAAATGGCGGTGCGGTATTGTCATAGTCCCGAATTTTTAAGCTTTTACTATTTAAAAAACAGTAAAACAGGACATTATTTATTTCAAAAAACAAAACTATTTCTTTATCATTCCTTTATCTTTATTCTTTATCATCTTTTGATTCCAACATTTTCACGAACTCTTCATAGTTGACTTTTCCATCTCCATTCACATCGATCTCTTTCAACATTTCATCCAACTCATCATCACCGACTTTCTCCTTCAATCCTCCAAAAGTTTTCATTGCAACGAGCAATTCGTCTTTTGAAATGAATCCATTTCCATCTTTATCAAAGATTTTGAAAGCTGTTTGATAATCGTCTTTCATATCACCAAATTTTCCCATCAAAATGAGAAACTCGTCGAAATCGATGGCTTTGTCATTGTTCAAATCAGCCATCATAAATATTACCTGAAAAGGAGATACAGGGTGACCAGAAATAACGTTGCGGCCTAATTTAGCCTATTTTTTAAAAATCCAAAAAGATTTTGTAACAGAAACAATTTTTTTGATTAACAACATGATATAAAGAAATTGAAACTTTGAGGATTTTAGGCTGCCGAAAATCCCGCAACGTTATTTCTGGTCACAACGTGATTTCTGGTAAATATAAACTGATCAAAAAGGGATATGCGGTTAACTAATTTGAAATTTTAAACTAGCAAAATGGTGTTCTCAGTAGGGAACAGACTTGTAAACGGAAAATTTAATATCTCTTGATTATTAAAGAAAAACCCAACGAATGGGACAGCTACGCACTGCTGCTGCAAAATGTAGTTGCAGTATACTTTCAGAGTACCGCAGTGTCCCTCTAAAAGTCTTTTTTGCAATCTAGAGAGAGTTTTTGTTTAATTTCTAACGTGCAAACCCGAAAAACACAAAACTTCTAATGCCTTTCGTTCAAAATTTCTTTGAGAGTTAAAAGTTTAGTCTTTAATAGTCTTTAATAACCTTTAAGATAGCCTTTGATAAAGCCTTTAAGATAGCCTTAAAGATAGCCTTTAAGGTAGCCTTTAAGATAATCTTTAAAATAGCCTTTAAGATAGCCTTTAAGATAACCTTTAAGATAACCTTTAAGATAACCTTTAAGATAACCTTTAAAATAGCCTTTAAGATAACCTTTAAGATAACCTTTAAGATAACCTTTAAGCTATTCATTATTATATTCAGTTTCTAATTCACCTGTAGCTCTTCTTCCGTTGGCTTCTGACCGACTGATGTCATCAAATTGCTCAACTCACTTCCCACAATCTTTCCACTTCCATCCTGGTCAAACAGAGCAAAAGCCAATTTGTATTCTTCGATTTGCTCTGCTGTGAGCTTGTCTGCCATTCTCTAAAATTGAAAATATAGAAAAAATTTAGAAATTTAAGAATAACACGTGAATTTTATGCTTTAAAAACGCAAAAAAGTCAACGAAACAAAAAAATGAAAGTTAGAAGACATTAAAGATTAAAAGTTTTTGCAAAAAAGTTAGATCTAGCTCTTAAAAATGTAGAAACTTTACACATTTACAAATAAACTAAATGTAAATGTTAAAACAATTTAAATAAAGATTACTTTGTAATAAACAATGTTTCCAAAAGCATTAGAAACTTTCAAAGATACCAGCAATTGAAAAATGAAAGCTTGAACCGCTTGAACAGAAACAACTTGAAAAATGAAAGAAAACAAGCAAATTTTCTGATTGAAAGCGCTTCAAAAACTAGTAGCTAGGTAACCAAAAATGAAAATTCTGCTTTCTTTGTCTCTTTTTTAAATCAGAAATTCTTGTTTGCTCATTCAAAATGGTCAAAGAATAAAATTCAAAGAAATAACAAAGAAATAACAAAGAAATAACAAAGAAATAACAAAGAAATAACAAAGAAATATCAAAGAAAATCGTTTATTTTCATATTTAACCCATTCGAAACCGCAGCGTTTTTTCTTTTTTTTTCGTCTACGGACCAAGCCCTTTTTTGACATTTTTGACTCCGAAGCAGTTTATTTATGGTTGGAAAGATGTAAGAGAGTCTCATACACCATTTATTTTTGATGAAGAACGATTTGGATTTGACTTCAGTACTTTTCAAGATCCTAACGATTATTGTTCTTATTTTATCTACGACAATATTTTAGTAGGCGAATCTAATAAACATGGAAAAGGGAAAACAAACTGGCAGGATTTCGATGCAAAATCTTTCAACCTCTTCCTGGCTTCAAATGGGAATCGTCAAATTACCGAGGATTCGTGACTACTGGAGTAGCAGGCCTGGATTAGGAGGATTTTCCCACATCATGTCAAGAGCAAAATTTGAATCTATTCTTCGCAACCTGCGTTTTTGTGATAATGAACTGGATCCTGCAGGAGATCGGCTTTATAAGATTAGAGCTATTATGGAACATTTCAATGCAAAACCAGAGACTGCATTGATTCCGGGTAAATATGAAACATCTTTTTTGCCCACGTAATTTGTAGATCTGCTACAATTGGAATATACATGTAATGCTGAAAAACAGCAAAAAAAAAGCAATTAATTGAATGAAAATAGCTCAATTAGCGCTGCAGCGAATAATCGCTGCAGCGGTCCGTTCCTGAGTTTTTGCTGCAGCGATTATTCGCTGCAGAAGTTTCGAATGGGTTAAACTATTGAAAAGTCGAATTTCAGTTTTTTTTCAGCAAAAGCTTCCAAAAAGCAAAAGTTTAAAGCTTTCCATCAACGTTTTTTTCTGTTTTAGCTAGCTTCTACATCGCGAGGATGTACAAGAAGAAAAGATCAAAAGAATTTGCGTGCCCAATCTACTCCAACGTAATAGGATATTAGGTCTAGAATATCTAGATTACGGTAATTAGCCTAGATTATGGTATTCAGTCTTGATAGAGTATTCAGTATAGACTGTCTGGATTACGGTATTCAAGCTAGAATAGGCTATTCAGTCTAGAATAGCTAGATTACGGGATTTAGCTTAGATTACCTACTCAAAATCCGGAAGTGTTTACGATTATCTTTTGACTCATTACTTTTGAGCATTTTACTGTTATGGATTTCTGTAGGTACAAGGCAGAGTACCACGACTTTGCACACAACAACAGAACGGAATCAACTAGGTGCTTATTCTTAGCCAAGTGACAAGTTTAGTTAATAGCAAGACTTGTAGCTCGAGAATGAATGCCATTCGCCACCGTGGAAACCAAAGAAATCAATGAACCGCACAGGATCATCATTTGCAACACCTAAATCTAAAGAACTACGCAAAGAACTGATTAGAATAGGAATTGGTGAAGAGGAAACAGTAAAGAGTTTATTTGTTTTCAGATATTATTTCAAGTTTCGCGGACAAATAAAAGACATTCCCTATATCGCCTTGTCAATCGACGAATCGACGGTTATTTGTCGACGGTCGAGTTTTCGGCTTTGAGTGAAGTATTAAGAATTTATTAAAATGTTCATTGAATGAATGAATTTGTGTTTTGATCGGAAACAAGCGAAAAGCGTCTTTTTGAAAAAGGGAAACCACACAGATAAAAAAGAAAGTAAAGTACAATTTTTAAATTAAGCAAAAAGAAAGTCAAGACAAAAAGAAAACAATTTTTAAACTTTTGGGAGACCAATCACCTGTCTTTTTAACGATTTATTGTAAATTAAATGGTAAATTGATTGAGTTGAACTGTTGATCCTAAGGATCTATTCCTATTGATCCTAAGGATCTATTCCTATTGATCCTAAGGATCTATTCCTATTGATCCTAAGGATCTATTCCTATTGATCCTAAGGATCTATTCCTATTGATCCTAAGGATCTATTCCTATTGATCCTAAGGATCTATTCCTATTGATCCTAAGGATCTATTCCTATTGATCCTAAGGATCTATTCCTATTGATGTCAATGGTCAATGTCAATAACCGGGTACTCGATGTTCACTGTGGTGAATGGGCTTTTCCGATAATACACACGATTTTCGATGGATAAAAACAATACTTCTCAAAAAGTTTCGATATAAATTTGCTTATTGACTCTTTTAGTTTTTGGTTTGACATAAAATCTCTTTGGCTTCTACATAATTTATCGCTACTCGACAAAGGAAATGCGAGAGTATTTGCACGGATTGCTCAATTTACAGATCCCTCTTCTAACTTTTCTTCTGAACGCAACTAAAAGTTCTTTTTTGACAATAGAATTTCAAATTTGGCTGCTATTCGAGCTATGCTCCCTAGCCAATGAGAGGAACCTAGCCAATCCTGTTCATTCAGGTGGCCGTCACGGTTTGCGATCTTTCCATTGTTTAATGAAAAGTTTACTTTATGGAAATTTGAGATCTCGAAAAGATTGTGATTTGCTCAGATTGGCCTCTGATCAACTGTTGTCTGAGCTGTTGTTTGAGCTGTTGTCTGAGCTGTTGTCTGAGCTGTTGTTTGAGCTGCTGTCTAAGCTGTTGTCTAAGCTGTTGTCTGAGCTGTTGTCTGAGCTGTTGTCTGAGCTGTTCTCTGAGCTGTTGTCTGAGCTGTTGTCTTGGAAAATGCATAAATGATTTCTGTTTTTAAATTTTATTCCGTTTAATTTCAGAAAGATTTTGAGAATTTTATTTGATGGGGTGAATGGTATCGAAAGTCTTTCGATCGCAGAGAAATCTAATGTCCCAATGATCGTCCGCATTTCTCATCTTCTTCTCGATATTGCACCATAAAAAGCACAGAAAGATGTGAAGAAGAGCGACGATTACCGAGACTGGAACACAATCTTCAATCTTCAGTCTTCAGTCAAGATTTCTCATGTAAATCTAGACTCTTTCTTAAACTACACAAATGGATTGAGAATTGCTATTGACTACGTGACTTTTTTTGCTTGATGCTTGATTCTTCTTCTTGTTCTTTTAAAGAAACTAACCAATATTTTCAATGGAATATTCTGGGTGGTAGTATCCATTGATTGTAGCCATGTAAATAGAAGAAATAAGCAAATAGACGTTGGCGAGCTGAGAATTGTTTCAGTTTTTCACTTTTTCACTTTTTAAGATTTCACTTTACAAGCGTAATTTCTAGAATGCGAATCGGTCGCGGCTGTTTCGAGATCCAGAAAGAGAAGAGTGCCGGCGCGACGACGAAATAGGCGATGATTGCGAGGAGGGGCCAGTTGAACAACCAACCCCAATTGGTGTAGCTGAAATGGAAATGATGCTTTGAATGAAATGAGCAAGTTTTTTAAGTTGCTAGTGCTACCTAAAGTTGTTTATCTCGATGACGAACGATGCTATTAGTGAGATGATTGTCAAGGAGGTGATGTGTATCTAAAATTTGATCATTCAAACAAATAGGTTTCGAACTAGGTCGGCTCAGGTGTTTTTCTGCTTTAAGACTTTTCTCAGACTTGAGCAGAGCTTTATTACCCATTGTATGAGTACTTTTTACTTGATTAATCGACGTTTTTTGGCCGAGTGACTACGAGTAATCCTCTTTACACGCCGAATAAGTTGAATACCTTTAAATTGGAAGGGAATTTCCCACCAAATCAGTTAAACGGCTGAATATCTTTAAAAGGAGTTAGTGGATTAGTGGATCAGTGGATCAGATCAGTCGCCAGGGACAGACATCGATGTGCTCGAGGTCAACCTTCTTCCATATCTGCAAAGTCTTCCACAACACAAACTCACCCTACAGCCCTACAGCAAGACAACGCCAGCATCCACATCAGCCGAGCCACCAAGTCATGGCTTAAGTCTAAACAAATGCCTCTTCTGGATTAGCCTGCGTGCTCCCCCGATCTCAACCCCATTGAGAATCTGTCTTGCTTCTTGCTCGTCGAGTTTATGGCAATTCCACACAATACGCAAATGTTCAAGCACTCAAAGATGCCATTACCCATTAGTGGAAGGCCATTCCAAGAAGCACCATCAAGAAGCACCAGCAAGAAGCTAGTTGACAGCATGCCGAGTCGAATATTTGACGTGATCAGTCACCAGGGAGAGACAACAAAATATTAAACTGTTATTGTTATAAACACCAAAATTTGGGGAGTGGCTATGGTTTTGCACCGGGTGAATTTTCGTTTTTACATTTTCATTTTCCCTATTCATGCTATGTGGATGATTTTTGGGGATTAAGGGTTATTTTTGGTCCTGAATCTAACTACGTTTTCAGTTTTTTTTTGTCACTGGCACGGGAGCCGCAGAAAATTGAAATTTAGGGGGTGGCATATGGTTTTTGCACCGCACTGTATATAAGTCTTCATTACCGATTTCCCTTTTTTTCTTCATTGCAAACCTTTTTCATTGTCATTTCATGTAAAGCTTTGTTCAACGAATCCTCATTTAATTTGTTTTCGTTTCCACAGGGAATCTGAAATCAAAAGTGTTTTTAAAGCAGAAAACGAAGGTTTCTGTCAATAATTTTTTGGTTTTCAAACTTTCGTTTTTATTAAAACGAAGTGGGATAAGATAAAGTAGGATTTCTTTTCTCAACTTGCCGATGAAGCCTTTTTCGCAGCTTCGACATCGGACAACTTATGACTAGAGTCGTTCACTTGTTTCAAGTAGACCATCGCACACTGAAATTGATCTTTTGCTGTGGGGAAATTGTGAAAAAATGAGAAAGCTTCTTTGTTTTCAGTTAAAGATTTGAAAACACAGTGTTAAAGTACTTTAGCTATTGAATTAAGCTCCTTTAAAGCTCCTTTATAGTCCCTATTTAGTTCCTTTAAAGTTCCTTTAGAGCTCCTTTAAAGCTCCTTTAAAGCTCCTTTAAAGCTCCTTTAAAGCTCCTTTAAAGCTGCTTTAAAGCTCCTTTAAAGCTCCCTTATAGTCCCTATTTAATTAAGCTATTTAATTTAAAAGATTTTCAATTTCTAAACGAAACTTCAAAATCTTTGATTTTTGGGTAGAAAAGAGTTATCAGATCAAAATAGAGATGAAATGGAAATGATCGGTGAAAAGATTTGATTGGATTGAAAAGGTCCATTGATATTTATATACAAAGATTTCAAGGAACGAAGCATGATGTCTTGAGGAAAAAAAAGAGAGAAGTTCTTTCGTCAATCGACAATCGAGAGAAGACAAAAGTCGGTGGGATCGGTGGTGTGCAGAAAAGTGGCTCTTTTCTGTGAAATCTTATTTAATGTTTTGATTTTATCTGATTCTCTTGTCCCGCCTCTAAAAGATCGCTTTTAAGATAAAAGGGACGGAGCCCACTTTCGATTGCTTTTTGTATTGTCTCTTTTTGTAGCCTTCATATTGCTTTTTCGTAATGCTATGAAACACTGAACCAACGATTGATTCTATTCTTTTATATTTTCTCGCTAGATTAGTATTGTGCTAGATAAAATATCTAATAATATCTAATAATCATTGCCCCCATCGGTATTCTCTCACACACTGCACAGGTGGAAAGATTTGATTGAGTTGAATTCCAAATTCCATTGATATATATGTCGTAACCGATTATGAATTAAATTTTTTGGTAAATCTTTCTTTCTAGTAGAGCAACCCTTTAATGTATGAGGACAATATTATATCATCTTGTAGCGATATAATATGACAATATCATATTATATCATTCAATTCTGCTTCGATTGGTACCAAATTTGTGAGTTTAGGTTAAAAATTGCCGCCGCTACAACGTTTCATTCAAAATCGGTGGGACCCCGGTAGCCGATTATGAATTTCTTTGGTAGTTTAGTTAATACATTAATTCGTTCAGCGGGTAAACCAAATGCATTTTCAAGTCAATAAACTCGTGCAAAACGAGGCTAATTTGTCTAGATGTCGTAGCCGTTTATGAATTTCAGCCGATTATGAAATGAGTGGGTCTAGGCGCGTCCAACCATCAACTATTTGGTATCATTCAACGCAGAATCATTGATAATTACCGTATTTCCTCTAAACCCCCCTGACCAACTTTGGACGCTTCGTTCTCAGCCCCATTTTGAGGTATTTTTATGTTTAATATATCAAAAGATAGCCCTTAATGTCTTCTATCTTTTGATATATTAAACATAAAAATATCTCCAAATGGAGCTGAGAACGAAGCGTCCAAAGTTGGTCAAGGGGGGCGTTTATTAGAGGAAATACGGTATGTTTGTATGTGGAAAATATTATATCATTTTGTAGCGAATTCAATTCTCCGTCGATTGGTACCAAATTTGTGAGTTTAGGTTAAAAATTGCCAGCGCTACAACGTTTCATTCAAAATCGGCGGGACCCCTGTAGCCGATTATGAATGAGTGGGTCTAGGAGCGTCCAACCATCAAGTATTTAGTATCATTCAACGCAGAATCATTGATAATTATGTTAAATTTTTAAAATTCGCGAGATTTGATAAAAAGAAAAAAAATTAGAGCAAAAAAACTGTTTGTTCATGAGAAAACTTTGAAGCCCCATAATTTTTTTTCTTTTTATCAAATCTTTCTAATTTTAAAAATTTAACATAATTATCAATGATTCTGCGTTGAATGTTACTAAATACTTGATGGTTGGACGCTCCTAGATCCAGTTATTCATAATCGGCTACGACATATATACAAAGATTTCAATGGAACGGAGCATGATGTCTTGAGGAGTAATCAAAAAAAAAAGAGAGAAGTGCTTCGAGGGAGAAAGAATTAGTTTCGCTTTGACAAATTTCTCTCTCTCTCTCAAATCAAAAAAGTCCGACAATATCCCGCGATCCGTAAAAGATTTCCATCAATTTTTTGTCGAATTTGATATATGACATAAAGAAGGAATGAAGGAAGCATCAAAACTGAAGCCGGCGTACAAAAAAGGACGTCTTGGACTCAGGATCAGATCACCATCGATTGGAAAAAAGTCAAATTTTTGCCTTGAGCTGTTAACTGTTTTTTGTTGATTTTGACAACAAAAGATCGTAAAGAGCGTATTGGCTCGGAAATTAAACTCAAAAACTACTAAGTTACTCAAAAGCTACTAGGTTGATGTAAAAGAAATCTCGCTTAATATAAAATGTTCTATTTTTTTTTAAGCTGAAAATCTTATATGATTTTATTTTGCATATTTGTACTATTGGATATTTACTTTATTTTACTTTATTTTTACGTTTTTTCTAAGTTGGCTTTCACTTTTTAATTGATATTTGCTTTAGATCACAGATCACAGAGCTTTAGATCATAGATCACAGAACTTTAGATCATAGATCACAGAGCTTTAGATCAAAAGTACAAGTGTATGTCTCCTCCACGATTTCAAGATGGGCAAAAACTCTGCCGAATCACATCGTGATCTCTGTTTCGCTTTTGGAGAACAAGACCGAAAGATTCCTGTCAGCTCTGGTTTGCCCAAAGGTATGGAATCTCGTTAAGAGAAACCACATGGGCATCGCTTGATCGATAATAATGAATTGGAACAACTTATTGAAGCCGATCGAATGCAAAAAAACGAAAGCTTTCCAAAGATCTCCAATCTAATCAATCAATAATTGTCCGTCATTTGGAAATAATCGGAATTCGCTTTCTACCAAAAGCCTTAACCGAAAGTTTTCAGTATTGTTACCACAGCAAGCCGCCTTAAATGGCTTAGGCTTGAGGCTTCAGGTTTAGATTTCAGGACTTCTATCGACTGTTAGGCTTACTAGGGATACTTTTGGATTTACATCTCGGTTTTGGGTCAAGTTCTAACAAATTTTGATCAGTTTTTTGCGCTGTTTCCGATGGTGTAGGTCATTTCGGGATGAGGGTTCTAAAATCTCGAGATATTTGGCTTCAAAGTTTACATCAAAATTGGGCATCCACGAAACCGTGCACCCACGAGTCATAAGGGTTTTACAGAGGTGTGTAAACGAGTCATAAGGGTTCTATAGAGGTGTGAGTTCGTGATCTGGTGGATAGTGGGACAAGCTCTCGCTCTTTTGTCCAGATCCGGCCGATCTTCTGCATATTTGGTCTACTAGACTTGATCTTTCTCTCCGGTGATTTGCAAGAAATGTTTGTGACTTTTAGAGATACAGAAACAGAGATTTCAGTCAAAGAAAACTCTTATTCTCCATTTTTGACATAAAGAATTGCTTTGAATATACTCACTTGTGCATTTTTAGTGTTTTTGTGTGATCTGTAGCGATCTGCTTCAATCTTTAACGCCTGCCCGTTGAGCAAATGAATTTATTCTGCCAAAAACAAAGAAAAATTTCCCTCATTTTTTGAGCACCGTTTTCGTGACGACGTGTGTGACAACATTTCGATAAGCCACCCACGGGTTGATTTGTTTGACGAGTAGATGGAAATGGTGGAGATTCGCCGAGGAATCCGCTTCTCGAAGGAACTTTTTCAACGGGAAAAGTGTCTGATTTGGGCACTCGGTGGCGTAGATCATTGTCGCGTTTCGCTCAAACAAATCGCTCATCGCCGCGTCGGTTTTCAAGTTCGGCAACTGGATCGCTTTCTGGAAAGTGTAACACTTTAAATTGATTTTTCTATATTAGGTGTCACACTCTGTATTTCTTCTAAAGTGCGTTGCAAAATGATAAAACTAAATTTTACATTTTTTGGCTATGAAACTTAATAACATGATTTAAGTGCTAAGTAGCCCTCAAAGTTCACCAAGCTTTGAAGCGTTTGTGGTGGAACTGACGTCCAAACTTACAAAATGGCTCTATATATGCAAAAATAGGCATAAATCAAGTTTCTAACGTTATTTGAATAAATTTGCAACAAAATTATATTTGAAATTCTTATATTTGAAATTTTATTCAACACCTTTTGCAAAATCATAAAACCAAATAAAAAGAATAACAATAAATCCGAAAATAAACGAAACAAACGAAAAATAGAAACAAAAAATTCATTAATAATCAATAGAGGTTCCCTTTTTCTCGATGACATCCAGTGGTCGATTTTTCATCGAGTTCACCAAGTTTTGAAGCGTTTGTGATGGGATTGACGTCCTCTTTTGGCTCTTTTGATGGCTCTTTCATGTCGTAAGTCTTTCCATTAGCATAAATATTCCTCACAAGGATTCCTGACAAATTTTGGGTTTAAATCCGGTGAGCAGGCATGCCATTCGAGAAAATCGAAGTTGTGACGTTCCAGAAAAGCTTTAGTGGATTGCATAAAACAAAATCATAAAACCAAATAAAAAGAATTACAATAAATCCGAAAATAAACGAAACAAACGAAAAATAGAAACAAAAAATGCATTAATAATCAATAGAGGTTCCCTTTTTCTCGATGACATCCAGTGGTCGATTTTTTATCGAGTTCACCAAGTTTTGAAGCGTTTGTGATGGGATTGACGTCCTCTTTTGGCTCTTTTGATGGCTCTTTCATGTCGTAAGTCTTTCCATTAGCATAAATATTCCTCACAAGGATTCCTGACAAATTTTGGGTTTAAGTCCGGTGAGCAGGCAGGCCATTCGAGAAAGTCGAAGTTGTGACGTTCCAGAAAAGCTTTAGTGGATTGGTTGACATGAATTGAAGCATTATCCTGTTGAAAAATATAGTGTTTCCTTCGGTTTTGTGCTAGGAAAGGAGGCAGCTGTTCCGCAAGGACGTCTTGATAATCGTTCGAGTTCATACGACAAGTTACAAATTCTAGCTCAAGAACGTCATCCACATTGAAGGCGCTTCATACCATCAGTGATCCTCCTCCGAAGTTTCGACGTCCACAAAGCATTGGATCCTTTCTCTAATCATGCCGATAGTACTTGTTGCCATCTGGACCATCCAAATTAAATTTTTTTCATCGCTGAAGATAACCTATAAAGAAAAAAACAATTAACAGCTCAAGGCAAAAATTTTACTTTTTTCCAATCGATGGTGATGTGATGCTGAGCTCAAGACGTCCTTTTTTGTACGCCGGCTTCAGTTTTGGTGCTTTCTTCATGACTGATCTTTTGATATAAGGCATACACTTGATGGCTCAAGAAAGAGTGCTTTTGTGAACGGGAGCTCTAATTTTTGCCTTGACGTCCTGTAGTGACATTACCGAATTCAACAACAGACGTCCAATATGCCGCTCAGCGCGGCCCGTGAGCTTTCGCTGACGTTCCGGAGACTTCTTCTTGTCATAATGGAAAGGATCCTTCAAGAAATTTGCGACAATTTGGTTTGAGCGCTTCATTTTTCTTTGCGATCTTCTGATTTGACAGCTTTCTTCCTTTGAAAATTGCAATTTTCATCTGTTCAATCTGTGAAAGAGATTTTCCACGCTCCATCTTCCTAAAAAAATCAAAATTAGTTTGAAAAAGAAATAGAACAAGCAAAAAAAAATGGTTATTATAAGTAGAAAATGAAAGAGAAACGTGATGGTCTTTCATTTTGCGAAAGGTGCAAAATAAAGAAATGATTAAATAATTGTGGCTTTAAAAGTAAATGTTTCATTTCGTAAACGGTTTTTGCGCGTACTTTTGTATATAAAATTAGAATTTAAGCGTCGTTTTGCATTTTTAGTTATTTAAAGTTAAAAATCGCCAAAATCGACGGTGGTTCTATGATTTTGCAACGCACTGTATACCCTAACATCTAGTCTTACTAAAGCAAACTGTTGAATCAATCATTTTTAGAGACTTATGCTTCGAATAGCGGTCACTACAAGTGGTCTGATTGGGATTTGGAGCCAGCCTTTACTCGCTACTTCGAGAAAATCCCTATGCTCTGCCACCTGGCTCACCTCTTCAAATCGTCGAAATATCGCCTCAGCGTCGGCTTTCGTCAGACCAGATGTCCGGGAATAGAGTAGTGGATTGGGCAGTTTGCTAGGCAGTCCATTCACTTTGATCCAATCGTTCACCATTCGACTCGTCTTCTCATTCAGGTTGAAGCATAGCGTTTTCACCTCAGCGAGTCGAAAACTTTGCAGGATTTCCGCAGAGAGCCTGGCGATTTGCACGGTTTTCACGCGTTTCCGCTCTTCGCCCGCAAAGAAGCAGTCCTCCCACTGTTTCGTGTTCGGAATGTCGAGATGGGCCTCGTCGAAGGTGCGGAAGTTGAAATGGGGAAAGATTTGGGAAAGCAACAACGGTTCGAAGGACCACAACGAGATGTGGGCCGCGTCGAGGAGGCTCGGAAAGCACTCGGCGAACTTCTCGACCGGCAGCCAGCTTCGTTTGCCGCTTTTCGCCGTGTTGGTCACTTTAAGGCGGCGACACGAGTTCACCTAAAGCTTTCATTTAAGATTCAGATTTTTTTTCGGTCTTTATGACTCAGTGGTAACACTAAGCTTAGTTAAAAGACTGGATTTGCTCACCTGTCTCAATAGGGCCTTCCCGTGCTGGAGAATTCGCTGTGCCGTCCATCTCTGAGAGCCATTTTCAAGAGAAAAGTCGATGCTTGTGTCCCCATTTTCTGGGCTCCAAATGACCACATCAATTCGCGATAGGGTCTTCCCAAATGGCCCGTTGAGTAGGAGCCAATTGCGTAGTGATCTGTTCACTTGCAGTACCCTCATCGCCTCTCTTTCTCGTAGCTTTCTCAGCACCGAGTCGCGCAGTTCGCTCGGAAGCAAGAATATTTGAAATTTGGTAAGGTTTTGCCGTTGACGTCGCCTTTTTCTCTGTGCACGTGGCATTTTTTGGATGAAATCGTGGAAAATTTAGAAATTCACAAATAGGAGTAGAGTTGTTTGTGATTGGGGTGTTTTAGGGGGAATTTGATGGAATATTGGTGCTTTAAAAATGCTTTAAAAATAAATCAAGTTGATTCTTTGATAGAAAATAATCGGTTAAATGAATTTGAAAAGAAAATGAAGCGGATTTAAGAAAATGAAGCGAAAACCAGGAACCGATTACGCAACAAAGATACGAAACTCAATTTTTAGTGAGGGAAAAGGGACCGTCGCCTGTCCGCGTGCAAACAAATGACACCGCGGCTATGGGCGCTAAATGAGATGGATTTGATTGATTTTGTTGTGTCTAAAAAGATTGTAGAAGAAAGAAGGAGTACAATGCATCACTTCTTTCAATGTTTAAATTGGGTACCATCAAAAACATTTCTTAAATTATCGTTTTTAGACAATCATCATTTATTGGGTTGGGGACTATGACTCAGCGGCAAACTTTAAGACACTTTTTGTACGCATAAAGCCTTCTTTAAATATACGTTTTCTTTCATCAAAAGGATCCACTATTTCTCTACAAAATGACTTTTGAGAGATTCCACAAAGCTTTTCTTTCGTGGAGTTTATGAACTTTCAAACGCAGCTGATCAAAATGGCAAAGACTCCGACTCATCGTTTGAACAGTTTCTTCCACATAAACCTTCTTTGGTGTCTATGTAAAAAAGATAGAGCACATTCAATTACATAAGTTGCCAAATTTGCAGGAAGATCCCTCCAACCGTTTTTTTCTAGATGACACTTTGTAGTTTTTGTGAAAAAATGGCCTTTTCTTGAGCTGAGGCGCTGTTTGAGTTTTCTTTTAAATGTCATTTTGTAGAGAATTAGCTAACTTTTCTACTGATATCAAACGCGTATTATTTGACCAAGTCTGCTAGAAGTTTTAGAAATTTTTTTGATTTTCGGCGCCGAGTCATAGTCCCCAACCCAATACAAATTGCAGTAGAGACAAAAGAAACTGTTAGAATCTTCATCTTTTATACATCAGTCTACACATATATGAACATATATTCAAAAGTTGTTAATTTTTTTGTGTTCTTAAAGTCAAAGTGTTTGTCAGTTTTTGTTCTTGTTTTGACTGGTGTACTATGAGTTGGTGAATCCTATGCATAACATCGATGCTGATCTCTACTCAAAACAGTTGATGAGAGTTAGTGACTCATTGAAGAAATTGGGCATCAATCCGTCGAAGGTCCGTTTTTTGCAAGACAACGCAAAACACACAGCAAACACACAGCACACAGCAAAAGTCACTGACAAGAAGTTTGACGAGTTTGGCTGGAAACTTCTACCACATGCGCCTTATTCATCCGACCTAACACCCTCAGATTACTATTTGTTTCGATCGTTAAAGTAATTCCTCTATGGGAAACTTTTCGATGATCATGCACAAGTCAAAAAAAAGCATTTGATCTCTACTTTACTCAGAAGGACGCTCAGTTTTTTGAGAATGGTATCAAGGAATTGATGGCAAGAAGATGGCAAGAATGGCAAGAAGGCAAGATGGCAAGAAGGCAAGAATGGCAAGAAGATGACAAGAATGGCAAGAAGATGGCAAGAATGGCAAGAAGTCATCGATGGCAAGAAGTCAATGGCAGATGGTGGCAAGAAGTCAGCTAAAGATGGCAAGAAGTCATCGATAATAATGGAGAATACCTTTTGGATTAATGTTATCTTTTTGCGTTCTATAAAATAAAAAAATTGTTGCCTAAAACGATCGTTTATAACTTGCCAATCTAATACAAAAACGATTTTTAAAGATTTTAAATCTTCTTAAGTAGGTCTATTAAGTTTTAAGAAAGTTTTAAGTTTTACAAACTTCTTAAGAAGAAGTTTGTAAAACTTAAACATCCGCAAAAGCTTAGCGTCCTAGAACCTCTAGAAAAGACGACTGTCACTTATGAAAAGGTTTTTTTTTGAAAAATTCTTGTTTCTTATTACTTTTTACAATATGAAAACAAAAGAAACATGAAAATTTAAGAATTTACACTCATCCAATCCGATCAAAGAAGCCAATGAAAGATTCTAAATTTTGAGAAATCACCGGGAAAACGTTTTCTATGAACTTTCTTGTCAACGAAATATTTCAGATAACTTGAATGAAAGCACTTTTTTTGATCAATACAACCATTCACTTTGTGTAATAATTTTAACAAAGCCTGGTAAAGAAAATAAACGAATAAAATTTCTCGTTAGTTTAGTAAAAAAGAATTAGTAAAAAGGGCTATTTTGATAAAAAATGAAGAGCATAAGAAGTAGATGTTTTAGGATTTAAGATTAAACGCACAAATACTCACTTTCTGAAGGACAGAAGTATCTCTTTAAAAAGATAATTAAGCAGTGATAGATTTTTGAATTAAACATGAAATGTAAAGCACCTCCGTGATCGGGATCTCTTTACAAAAAGTTGAAATCTGATACACTGCAACTTTTATCGGCGCACAAACTCCGATTTAATTCCGTTTAATTCCGTTTAATTCCGTTTAATTCCGTTTAATTCCGTTTAATTCTGTTTAATTCCGTTTAATTCCGTTTAATTCTGTTTAATTCCGTTTAATTCCGTTTAATTCCGTTTAATTCTGTTTAATTCCGTTTAATTCTGTTTAATTCCGTTTAATTCTGTTTAATTCCGTTTAATTCCATTTAATTCCGTTTAATTCTGTTTAATTCCTTTGAATTCCATTTAATCCCGTTTAATTTCGTTTAATTTCGTTTAATTCCGTTTAATTCCGTGAATTTCGTTTAATTCCCAAGTTTAATCCCCCAATTGAAGGCTAATGTTGGCCAAGATAAAGACTGTTGTCAAGCACAACAGATTCTTTTAAATACAAATACACTTGTGCAAAACACTGTGCCTTGCACCAGTACTTTTTAGGTTAACTAATGAACTCATTAAGAATTTAGTTTTATTTACAAAAATCTGTGCCTTACATCGGTACTTTTACAGTTGATGAGAGTTAGTGACACAAATCTGTGCCTTACGCTGGTTCTTACACTCGTCCTTACACTGGTATTTCTAATAAACTAAAAAGAAAACAATTTCAGATTTTTGGGATTCAAAGGAAATCATTTGGTGGGATGAAGGAAAGGAGTGAGCATGACAAATGGGGGCTATGATGGGTAGAGAGGTGGAGAGGGAAAGGAGAGCGGAGTGGCTACTTGGATTACACGCTTGTGCCTTATAGAGGAAGAGAATAAGGTTCTTTCCTTCGAAAATGGAATACGAATGGACAAACGGAAAGAAAGGATCGGGAGAAGGAGAATAAAGAATGGAAAAAGGTGGAGTTGAATGAAGAAAAGGATGAAGGACCCATCTGGACGCTTCTTTTCTTCGACAGCCACGTTTTGGTCTTTAAAACTTTAAATAAAGCTTTTTCTTATACCTGGAATTCGAAATATTGATCTTTTCATGAATTTTTTGTTAGTTTTTGTCATTTTATGTCATTTTATGTCATTTTAGACAATTTTATTTAATTGAAAGTTTCAGAAAGAGATTGGAATGCTCTTGGTTTTCAATTTCTTTTTGGCAAGCTTTTTCTCAGCAGGTATCTAATAAATTCTTTAATAAAACATCTAATAAAACATCTAATAAAACTAATAATAAACTAAAATTGTAAAAATCTATATTGTATACAACAAATTGTATACAAAAAACTTGCAAAACTTGAAATTTTCATGAATTAAACTATCAAAAAGTTTCAGTGTTCTGCGCGCAAGCCGAGGAGCGGCTAATGGCTGATGTTTTTCGGGGATATAATAATTTAATATTGGTAAAGTATGAGATATATTATTGGGTTGGGGAGAATGAGTCGGCGCCAAACTTTAAAGGGACTTTTTGCACACATAAAGCCTCTTTAAACAACGTTTGGTTTCATCAAAAGGATCCACTATTCTCTACAAAATCACTTTTAAGAGATTCCACAAAGCTTTTCTTTCGTGGAGTTTATGAACTTCGAAACGCAGCTGGTTAAAATGGCAAAGAGTCCGACTCATCATTTGAACAGTTTCTTTCACATAAACCTTCTTTGGTGTTTATATAAAAAAGAAGAGCACATTGAATTACTTAAGTTGCCAAATTTGCAGGAAGATCCCACCAATGCTTTTTTCTAGATCACAGTTTGTAGTTTTTGTGAAAAAATGGCTTTTTCTTGAGCGGAGGCGCTGTTTGAATTTTCTTTTAAATGTCATTTTATAGAGAATTAGTTAACCATTCTATTGATATCAAACGCATATTATTTCACGAAGTCGAATAGAAGTTTTAGACATTTTTTTGATTTTCGGCGCCGACTCATTCTCCCCAACCCAATATTTAGATTTTGATTAGACATTTCTAAAAACATATCTAACCAAATTGTTCAATGAAAACTCTTTTTCAGCCAGTGAATTCTCTTTTGAAGGACACTGGTTTTGAATAAATTGTGGACAAATTGGTATTAGATCAAAATATATTGGAACCGTATTAGCTCAAAATAGGAAGCGTATTGGAACCGGATTGGAAGCGTATTAGATCAAAATAGGAGCCGTATTGGAACCGTGTTGGAACCGTATTAGATCAAAATAGGAAGCGTATTGGAACCGTGTTGGAACCGTATTGGAACCTTATTTGTTTCATAATAGGAACCGTATTGTTACCGTATTGGAACCGTATTGGAACCGTATTAGATCAAAATAGGAAGCGTATTGGAGCCGTATTGGAACCGTATTAGAACCGTATTAGATCAAAATAGGAAGCGTATTGGAACCGTGTTGGAACCGTATTAGAACCGTATTAGATCAAAATAGGAAGCGTATTGGAACCGACAATACCATTATATCGGAAAAGCTTATGAGAAAAATGATATTATGTTTATAGCGAGTAAAAACTCGCAGAATTTAACATAACTCTTTTTCGAGCAAACATAACTTTTTTCAGCCAGTGAAAAACAATTCTCAATTGCCGATGACTGTCAAAGTGGCTCTTCAAGTGCAGCTATTGATCAATGTGGTCAGTTTATTTGAGTTTAAACACAGAAAAATCAAAGCATCAAATCAATCAAACTTTACTACTTGATTACTAGAGTATTGTAGAAGATTCTAGTATAGAATTCTATCCTAGAATTTTCAAAATTGACAAAATATTGACTGGAATTAAGGAATTTCCAGGATGAGATGACTCAAGTGATGCACACGAATGTTTGGGTGACGCTAGTGGGTTTATTATCTGAGGAAAAAGCAAAACTAGCATTTCAGCATTTTAACTAGCATTTCATTTACAAATCCTCTTTCTATATTTCTATAATGATTTTAGCAATGGACAGATTTCCAAATGAAATGGAATCCATTGGAATACGATGATATTGGGATAATTCGCGTTCCTCCGGATAAAGTCTGGGTGCCTGATGTAGTGCTGTTTAATAAGTGAGTATATAGATAAAGTAATCTTTAGCATAATAGAAATAAGCTACAGTATAAAAGATCTAGAATAAAGTACATTTCTAGTGCCGATGGTCGTTTCGAGGTGGGTTTCATGTGCAATGTGGTCATTGAAAGCGATGGGCAAATGCTTTGGGTACCGCCAGCGATCTATAAAAGCTCTTGTATTATAGGTAAAGGTTTAGAAGGATCTTTAGACGATCTTTGATCTTTAGGACGATCTTTAGGGAGATCTTTAGAAGATCTTTAGAAGGATCTTTAGAAGATCTATAGAAGATCTTTAGACGATCTTTAGAAGGATCTTTAGAAGATCTTTAGAAGGATCTTTAGAAGATCTATAGAAGATCTATAGAAGATCTTTAGACGATCTTTAGAAGAAATAAAAATCTTTTTGTAAACTTTTGCAGATGTCGAGTTTTTCCCATTCGATGAACAAGTTTGCGATATGGTTTTCGGTTCGTGGACAGTGAGTTTAAAGTTTTCACGAAATTTCAACTCAATTTTCAGTACAACAGCAAAGAGGTGGTCTTGGATTTTGTTTCAATTCCCGGAGCTGATCTATCCGGTTTGTCAAGTTGTCAATGAAAGTTTAAAGAAAACATCCTTTTTTTTCTCGAGAAGTTGGCCGTTTGGCCGTTTTTAAATCAAAACAAAAGCAAAAAAGCAGAAATTTCTGTAGATTTCTAACCAGAAAGTACCAGAAAGGTACATTTCTGTTTTTCAAAGCAATAACAATAGCTGTTCTTTAGCAATAGCTGTTCTTCAGCAATAGCTGTTCTTTAGCAATAGCTGTTCTTTAGAAATAGCTGTTCTTTAGTTCTTTAAATAGCTAAACATCTTTAGTCTATATGAACTCCTCAATTTGGGATATTGCTGACGCGCCGGCGTCGCTGGTAAACGATCGGAGTCGAATCGAGTTTCAGTTGAAAATTCGGTAAGAAAGAGAGAAAAGAGAGGCTTAAAAAGATCAATCAATGAACAATGACTTTGCTTTCACTTCAATCCTAATTTTCTAGCCGAAAGCCACTCTTTTACACAGTCGTTTTGATCATTCCCACCGTCATCATGGCTTTCCTTTCAATGGCTGTTTACTTTTTGCCAACTGACTCAAGTAAGTTCAGTTGTTTTTATCGATTTTATCATTCTGTTTAATTTAGCCGAAAAAATGACGCTCACTATCTCGATTTTATTCTCAATTGTCGTCTTTCTCTTGCTACTCACAAAGATTTTACCGCCAACCTCGAGCACCATTCCGCTTATGGCAAAGTGGGGTTTGAAACATTGAAAATCATAAGAAAATGAGATAATAATAGAGAAAATGATATAATAACAGACTTCTAAAGAGCAACTTTTAAACCTTTTAACCCTTTTAAACCTTTTAAACCTTTTAAACCTTTTAAACCTTTTGGGTGACTCAAAAGGGAATGACGTTGAACTGGGGCTGATGTTTCAGGAGAAAACACCAGTCTGATATGGGCATTTCAAAAATCTAGCCAGTTTTTGAGTTAACTCAAAAAGTTGGGCAAAACTGGGAAGCCTGGACTCAGCCTGGACTCTAGCTTACCGGGCAACTGTGCCAGCCATAGCCACTGTGCATTACACTACAATGCACTTGATCTCCCTACACCGACATCTCTCTAACTTCAGAGGGAGTGAACTTTTGCCTAAATTAAAATCCTGGCGAGAAAAATGCCCCTTTGAAGTTTCGTCCCTAGCCAATAAGAGTCCCCTAGTCAATAAGAACGAGCCACACACGACGAAAAATAAAAAGGCGGTGACCTAGGTTTAGTGTGCCGGACTACAGAACCCATAGGGGGTGGTTGCTTTCCGCCAAATTTTTTGCGCAACTGGGTCATTTGCGCAACTTTTCAACACATTTTCAACGAAGGTCTCAACGAGTTTCAACCTTTCCACAACTTTCCCACAACTTTCCCCACAACTTTTTAAACACTTTTGCGAGCAAGTCTCTTCTCAACAAACTCCCAACGTTGCGTTAAATGCGTTGATAAGTTGCGCAAATGATCCATTTTGCGCTAAAAATTTGATGGAAAGTGACCTAGAGCGCTTTTCGCTGTAGGTTTTTAAAACTATTTATAGTGACAAGTTGTAGTTGTAACAGTGCTGTCTTTGTTGTCAGACGATTCCAGCTTTAAGCTTTAAGAGCTGCGCAAATTTGTGCTATCTATATATACTTCTATAGATACTTCTTTAGATACTTATTGCTAACATTTGTCCTCAATGTGATCACGATCTTGGTGACGGTGGTCATCGTGAATGTGTATTTTCGAGGCCAAAACACGCATCGAATGCCTCATTGGGTGCGACAAGTTTTCCTCGAGGTGAGAAAAGAAAAGTTTGGAGGAAATTGATGTTAATTGGAGTCAATTGGAGTCAATTGGAGTCAATTGATGTCAATTGATGTCAATTCTTAGTCAAATCTTGTGAGCCAATTGATGTCAATTGATCTCAATTGTGAGTCAATTGTGAGGCAAACTAGTGAGTCAATTGTGAGTCAGTTGATGTCAATTGTGAGGCAAACTAGTGAGCCAATTGTGAGGCAAACTAGTGAGCCAATTGTGAGGCAAACTAGTGAGCCAATTGTGAGGCAAACTAGTGAGCCAATTGTGAGTCAGTTGATGTCAATTGTGAGGCAAACTAGTGAGCCAATTGATGTCAATTGTGAGTCAATTGTGAGGCAAACTAGTGAGTCAATTGATGTCAATTGATGTCAATTCTGAGTCAATTGTGAGTCAATTGATTCAAGCAACTCCTTTATTTCCAGTTTCTACCAAAATTCATTTGCATGAAGCCACCGAAAACCATCATTAAACACAACGAGGTAACGATTTTCTTTCAAAATGATTCCGATTTTTCTCTAGAGAGCCCGAATGTCATCAACGTTGGCTGGCTTGGAGAAATATTCTCTCAATTCTCTCACATCTCATCATCCACATTGCTCTAATCAAGAAAGGTTTTAAAGCCACAAGTGCCCAACAAGTGCCCAACAAGTGCCCAAACTTTAGCCTCGAGTTTTTGACTCCAAAACCGAACAACTCATCACTGAAGCCGTTTCTCTGCGCGTCGAAATTTCCATCAAAGTTGCCTCAAGAAGCGCACAAGTTAGTCACTATTTTTGCTGAATATTGAGTGAAATTGGCATTTTTTTAAACTCGCGAGTTTGGTAGCTTCACTTTTCAACCCGAAAAGCAGAAAAGCTTCTAAAAATTCACCTTTATTCAACAATGTCAGAGCCGTCGATGCGATCGAGTTCATCACACAAAATCTGAAGCAAAAAGAAGAGAACACTTTGGTGAGTTGCTAAAAGATATTCAGTCTATTGAGCACTTCGATATTGTAAAGAGATGAGAAACGGTCGATTTATCGACATTTATCGACATATAGGTCGATAAAATGCTTTAATAATAGTTGATTTTGTCTTAAAATCAACCATTTTGATGGTGGAATCGATTCATTTAACTATTCATGTTTCTATATACTTAATTCTTGAAAAATAAGACAATGATAAGAAGAAGAGTATGATAAGAAGAGGAGGATGATAAGAAGAAGAGTATGATAAGAAGAAGAGTATGACAAGAAGAAGAGGATGATAAGAAGAAGAGGATGATAAGAAGAAGAGTATGACAAGAAGATCAGTATGACAAGAAGAAGAGGATGATAAGAAGAAGAGGATGATAAGAAGAAGAGTATGACAAGAAGAAGAGTATGACAAGAAGAGGAGGATGATAAGAAGAAGAGGATGATAAGAAGAAGAGTATGACAAGAAGATCAGTATGACAAGAAGAAGAGTATGACAAGAAGATCAGTATGATAAGAAGATCAGTATGACAAGAAGAAGAGTATGATAGGAAGAAGAGTATGATAAGAAGAAGAGGATGATAAGAAGAGGATGATAAGAAGAAGAGTATGATAAGAAGAAGAGTATGACAAGAAGAAGAGTATGACAAGAAGAAGAGGATGATAAGAAGAAGAGGATGACAAGAAGATCAGTATGATAAGAAGATCAGTATGACAAGTCAATATTCCCAAGTCAATATTCCCAAGTCAGTATAACAAATAGAACCAACCAATAAGTGACTAGAGATTCCAGTCAGCCTTTTTACTCTGACATACTGTAGAGTACTTTAGACTACTGTAGTTCTACTGTAGCAGAAATACTTTAGAATCGTGACGATTGGCGTTTCGTGGGGATCGTTTTAGATCGTCTGATGTTGTATCTTTTCTTTGGCGTGACTCTTGGTGGAACAATCGGCATTTTAACGTCATCAGATCACATTTTTGATGGTAAATTGAAAAAGGGAAATTTTTCTAGTTCTGATTTGAAAAAATTACCGTAATTTTGTTCAGTTTTATCTAGTCGTAAATTGCGGTATCTCGATTCTGATAGTTGCTTGAAAGTAGGCATTTTTAAGCCACATTTTTAAGAAAGCTTTAAACTATTCATTTGCAGTGGTCGATCAATACGCGGTCGTCGAAAAGTACAATCCAAATAACTACAAAGATAAACCGTGGATACCAAATGAATAAAGATTTTGAACTACAAGAAATCTCAATTTAAAAACTACAAGAAATCACAATTCTTCAAAATTTCGTCTATTAATTTTCGATTTTCGTTCTTTTCTTTGAATCTATAGCCTTTAAAGGAAGAAATTCCTTTAATAAACAAGTTTTAATTCAATCAATATCAATTTAATAATGAATTAAATCAAATCAAATTAATAGTGAATAAAGATTAAAAAAAGAATGGCCGGTGACGCCACAAGCCATTTTGGGAAATCAAAAATTTTTCTTTTAATTCTTCAACTTTTTCTTATATTTTCGATGAGTTTCTGAAGATTATAGCGAATTTTTTTTGCAAGTTTGTGGAGAGAAGTTCGAGGTAAAACTGGAAGAGGAGGATCCAAGTTTTCCCATTGATTAGCCGGCCATTCAGAGGATGCAATACCAAGTGGGGATTTTGAGGAATTAAGGGAATTAATCACGATAAACTTTAGCATCACCACCACCGTTTCCGATTGGATTACAAGAGATTGGATTGGGATTGGATTGAAGCTCTACAAGCGATTGGATTGGAGCTCTACAAGGGATTGGATTGGGGCTCTACAAGCGATTGGATTGAAGCTCTACAAGGGATTGGATTGGAGCTGTACAAGGGATTGGATTGGAGCTCTACAAGGGATTGGATTGGAGCTTTACAAGGGATTGGATTGGAGCTGTACAAGGGATTGGATTGGAGCTCTACAAGGGATTGGATTGGAGCTTTACAAGGGATTGGATTGGAGCTGTATAAGGGATTGGATTGGAGCTCTACAAGGGATTGGATTGGAGCTCTACAAAGGATTGGATTGGGGCTCTACAAGCGATTGGATTGGAGCTCTACAAAGGATTGGATTGGGGCTCTACAAGCGATTGGATTGGAGCTCTACAAAGGATTGGATTGGGGCTCTACAAGCGATTTAAGCAAACATGCAAGTAAAGGGCTTTAAAATAAGATCTGTAAAATCTTTAAGATCTTTAAGATCTTCTAGAAAATTCTAGATTGTATCAATTAATTGGGCAATTCTTGGTGAGATTTTCGGCTGAAACACTCGAGCCTCCAAGTAAAACTAAAGAGCTAACAACGACTAGTGCCGCCATTACCAAGAAACATTTTGGTGATTGGATTACTTACCAAACTTTTGTTTAATCAATAAATCGTTTTAGTCACCTAAAACCACTTCAAAAGTAAAGAAAACTACAATTTCAACGACTTCAACAACAACAATAACAACAATAACAACAATAACAACAATAACAACAATAACAACAATAACAACAACAACATCGGAAAAGCCATCCTCAACTACAAGATTCCATCCATGCCCATTTAAGCTTTCCTCCTGTCCAGTTTATTAACCTTTTTTGATGTCTTTTTTAAAAACTTTAACCACACCAAGCACAACAAAGACAACAAGAACAAAGACAAGAAGAAACCAATAATTTCTCCAACAACTCAAAAGGAAATCGATACAACTAGATCTTACAATTATTATAGAATGGATAAGGAAAAGATCTCGAAGAGCACAGGTGCCAAGTTTAGATAAAACTATGAATACTTTATTCAGTTTTATCTAAACTTGGCCTAAATCGTATAAAATCTGAAGCTTTGTTAAGCAAGAATATCGAAATCGAACTCAAGTTCTCAAGTACCTGTTCTCTTAGAGAGATCTTGTATAAAAGTTTACCAGTAGTTTACCAGTTTATAAGTAGCTGTTTACAGTTTACAAGTAGCTAAGTTTACAAGTAACTAAGCTTATAAGTAACTAAGTTTACAATTAGCTAAGTTTACAAGTAACTAAGCTTACAAGTAACAAAGCTTACAAGGAGCTAACTTTACAAGTAGCTAAGTTTACAAGTAGCTAACTAGTACTGTCTCTAGATTCAATAAGACTTTCCAACAACTTCAACTCGAACAACTTCAACTCCAACAACTTCAACTCCAACAACTTCAACTCCAACAACTTCAACTCCAACAACTTCAACTCCAACAACTTCAACTCCAACAACTTCAACAAATCTTTCAACGGCATTCTCGACTCTAATCAAACCCTTTTTTAAATCTTCTTAAAATAGTGAGTGAATGTGCGAATAAGCCATCTTTTCTTTTTTTTTTCATTTTTTAAGAGCTTTTCTTTGAACCTGATAAAGGCTCAAGTTCAATAGTAAACGGAAAACATTTTTCTATTTTAAAATAATGCTTTCTATTTGTTTTATGCTATTTTTTGGATTGGGTAAGTGATTTGTTGAAGTCAAAGACTTTTCCACAGTTTTCTCGGAGCAAATTCGAATTGATTTGACCGAAATCGATGCCTCGTATGCGGTTGATGGGACTAAATTTGATAATATGACTGTGAGTTCGATTTGGAAATGATTGAAAGAGGCAAAAAGTAGGCCAAGCCTCAGACAAGCCCCAGGGGAAACATAAGAAAACTTTCTTGAGTCAGGTCAGAAACTACCTTCCATAAGCCGACAAAAGCCAGAACTATTAGCCAGTCAAAAACCAAGTCTAAATCTAGCTTCTGGCTTGGCCCTGGCTTACTGGCTTAGAGTTGACTGGATGTGCTGGTTAACTGGATGTGCTGGTTAACTGGATGTGCTGGTTAACTGGATGTACTGGCTAACTGGATGTACTACTTAACTGGATGTACTGGTTAATTGGATGTGCTGGATGGCCATAAACCATTCAACGCAGAATTTCATGCTACTTTTCTTTTTTGCTACGGATTACTCCGTCAAAAGTTATAACCGTTTAAAGTTTTGTAAGTGTTTCAAAACCGGGTGTTACAACCCTGTCTTCCGCTACCTTACCACTTGCAGTGGTGGCCGAATGGTAGTGAGTTAAGAAGCAATTCGAGATCCCACTGGTTCGAGTCCGTTAGCTGATTCTCTTTTTCTTTTTTAGGTTTTAATGCAGTCTCGGTTTTAGAAAATTAGTTTATCTATGCTTTTGTTAGTTGTAAGATGCTTTCTTTGGCTTTCTTGTTTTAGAGAATTAGTTTAGCTATGCTTTCTTAGTTTAAAACTTGGTTTAAAACTCCAATTCAGAGCTTGTTCATCCTAACTCCAACGGGAAACGATCGAATCGTCGTGCAAGCTTATTTCGAGGAACAAAATGAAACGGATTTCACGTTATGGGATGGGATTTTTACGTACAGGTTTGTAATTGGAATTGGCTTTGGAAAATCAATGATTTGATTAGTTCAAAAGATTTGGGAAAAGAGACTTGGTTTGGCCCAAATTTGTCAATTGATATGGATAAAAACACGAATTTCCGATGGGCTCTTGTCTTCTGTCGGATCACGCAAAAGACAGGTAAGTTTTCGTATACTGTAACTACCGTAAATACGTAAATAGTACCCCACCCCCCTCGTACAGTCGCGTAGTTGCAAAAGTTTTAGTTTAGTTTTAATATTTCATTTTTTTTCAAAGCGCCCGTACTTTGAAAAAATGCGTCTTTGGTATCAAAAAATAGCCCTGAATTTCAGCTATTTTTTTGATATATGTTGTAGCATTGTAGCTTAAACCAGTGCCGAGAACGGGATGTTTAAAGTTAGACTACGCAACCATCCCGAAAAAACGCATTTTTCTCGACACTAGTTTATGCTACAATGCTCGTTTAGATATCAAAAATAGCTGAAATTCAGGGGTATTTTTAGATATTTAAACGCGTATTGTAGCAAAACCAGGTCGAGAAAACCGTTCAAAGCTAGACTAGCAACGCCCGCACCGCATTAGGGGGGTTATGCCAATGCAACATAGTCAAAAATAGCTGAATTCAGGGCTATTTGATACTAAACGAGCATTGTAGCAAAGCAGGTCTAGAAAAACGTTCGAGGTTCCTTCCGCGCTGCTTTATGCTACAATGCTCGTTTAGATATCAAAAAATAGCCCTGAATTTCAGCTATTTTTTGACATATGTTATAGCATTGTAGCATAAAGCAGCGCGGAGAATGGGATGTTTAAAGTTAGACTACGCAACCATCCCGAAAAAACGCGTTTTTCTAGACACTGGTTTATGCTACAATGATCGTTTAGATATCAAAAAATAGCTGCAATTGAGGGCTATTTTTTGATACATATTGTAGCATTGTAGCTTAAACCAGTGTCGAGAAAAACTCGTCCAAAGCTAGACTACGCAACGCTCCGCACCGTCATTATGGGCGGTGGGGTACTATTACAGTATTTACGGTTGATAATATTAAAGTATAAAGTATTGTTTGTACTTTCAGAAGCACTCTTCAACGCAACTCAAAGAGATCTTTTTTATTTGGATGAAATCGTGTCATATACAGTCTCAGTAAATCCCGAGAATTACACTTATTTTGTCACATTTGTGCATACTCTTGGCTACGAATACGCTCAACTTACGATTTTACCGTATATTGTAAGTTTTTTTGTTTAATAGAGAATTCATTCAGAGAATTGTAAGTGATGATCTAGACAAAGCTAGAATTAAGCCTTGGCTAAAGGATCTATCGTTCATAAAGTAAAAATAAACAAAAATTGAATCCTTGACCTTCTGCTTACCAATTTCCGATGCTCTACCACTGAGCTATTAGCTCAGAAGCTCAGAAGCTATTAGCTGTTAGCTGTTAGCTCAGAAGCTACTAGCTATTAGCTCAGAAGCTGTTAGCTATTAGCTCAGAAGCTAGGTTGATTCCGTTTCTACAACTCGAGTTATAGACCATCCAAGTTGATCAGCCTTTTCGGGCAGGTAAACTTTGACTCAAATTTTCTCTATGTTCTTACACTAGAGTGTACCAAATAAATTGTGGTTTTCTTTAACCAAATTTCATGAGGATCATTTTAAAATCAACCTCGAGTCGATCTGTCAATTGGAAGTCGAGTTATGGAAGAAAATAGAAGAGTCCCCAAAGTTTGATAGGGTGTACTCAGAAGCTCAGAAGCTATTAGCTATTAGCTCAGAAGCTCAGAAGCTATTAGCCATTAGCTCAGAAGCTATTAGCTATTAGCTATTAGCTTTCTTTACTCAGAAAAATTAGGAAAGACAAGGAAGAAGAAAGAAGGAAGAAGAAAGTTTAGGATGATTCAACGCCGGATTGTCAGATGACTCTTTACTCTTATGGGAATTCCGAGTTTAGAAGGATATCCAAAATATGTATTACAGCGTTTCGGGTAACGTTGAGCTTTATTAAAGTTTATTGTCTTTCAGAAATCATGACTCATCCCTTGTCAACTTTGTTGACAGTGCTGTTTTAAGTTTCGTAGCAACTGTTGAAGTTCCACCCGGATGTTCGGGATCAATCTGGGCAACTACGCTGCGTGGTGGCTTGAAAGTTTCCATTTGAAGTTGTTTTAAAGCTTTCAGAATTCAACTTCAACACCGTTTCCCTTGAGGAAGTCCCAATTCATCAGGGTTTCGTGATGAGTCAAGGATATCCACGTGCAAATGATCTCGAGAAAGAGAGACCCATTGAGATCACCTATAAAGTTGATGATTTATGTAAAATGAATTAATTTAACAAGTTGAGAAGAGCAAAAATTTCAGTTGAAAGACGAGAAGAGACGCAATTTGTTGTTGATTTGGTGAAAATGGAAAAAAGTGGATTCTTGGAGATAAATATTGGGAAAGATGATCATATAAAGTGAGCTTGAGAGGGGAAATCTTATTGACAATTTCTAGGACTAAATTCTAGAACTAAATTTCCAGGAACAGTTCTGGGTGAAGGCTAGCTTGGCTACAAGGCTAGCTACAAGGCTGGCTACAAGGCTGGCTACAAGGCTGGCTACAAGGCTGGCTACAAGGCTGGCTACAAGGCTGGCTACAAGGCTGGCTTGGCTACAAGGCTACAAGCTGGCTCTGGCTTGACCCAATCGTTCATGGTCTTGGCCCTAGCCTGGCCTTAAAGCCTCTCCTGGCCTTAAAGCCTGTCCTGGCTTATAGCCTGGAAGATCAGTTTTGACTATCATTAGTAGATTTCAAAAGCTATATCTTATCTTCAGTGTGACAACCTTAACGACCAGTCTAGGCTTTGAAGGACAAGGTGCGGAGATGGAGGTAAACTAAAAACAACAATTCCTAGTTTTCAAAGCTTCAGCTTCTCTACAAAACGGAAAACAATGGGAGTTTTCTTTTGCGGTTTGAATCAAGAACCCCAATTGAGCCAAAGGAATCAACAATGGCTACAGTGACACCAAAAACAAGTAAACCAACGCGTTCTCTTTGAGAACTTTTGGAACTTTGGATCATTGACAGACAGATTTCTGGCTTACTGTAGAACTACTTGACATCATCGACTCAGAACAACACCCTTTCTAACGCCCTTCCTTTTTAAAGATTCTATTCCCAGTTTAGGCAAATCTAATTACGATAGAAGAGTCAGATTACTGTAATTTAGTGTACTCAATGATTTCTTTTCAAAAAATGACAATGATTTCAGCGGGAGAAACCACTACAACCACAAGTAAACCAACGCGATCACCGTTCTCTTTGAGAACTCTTGGAACTTTCACTTTTCCACCGATTACCCGTCATACAAGTGAGTGAGGGAAACTTGACAAAAACTTAGACTTCCTTGTTTTTGCAAAAACAAATAAACAACTGGGTCTAGTTTTGTGATGTTTATATTTCCGGGTTGAGCTTTAAATGTTAGACTGACAACCATAGCTTACTTGCCTTGCCAACACAGCTTACTATAAAGCATCTGGAAACCTGGATAGCCTGGCTTACTGTAGAACCTGTAGAACTCTACTAGTAGCTTATGATAGAACATGGTTTGCTGTAGAACTTGAAACTGGCTTACTGTATAATCCTGAGCATATATGGAGTACAGTAAAACAATTAGATTAGTTAATGGACTCAAATAAATAAACTCTTTTTTAAAACTTGCAACTTTAGCAGAAAAAACTCCAGCCACTACCTCATCAACAACAAAAATTTCATTGTTTTTTGATTTGATTTTCTTGGTTTTATATTTGAGCTGTTAGAATGAATATTTATTATTTTATTGAGATCAATCATCGTCTTCGGCAATGCAAAATTGGGAATAATCGGGATTCGTATTCTTCGGCTCATAACCTGGAAAAAGGCTGGGTTAGGTTTTGAGGTGATAAGTGAGTTTCAGCACAGTACAGGCTTGCAGCACCAAAGTACAGGATACAGTTCACCGTACAGGATACAGTACACCAAAGTACAATATGATGGCAAGCTTAGACGCTACTGTACTTGTCTATTGTATTACTGTGGATCTTGTAGAGCTTTATCTAACCTAATCGACTAGATAAAGCTAATATATCGATTACTTTATCTCTATAAAGCTATCCATCAATTACTTTATCTTTATAAAGCTAAGCTATCAATTACTTTATTTCTATAAAGCTAACCTATCGATTGCTTTATCTCTATAAAGCTAATCTATTTAATCTTTATCTCTTCACCTAATGTTTCCATCATTGGAGCTAATTGAGCGACTTTGTGCAGAAGTGAATCGGAAAAGTAACCCTTCCATTGATGGAGAGCATTCTGATAGACTTGTTTGACAACTTGGTTTGAGCTGAACTCTAATCTGAAAAGCATTTACCATAATCAGGACAGAATAGGAACAGAAACAGATAGCGTCTAGCTATCAGTAATTACTCTTTATCCAAATCACTCACGGATTTATATTGATCTCTCCAATATGTTTCTCGTGCTCAAGCACTTGTTCAGACCACGGTTCATTCAAGAATTTCAGGATTTTCTCCATTTCTTTACGTGGAGAGATCACCAATGACTCGTAATGAACCTGAAATTTTTTAATTCAACAGTTAAGCATTTAAATTCACCAGTAAACAATTGTTTCCAACTTGTCGACACTGTCCGACCATCTTTTTCATGTTCTCATTCCAAACACGGAAACATTCCTAAAACATTTATCTAAAAAAGGTTTATCTAAAAGGAAATGAGTTTAATCTAATATAAAAAGTGACCAAAAATTATGAGAAATCAAAGAAAAACCCTGACAAACAACCAAAGATTCAATCATTCTTGAAAATTTTATTGTATAACAATAGTAAATTAACAAATGGCTTTAAATTTGTTTACATTAACATTAAGGATTCCTTCTACGGACTTCCTTCCTCCTTTGAGGATTCCTTCTACGGTAAATATCTTTTCCTCAGTAAACAGAGTGTTGTGATGATCAATTCCGTTGAACCTTCTCAAAAGCTGATTGCACCGGACCGGTTAGCAAAATCATTTCGTTTGTTCTTTGCCACTGAAAGCATTTGTGATTCTTAGGGTTTGCAGGGCTACACTTTGAGCTTTTTCTTGATGATTTTCTTGATTTTTTCTTGATGAGCTTTTCTTGAGTCTCATTTTCCGTGCGACTCCTTGTGCTGACTGGTTAGGGTTCCGCCTCAAGCGTTTGCGCACCTTCTTGATATTTGTCCGCATCGCCACAATTGACCGAGAACCCCTTTCTTTTGGGGGTATTCTAGAATGGGGGTATTCTAGAATGGGGTATTCTAGAATGGGGTATTCTAGAATGGGGTATCCTAGGATGTGGGTATCCTAGGATGTGGGTATTCTAGAATGGGGGTATTCTAGAATGGGGGTATTCTAGAATGGGGTATTCTAGAATGGGGGTATTCTAGAATGGGGGTATTCTAGAATGGGGGTATTCTAGAATGGGGGTATTCTAGAATGGGGGTATCCTAGGATGGGGGTATCCTAGAATGGGGGTATCCTAGAATGGGGGTATTCTAGAATGGGGGTATTCTAGAATGGGGGTATTCTAGAATGGGGGTATTCTAGAATGGGGGTATTCTAGAATGGGGTATTCTAGAATGGGGGTATTCTAGAATGGGGGTATCCTAGGATGGGGTATTCTAGAATGGGGGTATTCTAGAATGGGGGTATTCTAGAATGGGGTATCCTAGAATGGGGGTATTCTAGAATGGGGGTATTCTAGAATGGGGGTATTCTAGAATGGGGGTATTCTAGAATGGGGGTATTCTAGAATGGGGTATCCTAGGATGTGGGTATCCTAGGATGGGGGTATTCTAGGATGTGGGTATTCTAGGATGGGGTATTCTAGAATGGGGGTATCCTAGAATGTTAGTAAACAAACGTGACAACAAGAAAATACACAAAAAAACCCAAAATAAATAGCTAGAAATCGTAAAAAGTTGTCGAAAACACGCTACGGTGTGGTTCCTATAATTGACGGTCATCCTGTAGAATATTGAGCATTTAACCCATAACTTTTCAGGTTAGCAATCACCTCTTCATCATCAAAAACAAATCCCGAAACGGGGAGTCGCCGCGATAGAATTGAATGTACCACAGCACGGGAGTCTCTGGAAATGAAAAAAGTAATTATTTAAAGATTTAAAGATTTAAAAAGATTTAAAAACGATTCACCTTATTAGTACAATAAATTTAGCATTTGGGAAGATTTTCGCTAGATAAGTGTTGTACCAAGAGGAGAATGGATCCTTGTTACAGTAGCGAGCTGCAGGTTGGCCGTGTTTTGCGATCACCTGAAAAACAATCAAATAAACAAGAAGCAATTCATTTTCTAAATGATTGGCTATTTAGAAAGCTATCTTCATCTATCGTAATCCTTTTTCTAGTTTAATTGACTAATTCTGATCTTTCGATGATCAAAATTAGAACTGAGAAGGGGGATTACGGTAGCTTGCTGTAGCTTGCTGTAGCTTGCTGTAGCTTGCTGTAGCTTCTTGTTTACTCTAGCTTTTGATATTACGATAGTTTTCCAAGATTACGATAGTTTTCTAAGCTTTCAATGTTTTAGAAAAGATGAAACATTGTTTTTGATGTTTTGGAAAGTGCAAAAGTCACCTCAACGATAAACGCTGAAACAGCCGCGTCAATCACTTGTTCGGTCACATTTGAGCCTAGATTTCAACTCAATTCTCATAAAATCTTTGTCAATTAAATAGAAATCTGTTTGTTTATTTGATCAACAAGGGATAATCCATGCTTTCTGTTTGCAGAGAGCTTAGAAAACGGTTTAGAAGAGGTTTAGAAGAGGAGAAGAGTTCAAAAAGAGCAACGAAACAACACTGGGTTTTGATTGAAGAAAACTGAAGCAGTAAATAGCAGTAAATAGCAGTAAATCGCAGTAAATAGCAAGATTTCTGAATTAAGCTCTCAAAATCTTCAATAAAATGACTAAATTGTCATTGTGATATTTGTTAATTGAATAATTGAAGCAATTCCTCACCAGCTGTCATCCCTTGACTCCATCTTTCTCGATCGGTGAGAATATATGGAATCAGTACCGTCTCCTCACCACTAAATAGCTTTTAAATGATCTCATTTACCATCTGATTCTTAATCTCATTTACCATCTGATTCTTTGATGTGCATCCAACATGACTCTCAACAAAGTCGTGCCCGTTCTAGGAATTCCACCTGAAATCCTGATTCTTTCCTCCCAAATTACTCTTTCGAGTTCAAAAGCAATCCGTTGGCTACTTGCGATCTGTTGGTACTGCCCAAAAACGCACTCTTTCTAGCGTACCAGAAAGAGATTTATTTGGATTTCTTTCTGGTATTGGTCTTTTTTTTTTTTTTTGTTGTTGGTGGTGTAATGTTTCTATTTGTTACTAGTAATGTTTCTATTTCTTACTGGTAATGTTTCTATTGTCTTTCTGGTAATGTTTCTATTTCTTACTGGTAATGTTTCTATTTCTTACTGGTAATGTTTCTATTTCTTACTGGTAATGTTTCTATTGTCTTTCTAGTAATGTTTCTATTGTCTTACTGGTAATGTTTCTACTTTTTCTGGTAATGTTTCTATTTCTTTCTGGTACTGGTCTTTCTATTTCTATTTCTTTTTGGTAATGTTTCTATTTCTGAAAACTACTATAAACTCTTACCAATAAAGATCAATGGCTCTTCTGTACTCAAAATCGTTCTCATTCTTTCCTTTTCTCCCTTAAAAGTTGCCCTTTGAAATCTGCTTTTCGAAGAAAATAAAAACAAAGAATAGCTGAAGATCAACAAAGTGCCACAAAGAGTGGCCAATGCTGTGTATCGAGTTCGCATCTTGATAATACAATCATCAATTTCAATCAGAATATTAGTCAGAATATCAGTCAGAATATCAATCAGAATATCAGTTGACCATTATATAAAGGGAATAGTTAGAATAATCCCTCTCTTCTTGCAGAAGAATAAGAAGATTTTGAATCGAGTGTAGAGAAGAGAGTGGGAAATGAGATGGGGAGGGACTTGAAGAGAGAAGAGAAAGGAGAAGAGAGAAGAGAAAAGGGAAGAGAAAAGAGAAGAGAAATGGGAACCTGAGAACCTGAAACCCCTCGAAAATCTCCGAACTCTTCCACCTGAAAAACTCTTCCACCTGAAAGTTAACCGGTGCAACGATTCGAAACAAAAGAAAACCCTTAAAGTGGTCTTTTGGAGTTTTTAGTACTATTTTTGATTTAGGTTAGGCTAGATCAGATCAAGCTTAATCCAGAAACAGGAAATGTGATGGGGAACCTGAGAGAAGAGAAGAGAAAATTTGAAAAGAGAACCTGAGAACCAAACAAGTCCAGAACAAGAACAAGGACAAGAACAAGGACAAGGACAAGGGCCATTTTGTACATTTGTATAAGCTTTTAGGCTAACAATCGACTAAATCAAGCTCTAGATGGGATCAAGCTGGGAAAGTAAATCGAAAATCTTCTTTTCCGTTGAAGAAATATTGTGAGCCTTCGTGAAACCAAAAAAAAACAGCACTTATCGCCTTTCTTCTCTTTTTTTGCCCAAAATGTTGCACGTTTTCTTTAGCTTTTCGGACTTTTTTCTATGAGCTTATCCATCTACAACTTGTTTCCTAAACTTTCTTCATGTTTTCTTTGCTTTCCTTTTCTTTTCTTTTGTTCAACTGGACTTCTAAAGTGAGCCTGAGATTTCCAAAGCATGCAAGATAGATTAAAAGTTTGTAAATTTACTTTAAATGGGAACTGTATGCTTGGCAAAATGTCAGCAAGTGTAGATTACGTAGAACTTGACGTGGTGATGCCTTGGACCTGGCGATGCCTTGGACCTGGTGACACTAATCTTGGAATGCCTTGATGTGTATGCATCTCCTTGACATCCTTGACAATCTCAGTACTTGAGTAGAGAAGTTTGTTGATAGATTTGATCTGATATCAGCTTATCTGACAATCTCTGCACCATATTCGAGTCATAAAGCTTGTTCGTATCACCTCTGCTTATGCATTAAACTGCATTCCTAGTGCCCAACCCCAAAACTCCTTGTTTTTAAACCTAATCGACTTACAGTAATGACAGAAAATCGAATTTCTATAAGGTTTTTGATCTATTTGATTTGTTTGATCTGTTTTTTTCATCTTAAACATGATCATATTCATTTAAATAACTTCAAAAACGGCTCCGACGCTTTGAAAAAACTCTTGAAAATCTTAAACTAGATTTCTCGCCAGACTCTCAACTTTGTAAGGTCATATAAAGATTCTAGAAGCACCAATTAGTTAGAAAATTGGCTTTGATACAGAAGAGATACTCAAAAATCATCTCCAAAAATTTCATACAGATTCATTGAGTTCTCGCTAAGCTAGATCCTCAGAAGTGAGTCTCACGGTCACCCTGTACAATCGAATCACAGAGATCATGCGTAAATAGTTCGATTTCAGAGTCTCCAGCATCACTGGATCACTTGGCGCTGATCATTTCCTCGCCAAGATGTACTTCTTGATTCTCAGTCACAGAAAAAGCACTTTCCCAGCTCTGAAGAGTTGAGGTTTTGATGGGAGAAATGGGAGACCGCAGCCCTGTGTTCACCTTGATGTCCACCAATGTCTACCCACAAACAAACACGAGAAGAGACGGACAAACACGAGTTTGCACAACAGTCATTGCGTCAAGAGGGAAGAGTGAGAAAAAAAAGGACTCTTTGTGGAAGAGATCTTTTTGTGCCCCAAAGGATTCTCGAAAAAAAATCGAACGATCTGATCTTAGATGCCGTTTCGATTTCAAAGAAAACAAGTTTAATCAAGAAATTGATTGTGCAAGGAAGTAAATTGGTTATTAAATTAGAATCTCTAGCTGGAGAAGGACATGGTGAACTCAAACATCATCCATTCATCAGCTTTAAAGTCATTTAAAGGTGAAGTCATCCATTCATCAGTTTTAAACAGTTACTCAAATGAAAGTTTTCGAAAACTTTGATGGAAAGATTGGAAAGAAATATTGGAAGAAAAGATTTAAAGGAAAGAGTCCTTCTTTTTTGTGCACTTTTTACTAGACAACAGTGTAAACACATCCTTTCTGGCGAACCTATTTGTAGCTTTTTAAGTGCTGACAAGTTCGTCCTCTTGCACATCACTGACTAGGGAAAGGTATCAGGTGATGATGGTCTTTTAATACGAGAGCCACGGGACTTTATAGAATCGGTTATGCCGATTCTGAATATGCTTTTACTTTTTCCAAATGAGCTCTGTAACGCGAGATATCTAGCATCAAAGTCTAGGCCGATAACCTTTCTCACTCACTCACTCCGATATAACCTTTCTCACTCTTGGTCCACTCGAGACCTAGTAGCGCAGTGGATAGTGTGCTCGCCTCCAAAACGGTTCGAGGTCTTCTTTTTTCGAGGTTGTCGAGTTCGCTTCCGGCATATTCTTTTTGCTTTTTTTGAAAAAATGATTAGGTTCCGCTGAAAAAGCCACTAGATCCCTATTTGACGAAGAGAGAGAAAGGTTATAAAGAAAGGCGAGCACAGTATCCACTGCGTCATTAGGTCTCCATTTCACGGAGAGAGAAAAAGATTATAAGGACTCCGAAAATTGGCCTAAGCTTTGATGCTAGATACCTCGCGTTACAGAGCTCATTTGGAAAAAGTAAAAGCATATTCAGAATCACCATAACCGATTCTATAAAGTACTTCATATTAAAAGGCGACCTTCATCTGGTGCCTTTCCCTAGTGAGAACCAAAGTCTAAACTGTGTCTACTCTTGTCTACTCTCGAATTTTTGGAGTTGAAGTCAATAGACTGTTCTGGTTCTAAAGCAATAAGTGGCTTCGGGTAGCTTACGGCTTACAGCCGGTTACGGCCTTAGTACTGGTAGCGTAGCGTAGGCTTACGTAGGGCTGGTAGCATAGGCTGGTACTGGTAGCGTAGGCTGGTAGCATAGGCTGGTACTGGTAGCGTAGGCTGGTACTGGTAGCCTAGGCTGGTACTGGTAGCCTAGGCTGGTACTGGTAGCCTAGGCTGGTACTGGTAGCCTAGGCTGGTACTGGTAGCCTAGGCTGGTACTGGTAGCCTAGGCTGGTACTGGTAGCCTAGGCTGGTACTGGTAGCGTAGGCTTACGTAGGCTTACGTAGGCTTACGTAGGCTTACGTGAGGCAATTACTGATACTGGTACGTTTAAGGGTAAAGTCAAAGATGTTGCTAGCATAACCGTTTCTATAAAGTCTCTCATATTAAAAGGTGACCTTCATCCGGTGCCTTTTCCTAGTGAGAACCAAAGTCCACCTTGTGTCTACTCTTTTCAAAAACGCTTCCTCCAAGTCGAAAGAAAAATTTCTTACACAGCTAATCCTTCTAGTAAATCCACTCGTAAATCTTTTCATTCAATCCACTCGTAAATCCTTTTCCAGGTGAGAATTGTGAGCTGTAATTTGGGCCTTTTTTTCAGTAAAGTATTGATTTTCATAGTTTCAATCTTAAAAATTGAATAATTCATGTAATTTTTTTTGACTTTTCTGCAAATCAAATTCAAATTACAAGAATTTGAAAGAAAATTTCCATTTTACTCTTTTCCTTTTAGTTTAAATGTTTTTGTGTTTACGGAAAAGATTAAAAAATAGCACTTCCTTGAAAATTTCTTATTTTTAAAGCTCTTCCTGATTTTTTTTGGTATAAAACTTTCAAATTTTGTTTATTTGACAAAAAGTTACAATTTAATTCAATGTTTTTTTCAGAAATTGAGTGAAAATGTTCAAATCGTTCGCCCTTCTCGTTTTGGTGAGTTCAGAAATTGGTGAGCAATTGTTTACCATATTTTTTCTAATAATAGTGCACCCCAGAGCCGAGTTGGTGACTATTTTATGGTTTCCAAGCTTTTGCAGAAGCTCAAGAGTCTAATCCCCCACTAGATCTCATCGTCAGCTACATTTTAAACCTTTTTAAACTGGTAAACCCTTATGGAGATCATGAGCATTTGCCTCTAGATTATGGAAAAGAGAGAATTTAATCAGAAAATCACGGTAGCCCGCCAAAAGAAACGTTTTATTGCTGTTAGTGATGGACGCTGGTTGGGATCTCGTTCAGCACTTGTTCCAGCTTCCCCTTCCCAATGCACCCCATTGAGTTGATGACTATTTTACGGTTTCCAAAGCTTTTGCAGAAGCTCAACACTTAAATCCCCCACTAGATCTCATCGTCAGCTACATTTTCCGACCCCACATCGATAGGTTCTGATAAGCGCTTCTCGAGATTTCGAGGAATTTAAATGACGACCACGGTGCACTACTATTAGAGAAAATACGGGATTTTGAAAAAAGTTATCGAATTGATTTGTTTTTTTTAAACCTTTTGTCTTCAATTCTAATTAACTTTGATAGAAAAGAGTGTTTTTAAAAGATTCTGTGACATCTGATGACATGCCCCTTTTCCCATTGATAATCTAACTTTGGGGCCCAGAAAGGGAGGGCGTGGTCGCCCCCCGACTGCCAGGTGGGCAACGCGGCGGGGGGGGTTCGACTCCCGGGCCCCTCCGAGCCCCAGCCCGGCCATCGGGTACACGGTTACGAACACACCCACCCCGTAAGGAAGGGGGGGCGGAGAAGACAAACAATTATTTTTAATCTAACTTTAATCTCAAATATCTTTGTGTTGAGCTGCTCAATTTAAACATTCTTAATATCATTGGATGCACCAAGTCTTTCTCTGTCGATTGGTGGAAAAACTATTGAAATTGGACATCCCAGCACCAAGAAATTTGAGCTTAAAGTTAGATGGCCAATGGGAAAAGGGACAAAATCAAATATTCAAAAACTTTTTACTAAATTTCGTTTAGAGAAAAGCTAGTGTGACGGTAGATTTACGGGTAAGTCATTTGCGTATACTTTTAAAGGCTTACAGCAGCTGACAGTACTTCTAAACGTTCAGATGGCTTTCCTCGTCTCATTGATCACCTCGGCTCCACCAGAATACACTGGAACGTGTACAGTTGATACGGATTGCTATCCGAATACACAACAAAAGTTTGTTTCATACAGTACATCTAAATTTATCTTTTTGGGCACAGTACTTTTAATAAATATAAGCAATAGGTGTCTATTTTTTTTTTAGAACTAGAAAACTAATTTCTCAACGTTTCAGATGTTCTGATTTTGGCTATTGCATGGGTCCAAACAAGGAATGGCAATGTCCAAATGGATTGGGTTTGTGGCTAGATCTGGTTATGAAAATAATAAAAATTGGTACTAGATCTGTTTATGGAATTAGTTTAAAAGCATTCGTTTGGTGATTCAGCAGCTATCCAGCAGCTATTGAGCAGCTATTGAGCAGCTATCGAACAGCTATCGAACAGCTATCGAACAGCTATCGAACAGCTATCCAGCAGCAGCTATCCAGAACCAGCAGCATCTATCCAGAGCCAACAGCAGCTATCCTGAGCCAGCAGCAGCTATCCAGAGCTAGCAGCATTTATCCAAAGCCAGCAGCAGCTATCCAGAGCGAGCCAGCAGCATCTATCCAAAGCCAACAGCAGCATTCCAACTGTTAAATCCTTAAAAGATATTATAGTCTAGCTTTAGAGAATTGTTGATAACTTTTAAGTGCTATTATCTAATTCTTACTTCTTTTTCAGACAGCGAATGTCCATCAGGATGGAAATGTTCTTTGAATGGAAATGGAAAGGGTGTAGGCTGTGGAATGTCTGGAAAGCATTGAGAAAAATCAAGATTTACTGATTCAAAAAGATTTACTTGCCTGAAGAGATCTCTGTTTTTATGCATTGATTGAATAAATTTGTTTTGTTCATCTTCATATCCTCTTACAAACAAGATCTGCTGATCATCGTGAGTTCAAGCTGATGTTTTAGATACCTTTTAGCGTCTGCTGAATCTTCAGTCACTTTTATCTATATTTTTCTATTTAGATATAGGAATATTGTATTCTATTTATCAAAGAAAACATCTATTCTATCACTTATTCAAATGTGTCTTCTAAAATGTGTCAAACTAACGTCTTTTTCTTCTATTAGGTTGTTCGGATATAAACAATCGTTTCTAAACTTATTGTTACGAGAAAAGCTTTTAAAACATGTTTAAAACATGGAAATTTAATCGAGTTTATTCGATGTTTATTCGATGAATGAGTGGAAAGGAGAGGATTTAGACAACAAACTATCAACAACTACCAACAACTACCAACAACTATTGGGTTGATGCATAATTATCCGGACTTCTTTTTGCGTGCTTGTATCTTTTTTGTTTTGAAAGCTTTTTGTCTATTTCTTTTTTTTTAAATATTCGTTATTCTTTAGTGAACAAAATGCGTGTCGACAATCATATCCATCTTCGCCATATCATGCTCTACCACTTCGAAAAGGGATGGTCTGCCGCAGAGTCGTTTCGCGATCTCAAAGAACTGGAGAAGCCCCAACGGACTACCACGTCAATCGATCGCTCAAAAATTGGCAAACAAATAAGATCTACAACGATTTGGATGACTTGATAGACGATGTTAAAGCGTGGATTGCCTCCAAAGATCGTTTATTCTTCGCTCGTGGAATCGATCGTCTTCCAAGCAAATGGCAATCAGTTATTGATGTAGGCGGTGAATATGCTCCAGAATAATCAATTAAACATATTTTTCTAACTATTTATGTTATTTTTTTGTTAAATAAAATCATTTATAAAAGAAGTCCGGATAATTATGCATCAACCCAATATCAACAACTATCAACAACTATCAACAACTATCAACAACTATCAACAACTATCAACAACTCCTCCATAATTTTCCATTCAATCACCCCCTTTTGGTATAAATCAATAAAAAGAACCTAAGATTCAGCAAAATGATATAAGAAAATCCCGTTTAAACACGGTAATCTTCTAAAATAAACTCTTTAAGCATTAACTATGAAGATATTTCAGATTATCGAAGATCCCTGTTGTTTCAGTAGTGACTATTGGTATTCATGGACTATTTGGTACTTATTCTATCGCTACGTTTTCAAAAAGAAACTCACCATTGACGAATTAGTGAAGCAAACGCTATTCAAAAGAATTACCTTCATTCCTATCTTCTACAATTCTATCAAAGCTTCAAAAAAATTCCTATTCTTTTTCAATCTTTGAGACAAAAAGAAAGCGAAAAAGCTTATCTTTTCAGTAAAAGAAAATTGAAAGCGAAGCTCATTTCCGGGTTACAAATCGGTTTGCAAATCAAAATCTTACTTACAAAATAAAACAAAATCTATTTCATCATTGTGGTGAACAATTGAATACTGTAAGCTTAGAATTGATTTAACTTGACATAGAAAGTTCACGAGCGATGAATTCTAATCAAATCTAGCTTAAAATGATCATAAGAAGTTCTAGTTTTAGATCTAATAGATTCTTGATTCGAATTAGATTTTAATATTCTAAATCTAAATAGATTCTAATAGAGTAAATGGTTGTTGTTCTTGTTCTTGTCCTTGTCCTTGTCCTTGTCCTTGTTCTTGTCCTTGTTCTTGTCCTTGTCCTTGTTCTTGTCCTTGTCTTTGTCCTTGTCCTTGTCCTCGTTCTTGTCCTTGTCCTTGATCTTTGTGATCACTCTTTCAACGATTTCCATCTCTTAAACATTTTGCATTGAATTCAATTATCATTTGAGCTGTAATTCACATTAAAAAAATGATAGTTAACAAAAATTCGTGTTTTAAAACTTCATAAAGTTAAGTGCTGCAATTTTGAGTGAGAATAAAGTAGGAATTTGATTAAAGATGAGTGTCCATGGCAGCTATAAGAAATTTGATTAAGGATTAGCGCGAACAAGTCCATGGCTGATGCGTCCATGGCCGATGAGTCCATGGCCGATGAGTCCATGGCCGCTATAAAAGTCACAAGTACGCCTTAAGCTACTTGTGACGGTCATTCTTAAATGCAAATTAATATGTTAAAAGCTTAATGGCTGTAAGAGTCACAAGTATCAAGCGAATAACTATTCGGCTCCTTTGAAGTGCTCCAATAGAAATTTAGACGTAGAGCAATGCTTGTCACTTCTGAAAATCGAAAAATGTTTTTGCTTTTAACTTTTTACAATCACTTTTCCACTTCCTTCTCTTTCTTCCTTTATTTTCTTTCTTATATTTCTTTTTCTCTGGCAAAAAGACCAAATAGCTCAGTGAATAGAGTGAATAGATGAATAGAACATCAAGCAAAAAGATCGAGAGTTCAATCCCCTGTCTAGAAATCTTTCTTAGCCATTCCTTATTTTATTACAATAATCTCACGAGAGCTCGTTTAAAGAATGTTTGCCATCAGCCTTAAGAATACTACTGTAGTACTACTGTAATACTACTTTACTATTTTGCCTTAAGAATGTTTGCCTTACAGTAATATCTGAAAAGCTAGAGCAATCTAAGCAATCTAAGCAATCTAAGCAATCTAAGCAAGAAAGAGCAATCAAAATCAATTTCCTTGTCTAGATTATTTCCGTTGAGCTCTCAATTCTCAACTCTTCTCGATTTTTGAGTTCAAAAAACTGTTTGTTGATCGCCGATTCGAAATTGTTTTGATAAAAGGTCATAAAATGGGTGTCTTTCACTTTTTGGGTGTCTTTCACTCGAATACACCCAAAAAATTCCCCGAGCTGATTTTCCATGGACTCTTCCGAGAAAATAAAAAGTCGGCCGACAAGGAATGTCAATAAATTGGTGGAGAATAAAACCGAATTTGAGATAAGGTTTTCGTTTTTTTCGTTTTTGATGTAAAGATTAGAAAAAAATGGTCAGACATTATCGGGGAAAGATTCGAGGAATTCCCGCTTTACATTCACTTCCTTATTCCCTGTAGTTTCAATGTCTTGTCATCTTTTTGTTTCACTTTCATTTCCAAACTGATCACCGTCGTTCTTTTTGTCAAGTTTAGCAGCATTTTGCCAGGTTCTACTATTTAAACCTTGAGTCTAAGAGTCGTCAACTGAATGCTCATAATTGGCTCATAGTTACAGTAGCCTAAGCCTAAGCCTAAGCCTAAGCCTAAGCCTACTAGCCTAGCCTAAGCCCAAGTGCCTATTTGGGCTGCATAATGTTTACTTGTTTTGCTCTCTGTGTGTCTATCACATTAGTTTTAAAGCTGAAAAATGATGCTCGGAGGTTTTCGGGATCGGGAAATCGAGTGAAGCTCTGCATTCGGGTAGGGATATTCCTTATCAAAGGATCAATAGGGTTAAACTCAAAGTAAGGATACTGTAGCTTAGATTTAAAGTTTAAGTCGCTGTTAAGTGAATCCAGCCACGCAGCTCAGGCTCTAAGCTGTTAAATGGGTATGTCAATTATTACTTGCACAGAAAATTTCGCTGAAAACTTCATTGCTCCTAAGATTTCCTTTGATTCCTTTGATTGCTTTGATTCTCCTTTGATTGCTTTGATTTCCTTTGATTCTTCTTTGATTCTTCTTTGATTGATTCTTTTTATTTTGAACTCATATTTTAAATCTCAGAAATGAAGTTGCGTCTCACTTTTCTATTTCTATTTTCTCTAAACTTGGTGGATTCAAAATGCGGAGATTATACAACATGTGGGACTTGTGCAGGAGTAAAACAGGGATTAACAAGTTGCCTGTAAGTTAGTTTAAGCTAGTTTAAGTTAGTTTAAGTTAGTTTAAGTTAGTTTAAGTTAGTTGTAATTGACTCATAGTTACAGCAGCCTAAGCCTAAGCCTACAGTAGCCTTAAGTTAGTTTAAGTTAGTTGTAAGTTAGTTGTAAGTTAGTTGTAAGTTAATTTAAGTTAGATAAATCTGTTTAAATAGAATTGGATTGAGGACAAAACTTGGCTTTAAGCTAAAAGGATTTTCTTTAGTGATGAGTGAAGCTAAAGTTAAAGTCATAAGTTTAGCTGGTGTGTGGATGCTGGTGCTTGTGTGCAGACGACTCAGGCCGGTTGTGGGAAAGTGGGTTTCTTTAGGCACTTACAGTACTGGGCAATGAAATATGATATTTGAAAAACGATCGTCACGTTCGCACGCCTGTAACTTCCTTGTCTTTGAGTTTAAACTATTAGTGTTATACATTTTCTGAAAGCTCTCTTCAAGGGCTACACAATGGTAATATTAATATTTAGAAATACGGTAAAGACAAGAGAGTTACAGACGCGCGAAAGTGACGATATTTTTTCATTGTCATTCATTCATATTTCATTGTCCAGTACTGTAGATAGAGACTTAGGACTTTACAAAACATTTCCTTTAACTTTCAGGCTTCAAACATTTCCTTTAACTTTCAGGCAGATCAAATTAAATACGCATACGATTGTCCACAAAATCCTCGACCGGGCTACGAATACAACGAGACTCTCGCTCGGGGATTGGGCATTGTCGCTGTTGCGGCAGCTAATAGTGACAACGAGGCACAAGTGAGCTTAAATATCAGATAAATAACAAATGTAGATATTGAATATGAACTTCTTTGACTTCAAACTGTTCCCTTAAGTCAGTTATTTCTTCAAACTGTTCCCATTTAGATTCAAAAGTTAAATTCCTCTTTCCAGATCCAAGACTGTCTCTCAAAAGTCTCGACAAATGTTTTCAAACAGTACACGAAAGTTTGCGATAGTAAAGGAGTTAGTTTTTGATAAGATTTAGATAATAAAGCTATTGAAATTCAAATTAAATTCAAATTCCCAACTTTTAGAACACTTGTTCCGGCTTTTTAGCCTACAGCGCTTTAGAGAATCTTATTGTGATGTCGATGAGAGGAAGTCGGGAAACTGATCAGGTAAATAGCTAATTAAAGATCTTGATAAGGATATAATTTAATGAAATATCTTCAGAAATTAATGACAAAACCGTTTTCAGTTCTTGGAAGAAGGAGTTGATTTTGTGTTTAATAAGCTGACCACAATGCCGACTGTTGGCGGGAAAGTTGACTCGTAAGTTCTTTGATTTGCAAAACGAATTGCTTTGTTGAGAGCTGTTAGAGCAAAGAGCAAAGAAATTTCACCTAAAACCGATCTTAGATACTTCTACGATGCATGGAATGCAATCTTCGGAATGGGCATGGAAACTGATCTCAAAGCGCTTGTTTTAACGTATCCAAATGCTGGACTTTTAGTGAGTGGCTTATTTGAGTTACTGTAGCTTTCAAAAGCTTATAGAATACTGTAGTTTACCAAGATTATCACACTTTACAAAAGCTTACAGATACTGTAGTTTACCGTAAACAAGATTACTGTACTTTTCAAGCTTATAGTTTAGTGTAGTCTTTAGAAATCTACTTTATATCTGTTTGTTTGTCTGTCTGTCGATACAGACAGTCATTTTTTGACTAATAAAGCTAAAACTTCTTTAGGAAATCTTAGAATATATTGTAATTATGGATTTCAAATAAAAAATGAAAAAAAATTAAGTTGAGTGGTGGTAGGGGGATTGAACCCGACCTCCCAGGCGGCTCGAAGCCCCTTGAAGACAAGCGCCCTACCGACTGCGCCATCCAGACAGTGAAGGAAAGGCCAGAAAACCAGTTTTTAACCGGGTTTTTCGGCTTTTGTTAATTATAAGCAACTCAAAACCAATATCCAAGCAAGAAAGCAAGCCAAGACAAGCCTAAGCCAAGACAAGCAAGCAAGCCAAGACAAACCTGAAAATCTGACTTTAGTGCGTCGGTCACTCGTTGGGCGGCTCAATGGCTTCAATCGCAGCAGCTTACTCTGTCAAAAAGGGGTATTTCGCACCGGAAAAGGTTTGTAATATGTAAATTGTGAAAATTTCTTTGTAAGAGATGTTTAAAAGGTTTAAAAGGGTTATCTTGTAAAATTCAGGTTCGTTTGATCACTTATGGAGAGCCGAGAACAGGAGATATGACTTATGCAATGAATCACGATGAATCAGTAAGCGATTTTCTTTTTTTTTTATCTTTATAAGTCGAATTTCTTAGTGTTACTTTGTTAATTGTAGTAATGAATGTTTAAATTTTATATTTTATTTTCAGGTTTGGCACACCTATCGACTCGTCAACAATCTTGATCCAATCCCACATATGCCAGCGAAATTTGTTGATAATCTCTTCGACAATCCGTTTCATCATCGATTTGAGGTAGATTATAGCTAGAAATCGTTTCTTTTATTACTGTTATACTTTTATATTTCTTTTTTTTTTTACTTTTAACGGATTTTTAAGATAATCTTGTTGTGATTGGACTTCTGAAAGACTTTTCTAGAACCTTGCGAAATTACGAGCGGAAAAATCTAAGCTAGAAGAAGAAAGAAGTTAGAAGAAGAAAGAAGCTAGAAGAAGAGAGAAGCTAGAAGAAGAAAGAAGCTAGAAGAAGAAAGAAGCTAGAAGAAGAAAGAAGCTAGAAGAAGAAAGAAGCTAGAAGAAGAGAGAAGCTAGAAGAAGAAAGAAGCTAGAAGAAGAAAGAAGCTAGAAGAAGAAAGAAGCTAGAAGAAGAGAAGAAGCTAGAACAGAAAGAAGCTAAAAGCGTAACCGTAACAAGCCAAAGCCTAATAGGAACAAAGCCAATGCCAGTTTCGCCAATGCCAAACCAAAGCCCTCTTCATGAGTCTCATAGCAAAAATGATTTTCATCCTTCTCAAAGAGAAAAGTCTAGATTGAACTCGAAAGGAAAATTTCGCTATGCCAGCCTACTAGCCACTAGGCCATTGACCACCTTTTGCCACACTCGATAAAGTTCTCTTAGCCGATAAAGTTCTCTTAGAAGTTATTTTCCTTCAAATTTTAAACACTTTTTTCTCAAGCATGCGAGATTGGCAAAAACTAAATACAGTATTGGATGCCGAATGGCTTTTGACGTTGGCCATTGGTGCCATCAAAATTTGGTACCAATACGCCTTTTGGCACCATCAAAATCTCATACTTTCCGTTTGGACCATTCCTTTGTTATCACTAGTTATATACTAAGTTAATAAATATTTAACGATTTATATCAGGTCTGGTATCAAGACGGTATGCAAGAGAATGCTCCTTATCAATTGTGTCAACGAGCCGATGATGATGCTTGCTCTAATAGTGTTGGAGCGGTAAGTGAATGTTTAGAGGGAAAATCGCAAGTTCAAAGTACTGTAGAGTAGTTAAAAGACTACAAGACTACTAGCGAAATTACGGGCAAACTGTAACATGAGAAATAATATTGGATCTGAGTAATTGAATGTCTCATAGTCAGACGCAAAGTACTGTAACTGTTAACTTACGGTAGCTTGTTTATCAATTTAGAATGACACCCAGATCTTCCGTAGCTAAGCTAAATGCTAAATGAATAGCTAAGCCATAAACAGCCACAAAATTGAGTACTAAAGCTTTGTGAAGAGGACAATACTTTACAGTACTTATTGTCAGTAAAGAAGCGAAAAAGAAGATGTCCCTTACCTTACCGATTTCAGAAACAAAACATTGCTGATCATCAGACATATTTCGAACGGGATCTCGCTGATTGGTACAAGACGGGATGTGGAATATAATTGATGAATTTTTGTGCATTTCATTATAATGTGTAATAATTTTGGGTACAAATAAACCGGTGTCTAATAAAGGGAAAAATGAGAAGTCTATAGATTTTGATTGGAGCAGATTTGCAGAAGTAAAAAGCTTTTTATTTTCCATACAGCTGAGGCTGGCAACTTTTCTTTTTCCCTAGAAATCATTGCCATGCATCATTGCAAATAAATCATGCATCATTGCCTAGAAACTAGAAGTAAAATTGCCTAGTACTAGTACAACAACCCTCCCAGACCGCCCTTCTCTCGGCCCACGTAGTATAGTGGTTAGTACTCCACGTTGTGGCCGTGGCGACGCTGGTTCGATTCCAGCCGTGGGCAATTCTTTTTTGATTTTTTGATAAAACATATTGAACGGTTGAAAAAAAAAGTAACCCGATCACTGTAACTTTTAAGAGCTTATATTAGGTACTGGCAAAAGAAACTGCGGATTAGAACCAACATTCGAACAACCCAAGAACCAATAAGAAAACAACTTTATCCCAAAAGATATTTGCCATTATTCTCAACTATGTTCTTACATTTTTTGCGTAGACTTCGGATGCCTGATTCGAAAAATTCGGGGTCCCGCGACGCAAAGTATTCTTGCACCCAAATTTCGACTTCTTCAGATTTGTTAAACTTTCGATTTGCAAGAGAGTGTTGCATAAACAGGAACAAGTGGTAATCTGAGAGAGTAATATCAGGCGAATAGGGCGGATGAGGCACAAGTTTCCAGCCTAATTCTTCTATGGTGTTTTGAGCCAAGTTTGATGTGTGTACCCGGGCATTGTCAGCGAGCAAATGGATTGTCCTTGGATTAACACCTCTTTCTCGTAGAATTTCATCAACTTTCTTCAGCTGTTCGGCGTAGATTTGAGAAGTTATAGTTTTTGAATATTTTCGTAATTCGAAATAAACGATTCCTTTTATATTCCAAAAGACCGACAGCATAACTTTCTTTCCGTGAAGTTCTGGATGTGGTGTCGGAATCGGCCTTTCTCCTTTGCTCAACTATTGTCTTTTGCGCGTTGTATTATTGAAATATGTCCACTTTTCGTCCATCATCAACATGCTTTCAAAAAAGCACTGCCCGTAGCCTTTTTCAATGGAATCCGAGACAAAAACTCGATTGGCTTTGTTTTATGGAAAATTTGCATGAAAGGATTCAATGAAATTCTATGTAAATTTATCGAAAACTCCTTTACCAAGTCAATTCCAGTGCCAAATGAGGCGCGAACGATCGAAAGAGCTTTCAACTCGTACCATCGAAGCACTTGTATTCGATTTCAGCCACGAGATCAAGAGACTGACTATTTGAATATTGTTAAAGGATATGGGTGAGTGTTGACTGGATATTTAAACTGTAAACGCTTTATAAAGCCATCCTTAACCAGCTCTAGCTCTAGCCAGCTTTAGCCAGCTAACCCCCCAAAAAAGCCACTTTGAAACAGCCAAAGCAGGTGTTGAAGTGTAGCACCAGTAACAGATTGAGTTTTCACTTTGAACGAAAATTGAAGCTACTTTCGAACTCAATAGTCTAGATGCGACATTTTACAATCAACTCAAAACTTTCAGCTGTTATTCCCAAGTTGGTCGAACTGGCGGGAAACAAGAGATCTCACTTGGACGCGGTTGTCTCTTTCACGAGATAATTGTTCACGAATTGATGCATTCTGTCGGCTTTTGGCATGAGCACTCGAGAGCGGGTATTGATTTTTGAATCCCTTTTTCGATTGCCGACCAACTGCCTCGATAGCTCAGTTGGGAGAGCGTTAGACTGAAGCGTGTCAGAGATCTAAAGGTCACCGGTTCGATCCCGGTTCGGGGCATTCTTTTTGGAGAATTTTGAAACTTTGGATTTTAATTGGGTTTTCAAAGATACTGTGTTTTTGCTAAAGTTACCGTACCCTCAAGGGTACCGTACTAAAGTTGCCGGACTTCTAAAGCGAATAGCTATCCTGTTTTCGATACTCTGTATTCCGTACTTCCAAATCTACCGTAGTTTCTAATTCTACGTTCTTCAAAACTCTCGCACTTTCCAAAGCTACCGTACTTTTCCAAAGATACTGTACAAACCTACCTTTTTTTCAAGCTTTCAGAAACTATTAAAAACGTTAACTATAATCACTTTATCCAACTTCCAAAGTCTATCCAAATGCCTTTCCAGATCGGGATGATCACATCAGAATCGTTTGGGAGAACATTCTACCCGGAATGAAATCACAATTTGACAAAGTAGCCGCTTCACTCCAAGATCTACAAGGTACATTTGAAAAGAGTTTCACAAAACGACTCTTCTTTAGGAGAAAAATACGATTATTTGTCAATAATGCATTATGATTCGACGGCTTTCTCGAGGAATGGAAAGAACACAATTGAAACTGTTGAAGAAGGGTTCACGGAGTTGATCGGATCGGCGAATGACTTGTCGAAGAATGATATCATTAAGGTCAGCAATCATTTCAAATGAGATTAGTGCTTCTAGAACTTCTAGAAGGTATTCTCTTGCTCTTAAATTCTTTCCAAATTTCAGATCAATAAACTGTACGAGTGTGAGGCGCCGACGCAAAGTCGAAAAGCGCAGAAAACTGTTGTGAAGCCGCCGATCCGAGGGAGAATACGACCGAAAATTGATGTGGTTGAGAATGGGAGTGAAAGTGGGTGCAGGAAAAGATGGGGATCTGGTAGAATCCTTGTGGAAAGAGCTTCGATCGGTGACTCTTCCGATCGGTTCCCTCTTCTAGCAGACTTTACTTCTTGATCTTTTCAGAGTGCATCGATCACTTCGTCGATTGTCCCCATTTCTCTCAATACTGCAAGCGAGCCTCGTTCTTCTTTGTGATGAAATCGTATTGCCCGTTCACTTGTAATCATTGTTAATTTCTCACCGTCTTTTTCCTAATAAGAGTAGATAGATTTTGATTGGAGCAGATTTGCAGAAGAAGAAAGCTTTTTATTGCCTCAACAGAAAGCCTCAGCATACAGCTGAGGCTGGCAACTTTTCTTTTTCCCTGAAAGTACCATTGCCTAGAAACTAGAAGTATCTTCGCCTCGAGTTGACTAGTACAAGAACCCTCTCACATCGCCCTTCTCTCGGCCCACGTAGTATAGTGGTTAGTACTCCACGTTGTGGCCGTGGCGACGCTGGTTCGATTCCAGCCGTGGGCAATTTCTTTTGGTCTTTTACTTTGGATTATTCCCCTAACAAATTTTCTTTTAAATTGTTTATTGAGATGCTTGAGACTTCTAATTGAGTACAATGAACTTTGTTAAAATGTAAAGAAGCATTATGTTAAAACTGGCTCTATTAGAGTTTTCTGTGTTGTTTTGAGTGCTTGTTTCTGGATCCATGTTTCCTTTGGCTGAATATCTAAACTGTTTGGTTAAGTAATAATAAAATTCAATTAATATTAATGAGTTAAAAAAGTTCAAAACTTACTTTACAACGATCCCACTCTCGCAGGGTAACTCTTTACAATACCATTTATAAATTATCTGCACGCTTGACTCATTGCTTTCAAAATGACATCGTTGATCGTTTTCTGTGAATCTAAAGAGATATTTTGAGCTTATCATTGGACTCCAAATATTCATATGACTTCAATTTCTCGTACTTAGTTGTTTTTGAGCTATCGTACTCATAGAATATCAACTCTGAATCACCAACGATCGGCGTGAAAAGCGTGAAGTAAATCATTTTCACTCCATTTTCCTGAACATCTTACTGTAAAGCTAAACTAGTAGAAAATTTAATCAACTTACTCTCTGAAAGTTATAGACAAGCAAATAGTCCTGATCTAATGGCCCATTGAATTCGGGTGAAGTGAGAACACCCGTTGTAGCTGGATACATTGCAATCAACTCATTGTCGGCAACTTAAGAAATCTTTTTCTTTAAATCAAATTGATCTCAATGCTCAGGAGATGAGGCTATTGTTATGAATCTTTCAAAGTAACAAACTTCTTACCGTATTGTTTGGGAAGCCAATAGATTGTGCAATTGTTGGGTCTTCGCGTTTGCACAGTGAGATATTGCGTGAAGACGAATCTCGGCAACACGTCACGAGCATATGTCTCACCACATATTGTGTTCGCTGTGCCCCTTGAATAGTGGATAAGGGACAAGGGTCAAGAAGCAGGTCCAGTTCTGGTTTCTGGCCGATCAGGACAATGCCAGAGCGATCAGGACAATGCCAGAGCGATCAGGACCTAGTTTTGAAGCCAAGTCAGCCACAGATTGGCTTCTATTCCGCCAAGCAGAGCCTAGACTCAATTCTGGCAAGCAATGCCAACAAGTCAGCCTAGGATTGGCTTTAAGTATGACCTTGGTTTTTGGATTTCCATTTAGTGATCAATCTCAAGTTTCACAAACCCGTAAAGTTCAGTGGAATCACTTTGAACTAATCCCTTCCAAATGGACAAATGCTCGCAATCTCCATCAAAGAGCAACTCCATCCCGTTGTTGCCGTCGATTGAAGGAGCTGCCTGGGAACTTTGTTATCCACAAACGAAAAATGCTTTACTTGATAGAGAATGTATTTTTTGGAGTCAGCCTTTGGAAATGGATGGTTTGCGCCATAATTTTCTTGGTCGGAGATATCGGAGATGACGGTCACGTTTGCGTCTGAACTCATTGAGATTTAAGGTGAAGCTTTTGCTACTTTTTTGAGCATATCAGTCGAAAATTGCTTTAACTAAATGATTTTGTTATCAGGAAAGGTTTCTGGCGTAGCTCAGTTGAGAAATTGTTCTCCAAATTGAAATGAGTTGGCGTTGTCAGAGAAATTGCCAGAGAAATTACTTCTAGAACAACCCCGAACCTAGGGTATGTAAGTTGGGCTGTTTACAAAGCAGTTATGGCATGTAAGCTGGGCTGTTGACAAAGCAGTTATGTTTAGAAATCAAGCAAAAATCTAGCCTTGTCTGGGCTGATCCAGAGAAATTACTGAAGGGAAAAGCTTTAAAACCAAGAGCTCTACCCGTTGTGAACAACTGATGATAACTGGTTGCGTTCTCGGAAATCCTTGTGATTCTCACTGACAACACTCCGGAGCCAACAATGAACTTCTGTGGACCTTTGAGTCTAAATTTTAGTTTTAAAAAGATGTTAGTCTTTTCCAAACCCAACAATATCAACCCGTTGTCCATTATCGAACTCTCCCTTGAAAGCATCTACTTGATAGCCATTTATTTTTGCTTCCAAGAAATAGGCAATGATTTCTCTAAAAATATAAGCTCATTAAAAAGCTAAAAAGCTATTAAAAAGCTAAAAAGCTATTAAAAAGCTAGAAAGCTAAAAACTGGCTAACTTGTTGCAGCTGTTCGTCGATAAACGATATTCAAACTTTTCATTTTCGTTCAAGAGATCTCCATGAATATCAGCGTTTATTTGCGCACACAAATCGACTTGAAGACTTTCTGGGAAAGCTTTGGTCATTGTTAAGAATGTTGCAAATGAAATTTTAGATTAGGAGACTTTTTTGAAATTCCCGGGGCCTTGGCGGATGAGTCACAGAACCAGGCCAGCAGCCGATTAGCATTGTAAGGCTGGTTCAATCAGACCATTCAATCCGACCATTCAATCAGACTCACTTTGAATTTGTGAAGAAGTTAGCCGATTTTCAAGCAAATCCCTTGCATCGATTATTCCAAAAGAAAGCAAGAGCAAAACTAGCAAAAACATTGAAAAAATTCAGACTTTGTCTTATTTGACATTTCATCGAGGGAAATTTTCCTTTCTCTTGTTATCTATGTTTAAGGATTGGCATTTTTGCTGGGTTTAAACAAAAAAAACTTGAAAAAGCTTTTCTTAGGGTTTACCAAAGTTCCCAAGAGTTTAGAAACGATGTGACTCACAAAGATTGCCACGACAGGCAGCAGTTATCATCAACTTTTTACAACAAGTAAGAAGCTTCAGGACTATCCACGTTTCCAGTTTAGAAACGTGAATCGGCAGAAAATTCGACGAATCTAATCCCTCTAAGTAAAAAGAGAAATGCCAAAACGAATTGCCCACGGCTGGAATCGAACCAGCGTCGCCACGGCCACAACGTGGAGTACTAACCACTATACTACGTGGGCCGAGAGTGAAGGCGATCGGGGGGTGTTTTATAGGAAAATTGAGGGGAAATTCTTGGTTTTTGAAGAGAAAGAAAGAGACGAAAGAAAGAGACGTTTGAAAGATTGTTTTCATTTGCTGCTTTTGAAACCTTAATATTTTAGTGTACAATTTTGACCAAAAAAGCAAGAAGAGTTTTAGATATGTTCAATTTTCCCCCTTTTCTATCGAGTGGCATATCCTTTGTTGAATATCTAGAGATAGATGAATCATAAATCTTTAGTGGTAAACTTTATGTTGTCTAAATTGAAGAGAAATGAACGCTTAGAGGGTCAGCGTTGATCCAACCGGTCCAAAGAGCTGTAGTCAGGTCGTCAGGAAAGAGCAAAGTTTGGTTGAAGCTGATTTGATGGTCAGCTGATTTGATGGAATGGTCAGAATTGACTGTGAGATTTCGGCACTAAAATGAGGCACCAAAATCAGCACCAAACACCTATCGAATACGGTGAATACGATGGTGCTTTCGGATTTTGCTAAAAATCGATAGTTTTCGAGTAAAGCGGCTTTGAGAAATACGAGAAAAAAAATCAATCGAGATCAAAACGAGGCCTGCTTCTATAAAAGGACTTCTTTCGGCTGCCCACATTGTGTCGCCGTGTTTAGCAGGTAAAGTCCTTGGATCTCACTCTCACGACCCTGGTTCATTCCCGACCTGCCTTTTTGCCTTTTTTTTCAAACTTTATATATTTACCCAGGTAAATTTGAGTAGACGTCGAGCTTCAAAGTCGTTTTTCTCAAAATCTAGTGATCTTTAGCTTTAAAAACAATCTCCCAGCAGATCTTTTCAGCGAATGAGCCACTTATCTGATAGTTAGATTACTAGGGCTTAATTTAAACTTCCCTTACTTTATAACAACTCCATCTTCCCATGGAAACTTGTTACAACCACAAATCAATGTTCATATTGTTGCTCGAGAAATTATACTGTTGATTCGCACTTGTAATGCTAAAAAAACCATTGCCTTTGCCATTCTACCATTGTTTTCAATTCGCCTCATCGTTCTGTTGCTTTCCCTCTCATTGACGATAATCTCCGACTCTCCGAGAATCAATGTCAATAAGGAAAAGTACACTCTTTCAACCTCAGCATTCTAGATTTTAAATTTTATCTTAAATACGATCATTTCGCCTTGACAAAGTTGAAAATCACTAAAAATCAAAATGACCAAGAAACGATTTCAATTGTATCTAAAATTTCAGAAATTCAACCCGGGAAAGCCCAGCTCGATCTTCTTCATCTTTAACAAATTTTCTAATCTCTATTGCAAATCTTTTCTTGGAAATGTTCAGATTTGATTTTCCAATGCTTTCAAATTAAATTTGCATTTAAAATAGATATAAAAATTTACATACAAACCTTGAAAAGTTCTCAGAATCTTTTCTCTTTTGTGCCTCAACCATGAAAACGAGAAATATAATTGCCTCAAGTTGATGAAAAACTGGTACAAGAACCCCCTCACATCGGCCTTCTCTCGGCCCACGTAGTATAGTGGTTAGTACTCCACGTTGTGGCCGTGGCGACGCTGGTTCGATTCCAGCCGTGGGCAATTTCTTTTGGCATTTCTCTTTTTATAAAAGGCACTAGGTTAGTCGGATTTCTGCGTTTTGGTCTACGTTTCTAAACTGGAAACGTGGATAGTCCTGAAGCTTCTTACTTGTTGTAAAAAGTTGATGATAACTGCTGCCTGTCGTGGCAATCTTTGTGATTCTCATCGAATAAACCCCGCAAGCAAGCAGGATTCTTTGCGGGGTTTTTGTGTTGAACCAAAACTTTAGAATAAAAAGAAAACTGTCCAGCTCATTTAACCAATAATATTCACGACTTTTCCACTATCCATCTCGGCCTTAAACGCCTGCATTATTTAAATGCGGCTCTTAAATGCTTCATTAAATTATAAACCATCCGGGTTTCCAAGGAAATGAGTGATAAGAATGATATATTTTAGAATGATATATTTTATAAAGAATATTATTTTTTATACTCATAGGATCATAAAGATTGCCACGACAGGCATCAGTTATCATCAACCAGTAACTTTTTACAACCAGTAAGAAGCTTCAGGACTACCCACGTTTCCAGTTTAGAAACGTGAATCGGTAGAAAATCCGACTAATCTAGGCATATTCCTATTCCTATGAAGGTTTCCTATGAAGGTAAAAGGCAAAAAAACTTTCTTTATATGCAAAAGTCACAACAAAAGTCATAACAAAAAGTTTTATCCAATAAAATTTACATAAAGACATCGGTGAGAAAAAGTTTTTTCTTTAAAATTAAAAAAATAGAAACCCTGATTTGAATTTGAGGAAAAATTTGTATACTTTAAACAATTCTATTTGAAAATGTTTACAAGAAAGATGATAAGTGATAAGTGAAAGAAGAATGAGATCGAATTCCCGGCATCAGTGTCCGGATTTTCCGTTGACCATCTAAACAAAAGAGATTTTAGGCCTTAATTTAAAAGAATTTTAGTGTCAAAAGTTGTATCTTTTTAAAGCTTTATCAGCTAATTACAGCTTTATCAGCTAATCACAGCTTTATCAAGTTAAACTCACTTAAGAATCAAGCCATCTTCACATGGAGGCAATCCACAACTCCACTGGTATGTCACTTGAATACTTGTGTCAGTGCTTGAGAAGCTGCACAAGTTGTCTGTGGCGGCAAAGCTGAGACAAACAAGATTCAATCTGTCTATTCTAGGCAAAAAACTTACATTTGTGGCTTTCCGCTAGACATTTCCGTGACGATTAACTGAGAATTGCCAGAGATCGAGGTGAAGAGTTGAAAGTAGATTTTGTCAGTGCCACTGTTCTGAAAACTCTTTATCGAACGATCCTATTACAAGTATGTAAAATTTTGTAGAACTCAATACTACTCTATCCTACCCTCACAAAACTGAAGTCCACATGGTGAGTTGAATTTTGAAGTGGCTGAGTGGTGGTTGAGTAGGCTGATGAGGTGACAACGCCTGACGTTTGCGGGTTCACATAAATTGTGGTGTTGGCTGAAATTTGAATGGTGCATTGGCTAGATAGCTTAGAGCTTAGCTAGGCTAGCTTAGAGTTTAGCTAGGCTAGCTAGCTTAGAGCTTAGCTAGGCTAGCTTAGAGCTTAGCTAGGCTAGCTTAGAGCTTAGCTAGGCTAGCTTTGAGCTTAGCTAGGCTAGCTAGACTGTTTGAAATGCTTTAAACTCGAATCATCTTTTACTGATCTCTGAATGCTCACATTGTCTATTGTATCCATAAATGATCGTGCAATTATCTGCTTTCCCCGGGGCCACCGTCAAAAAGCGGCCATAAACGAAAGCCGGTTGCGCATCTCGGTACACAGTTCGACCACAAATCGATGTGCTTCCGCTAAAAAGATCGGATTTTGAGTACAGACATAGATTTAGTACAGTACTGCTTGCTTGTACAGTACTAAACCTACCCATAGACTCTAGTCGATTCAATCTGTTGCAATCCTTTCCAAATTGTTGCAGACTGACAATCGCCAGAGTAGGTGAGTCTAATCCCATTGTTTCCCTCAGTTGTGTTGGCTGGCTAAAGTTTTGCGATAGTTGTACAGTCTATAGCTTACTTTATTGTGGTTGTGCTTGTTTGTTTGCTCAGGCTCAGGCTCAGCTTGCTGTCAACCAACCTGGTAGAAAATGTAGGGTTGTTCAGTTCCTTTTGGAAATTGAACCCCTCGACCGTATCCCAGTGCTAGCAATGGATGGATCTGATACCACTATATAGTCGCTTCCTGAAATCGATTGTTTGTTGAATAGATTTCATTTCTTATTTAATGGCCAGGCTAGATCAGTAATCAGACTCAGGCCTGGATCTGGGTCTGAGTCTGAGTCTGACCTGGTCTGAGACCTGGTCAGTTCGGAGTCTAAGACTGGATCTGACTCAATAACAGGCAAAGCTAGCTTGCTGGGACAGATCAGATCAGATCAGATCAGATCTAGGACACTTACATGACCTAAAACAAGTCCAGGCCCAGAACAAACCAGACCAAGATTAGGCCAGGCCTGAGCCAGTTCTAGGCCCAGTTCTAGGTCCAGTTCTAAACTCACTTGAGGCAACAAGTTGATGATAGCTGCCACCACCCGCTTGTCTTGTGATCCTCACATAGATCACTCCCATTGGATAGGAAAAAGATTGCGGAGGGTCGGTGATACCGGTTCTGCAAAATACAATTCATAAATCAAACTAACATTAACATTTCTAAACTCTGCCCTTACCCAATGATATTTATCGCTTTTCCAGTGTCAAGTGCTCCTTGAAACGCCTCAACTTTGTATCCTTGCAATGTTTGGAGATAGTAAAAGGTGAAAGTTCTGAAAGAAAGAGTAAAGTGATAATTTTGGGGGTTAAACTTGTTGCAAGATGCAGAGTTGAGTGTGTAGACGATGGCTTGATCTTGAGAAGTTGTCATGTCAGCATGTAAATCGGCAAAATCTTGTTTGCAAAGATCAATGCTCACATTTTGGATCACAGCGACAACTCTTTCTAAAAGAATGAGAAATTACAATTGTTTTGACAATCGGTTTTGGCTAATTCAGGTATCAGGGTTAGTAGTTTGGGTAAAACTCGAGTTTTGGTAAATCTAGCAATGCTTTAAAAGCTAGAAATGCTTTAAAAGCTAGAAATGCTTTAAAAACTAAACAATTAAGCTTTTACAGTTTACTGAATTATCAAAAGCTAAGGAAATTGGGTAAAACTCGAGTTTCAGTAAATCTAGAGCTAGAAATGCTTTAAAAACTTAACAATTAAGCTTTTAAAGTTTACTGAATTATCAAAAGCTAAAGAAATCGAAGAAATCTTACCTTCTGGATCGATTTTGTGAACATTTTCCGCAAGAAGGCCAGGCCGAATTCTCGGCAAAGTGCTTGCTTGGATTATATTGAACAAAAGAAAGAAAAAAGTTAAATATAATAATTTTGACATCTTTGTGAAAGTGTTTGGAATGAAAGACTGAAAAATGTTTCGTTTTCTCGATTTCAGACCTTTTTCTGCTCAAGCCGAGAGTCGATAAGAAGTTGATAAGGATTTTTGGGTGAATCGAGTGATTCACCAAGCTTCTCTGTCATCATTTTCTTAGAAATAACTCAAAAAGGGCGGGGGTGAGCCTGGAGTGGAATTGTTGAGCTGCATAAAGTACAGTTTCGGTAAATCTAGAGCTAGCAATGTTTCTCGAGCATTGTTAGCAACTAAGCTGTTAGAAAGTTGAGTAAACTAGCAAATGATTCCTAATTCGTTTTCTAAAAGACACTTCTTTCAGAAAACTACCTTTTTTCCAACTGTTAGTTACATTTTACATTAAATCATTCAAATTTTGGTATCATTACAGCCTTGTGAAGCCTTAGCCTTAGCCAGCCTCAGCCATTCCTCGTTGAATAGAGCCGAATAACAGTTCCATTTTACGACAATGAGTGCTATAGGTACTTTAGAATGATCTAATATCATTCAAATTATGATATCATTACAGCCTTGCGATTCCTCGTTGAATAGAGCCGAATAACAGTTCCATTTTACGACAATGAGTGCTATAGGTACTTTAGAATGATCTAATATCATTCAAATGATCATCTAAACTTTGATATCATTACAGCCTTGTGATTCCTCGTTTAATGGAGCCGAATAACAGTTCTATTTTACGACAATGAGTGCTATTAGACAATTAGAATGATCTAATACTGGACTCTGGACTGTAGCTTAAGCATTTCGATGAATTCCGATGGATTTAAATATTCCGATTCCAGTATTTTAGTGTTTTCTTTCTAAAATTCTAAAATTCTTTGATATTTTGCTACTTTTAACTTGAACTAATCCAAACGAAACCTAGCTTTTTAAAACTTTTAAAATAAAGCCTTCAACATGATCCCAAACATCAAAACTTTCTAGGTTTTCTTTTATTCTTTTAGATTTTTTGAAAGCTTTCGGTTGATTCACAATTTCTTTTATTATCAAAAGCGATGATTTCACTGTTCACCAATGAATTCATGTAATCTAACGATTAACGAAACAGTCACCAAAGAATGCAAAAATAGAGAAACATTGGGTGACGTGTCAAAAAAATTGCAAAAACACTATCTTTTGAGTAGTAGAATTAATCGAAAGATGAAAAAAATCATTTTTGTCATTAAAATTCAATGAGTTCTCTCCAAAAATCAAAAAAAAATTGCCCACTGAAAACCCCAATGACTTTCAATTGATTGAAAAAGATTGAGAAAAGGAATTAAACCTTTTTGAAACGTCTATATTTCGTCCAGAAACGATCACTGCAAAATCCTTTTTATATCATTAAAAAGAGAAGATATTGGGGTTTCTAAAAACTCTGATCAACCCGGATCATTTTTACTTACAGTCGTTGTAAGATGTTTTTCAATGACTTTCAATTTTCAAATGTCTCTAGGTTAAGATTGATTGCGGTAAATTACAATATTCTATAAGCTCTTGAAAGCTACAGTAATCAGCCACCAACCTACAGTACGTTGTCTTGAACTATTCAATATGTTTTCATCAAAAATCAAAAAAACATTGCCCACGGCTGGAATCGAACCAGCGTCGCCACGGCCACAACGTGGAGTACTAACCACTATACTACGTGGGCCAAGAGAAGGGCGATCTGAGAGGGTTCTTGTACTAGTCAGCTCGAGGCAATTTTACTTCTAGTTTCTAGGCAATGATACTTTCAGGGAAAAAGAATGGTTTCCAGTTTCAGCTTATATGCAAAAACACTATCTTTTCACTAATAGAATTAATAGAAAGATGAAAACCATTCTTCCCATTAAAATTCAATGAGTTCTCTCCAAAAATCAAAAAAACATTGCCCACGGCTGGAATCGAACCAGCGTCGCCACGGCCACAACGTGGAGTACTAACCACTATACTACGTGGGCCGAGGGAAGGGCGATGTGAGAGGGTTGTTGTACCAGTTTTTCATCAACTTGAGGCAATTATATTTCTCGTTTTCATGGTTGAGGCACAAAAGAGAAAAGATTCTGAGCACTTTTCAAGGTTTGTATGTAAATTTTTATATCTATTTTAAATGCAAATTTAATTTGAAAGCATTGGAAAATCAAATCTGAACATTTCCAAGAAAAGATTTGCAATAGAGATTAGAAAATTTGTTAAAGATGAAGAAGATCGAGCTTCCGCTGCCAACTGGGCTTTCCCGGGTTGAATTTCTGAACATTTTAGATACAATTGAAATCGTTTCTTGGTCATTTTGATACGCTTTAGAAACCAGTACGTAGCAAGTTACGGTGAGCAAGTCTAGTCTTAACCCTTCTGACCATAACTTGAAAGAAATTTAGCCGGAAAATGTAAAAATAGCTATTACAAAGAGAACCTTGATCATTTTCAAATCAAAAGTACGGATTTTCCTTAGTTTAAACCGTCCTCTTTTTAAAATCTCATCTTATTCCTGTTCTTTACCATAGAATTCTTCCGAACGATCAATCTCTAGAATCTCTAGAATCTCTAGAATCTCTAGAATCTCTAGAATCTCTAGAATCTCTAGATTCTCTAGATTCTCTAGAATCAATCTCTTCCGTGCAACCCCATGAATACGCCAACGTGACTTTTGAGTCATTGATGGCCAGCTCACAGACTTGATTGTTAAGTTTGAAAACAGAACTTAGGACCAAGAACTTGTCTTGTCCTTGTCTGTGGATAACAGTAATCTTTTACTCAATCACATCTACAGTCTATAACTATCTCCTTTAGCTTTTGCTGTTTTAAAATCATACATCGTTGTACGGTTGTCACTCTCGACAAATTTGAGCTTTGCCTCATCAACAATGGAGTCAAAGGAAGCTTACAAAGCTCACATTTTCCGGCTAAATTTCTTTCAAGTTATGGTTAGAAGGGCTAAGACTAGACTTGCTCATCGTTACTTGCTACGTACTGGCGTACTGTATAAAGTACTGAACGTGCTGATGTCTCTATATGAATCTAGTTAAGCCTAGCTGACTGGCAGCAATTTTTCAACCTTGGAAACCTTGTAAGTTATCGAGTAATTCCCAGGCGTTGAATAGGTTCTTGTAAAAGCTGGAGATGTGAGAACACATTGGACAGCTGGAGTCACGACAATCGCATCATTGTTATCTAAAGCAAGTTAAAGACAAGACTACTGTAGTTTTTGAAGTTGATACTCTTTAGAAACCAGTGTATGTAAAAATAGCTATTACAAAGAGATTCTTGATCATTTTCAAATCAAACGTGCAAATTTTGAAGACTAGAAGACTCCCAATTGCTCGCTAAAAGTCTGAAAGAGATAACAATGCTTTTTCCGAACAAAATCTGATCACACCAGCTTTTTCGCCGATTTTTCATTGTTTAGAGCAAAGATTTGTCAAAACGGTCGAAAGATTTCGCAGATTGGTCTCGGTCTTGCTTTGAAATCTTTATCATCCCTTGAAAGATCTGAAACACTAAAAGATCCCTAAAGAAATCTCCAACAGTAGCAAACATCAAGAAAAAAATTGCCCACGGCTGGAATCGAACCAGCGTCGCCACGGCCACAACGTGGAGTACTAACCACTATACTACGTGGGCCGAGAGAGGGGCGATCTGGGTGGGTTCTTGTACCAACTCGAGGCAATGACTTTCAGACAAAAAGGTTGAGAACTTATTCTAAAACGCCGGTAGATCAAATTGCCATTTCCGTCAAGCCAAATCGGGCTAGAACTGGTACAGGCTTTTCTTTCTTGTACTGTTCTAGACTAATTATAGCTTAGAGTCAGTTTTGTGTCAGTTTAACGCATCTCTTCAATCATAAACTCTTTGATTGATCGGGGAGTGTTTTATAGGAAAATTGAGGCGGAAATTATATGAAATATGAAAGACGGTCATTTACATTAAAGAATTAGATTAACAGAATGCATTTGGTCGTAACAATCTTTTTCAGCTGTCTGATGATCGGCGATGTTTTGTTTCTGAAATCGGTAAGGTAAGGGATCTTGCAGCATTCCGTCTTGTACCAATCAGCGAGATTCCTTGGCCGAGAGTGGAGGCGATCGGGGTGTCTTTTATAGGAAAATTAAAGGGAAATTATTATCTAATCCGTTGATGAACGTTCATTTACATTAAAGGATTAGATTAACAGAATGCAATTGGTTGTAATTGGTTGTAACAATCTTTTTCAACAATTTATTCCAATCTCTCATTGTTCCGATAAAATCCGGAAAACTGGGAGTTCCCCGAAAGCAGAAAAATCCGGGAAATCGTAAAAATCTATCACAGAAAGTTCAAAAAAGGCTAGCGAAAGTCTAGGTTGAAAAATATTTTTATAAAAACCGTACTTTCCTCTAATAGAGCGCCTATTGCTTGAAATCTCAAAAAGAATAGAATCATAAGAATCAATCGATTTAGCTGACAATAAGATCTAGACAATAAGATCTAGAGCTAGATCTAAGATCTCAACACTCTAATCCGGCGGATTAGAGTGTTGAGCTTCTGAGAAACCGTCAAGTATTCGGTTGGAGAGAATGAAATTGACACTTTAAAGAACACCGAACTTTAGAGACCTTTTTATCTTCTTTAAATCGTTTTTTCATCAAAAGGGTTTACTATTTCTCTACAAAAGCTTTTCTTTGCTTTGAGTTCCTTTCTTTGCACAAAGCTTTAAGTTTATGAACTTGCAAACACAGCTAAGAGTCCGACTCAATGTTTAAAAGGTTTCTTTGACATAAACCTCTTTGGCAAAGTCTGATAGAAGTTTTGAAGTCTAGAAGTTTGATAAGTTTTCAGCGTTATTTCATTCTCTTTAACTCGGCTCGTTAAAGTGCACTCTTATTAGAGAAAAGACGGTAAATCGTTGAGAAATTAACAATGATTACAAGTGAACGGGCAATACGATTTCATCACAAAGAAGAACGAGGCTCGCTTGCAGTATTGAGAGAAATGGGGGCAATCGACGAAGTGATCGATGCACTCTGAAAAGATCAAGAAGTAAAGTCTGCTAGAAGAGGGAAACGATCGGAAGAGTCACCGATCGAAGCTCTTTTCACAAGAATTCTACCAGATCCCCATCTTTTCCTGCACCCACTTTCACTCCCATTCTCAACCACATCAATTTTCGGTCGTATTCTCCCTCGGATCGGCGGCTTCACAACAGTTTTCTGCGCTTTTCGACTTTGCGTCGGCGCCTCACACTCGTACAGTTTATTGATCTGAAATTTGGAAAGAATTTAAGAGCAAGAGAATACCTTCTAGAAGTTCTAGAAGCACTAATCTCATTTGAAATGATTGCTGACCTTAATGATATCATTCTTCGACAAGTCATTCGCCGATCCGATCAACTCCGTGAACCCTTCTTCAACAGTTTCAATTGTGTTCTTTCCATTCCTCGAGAAAGCCGTCGAATCATAATGCATTATTGACAAATAATCGTATTTTTCTCCTAAAGAAGAGTCGTTTTGTGAAACTCTTTTCAAATGTACCTTGTAGATCTTGGAGTGAAGCGGCTACTTTGTCAAATTGTGATTTCATTCCGGGTAGAATGTTCTCCCAAACGATTCTGATGTGATCATCCCGATCTGGAAAGGCATTTGGATAGACTTTGGAAGTTGGATAAAGTGATTATAGTTAACGTTTTTAATAGTTTCTGAAAAAAAAGGTAGGTTTGTACAGTATCTTTGGAAAAGTACGGTAGCTTTGGAAAGTGCGAGAGTTTTGAAGAACGTAGAATTAGAAACTACGGTAGATTTGGAAGTACGGAATACAGAGTAGGTATGGAAAACAGTTAGCTATTAGCTTTAGAGGTCCGGCAAATTTAGTACGGTACCCTTGAGAGTACGGTAGCTTTAGCAAAAACACAGTTTCTTTGAAAACCCAACTAAACCCAAAGTTTCAAAATTCTCCAAAAAGAATGCCCCGAACCGGGATCGAACCGGTGACCTTTAGATCTCTGACACGCTTCAGTCTAACGCTCTCCCAACTGAGCTATCGAGGCAGTTGGTGGTATATCGAAAAAGGGATTCAAAAATCAATACCCGCTCTCGAGTGCTCATGCCAAAAGCCGACAGAATGCATCAATTCGTGAACAATTATCTCGTGAAAGAGACAACCGCGTCCAAGTGAGATCTCTTGTTTCCCGCCAGTTCGACCAACTTGGGAATAACAGCTGAAAGTTTTGAGTTGATTGTAAAATGTCGATTCTAGACTATGGAGTTCCAAAGTAGCTTCAATTTTCGTTCAAAGTGAAAACTCAATCTGTTACTGGTGCTACTCTTCAACACCTGCTTTGGCTGTTTCAAAGTGGCTTTTTTGGGGGGTAAGCTGGCCAAAGCTGGCTAGAGCTAGAGCTGGTTAAGGATGGCTTTATAAAGCGTTTACAGTTTAAATATCCAGTCAACACTCACCCATATCCTTTAACAATATTCAAATAGTCAGTCTCTTGATCTCGTGGCTGAAATCGAATACAAGTGCTTCGATGGTACGAGTTGAAAGCTCTTTCGATCGTTCGCGCCTCATTTGGCACTGGAATTGACTTGGTAAAGTCATTTTCGATAAATTTACATAGAATTTCATTGAAATCATCCTTTTAAATGCAAATTTTCCGTAAAACTCACAAAAAGCCGTGTCCATCACGTATGGAATCGCCCCATTCGGCCATCGGAGTTGCCGATTCTTTAGCGCATTGTAATAGATTTGACCACGCTGAAATCAAGGCAAATAGTTGGCTTTCTTGATCAAAAAGTGTTCCTTTTTGTTTGTTTACGAGTGAGAAGACAAGAAGAGTTTCAAATAGAGAAAAAGAAAGACAAACCGCTGACTCGACAAGTCGCGGATTCACATCGATGTCTCCTTGGAATTTACCTGAAAAGGATTTAAACAGTTTCCCCTCCAACTGAATATCTTTACAAGTATTGCATTTCTAAAGGCATTTGATTGTTACATAGAGACGTACAAGTCTTTGAAACTTTCAACTGATCTTAGGTCATATGTATGTCTAGTATAGGCCAGAGTCAGACCTAGGAAGGCCAGAGCTAGGCCAGAGCCAGAGCCTAGGAAGGCCTAGGAAGGCCAGAGCTAGGCCAAGGCCCGTCCGTGTCTGGTCCAGGGTTAAGCTTACGCCAGAATCAAGTTAGGACCAGGTCTAAGCCATGCCTAGCTTACAAAAAGCCAAACGAGCACCAACCAAACCTAGACTACAAACTATCTTCGAAGCATTGTCAGCAATGTTTCCCTTTCACTCACCCGAATTCATCCATTCGTGATGTCGATCATATTTCGGCAAATAATTCTTGAGATCAGAATAAAGATTTCCGTTTGGTTGTGAAAGGGCCAGAGGCACGACCACTAGAATCAGTGCACACCGGCCCATACCATAGGGCACAAATGATTGACACGATAGGTGGATGGGGAGTTCGTGTCTGCAAAAGGTAATAACAATAAACGATAAACAATAACTGAGAGAGGTTCAGTAGAACAATAAGGCCTTGAGAGGGACGATGTGGGAGGGTTGTTGTACCAGTTTTTCCTCAATTCAAGGCAATTATAATTCTTGTTTTCAGTAGAACAATAACCATACTCTAGTTTGAAACAATAACCATACTCTTTTTGAAGGGCATCTTTTAGAAAAGATTTTAATCAGATAAATCAAAGAAATCAATCAGTTCTACACAGAGAGAAGCTCTCTTTTTTCTTAGATTTCAAAGCAATTACAAAAACGATTAAAGGGAAATAACGAAATTGGAATGATCATGTGAAATGCATGTATCCGGATCTCATCGGGCCTTTCAATAGCGGAAAAACATTCAAAAAGGACAAGAAACAAGAAAACATTGCAAATGAGACGTATTTGTCCGAATTTCCGAATTTCTCTTTGCGGAAAACGGCGACTCATTTGACACCCGAAAATTTGCGAAGAAAACGGGGAAAAGGGGAAATCGGTGCGGATTTTTGTGTTCTTCTTTTTCGTCTTTTCTTCAAGACAGAAGAAAATCGACAGTTTGACTTAAAAAGAGAAAAGAATTTGGAAGAAAGAATGGGAAAAGGAGTTTCCTGGCAGGAAGAAGGACTAGCAAGTTTGAATTTACTTCAGATTCACTTCAGATTCAGTAGTTTATCGTATCTAATTGATTCGTACCTTTAGTTGATTCAAAGCATTGATTCAAAATGAAGGAATTATTTGACAGGTTTTGATGAGTTTAGCTTGGTTAACATTATTGCAACAATGCAATAAATTTGGTGATTTATGAATCTATATCTACATCTACATCTACATCTACATCTACATCTAAATTTCTCAATTTTCTCAAAATTTATCTATTTTGGCCTTTTCCGAGCGTCATCTCATCCGCGCTGCCTTCACGAGTTTCCACAATCGAACGGTTTGTTATCTACACTACTGGACAATGAAATATGATATTTGAAAAAAGATCGTCACCTTTGCGCGTCTGTAACTCTCTTGTCTTTACCGTATTTCTAAATATCAATATTACCATTGTGTAGCCCTTGAAAAGAGCTTTCAGAAAATGTATAACACTAATAGTTTAAACTCAAAGACAAGGCAGTTACAGACGCGCGAAAGTGACGATCTTTTTTCAAAGATGATATTTTATTGGCCAGTACTTTATATGATTTCTTCAAAACTTAACTTATGATTCTTGTGATATCTTGAAAATATTCATAAAAAATACTTGAAATTCTCATTATTAGAGAGTGTTTCTTTCAAGAAATCGTTACAAAATAGGAAATGAGTGAATTTTAGCGGAATAAGCTGCGGAATAAGCTGAAGAAGCTGAAGAAGCTGAGTAAGCTGAAGAAGCTGAAGAAGCTGAAGAAGCTGAAGAAGCTGAAGAAGCTGAAGAAGCTGAAGAAGCTGAAGAAGCTGAAGAAGCTGAAGAAGCTGAAGAAGCTGAAGAAGCTGAAGAAGCTGAAGAAGCTGAAGAAGCTGAAGAAGCTGAAGAAGCTGAAGAAGCTGAAGAAGCTGAAGAAGCTGATATTTAAGATATTCAGTTAATTTCGAGCTAAATCGTTTCTGATTTTATACTATTTTTGGAGAGGAAAAGACTCTATTCATTATCTGTTTCGAGATAATGAATAGATACAGATAATAGAGTCTTTTCCTCTCAAGAAATAGTGTGAAAACAGAATGTCTATGTCTATGTGAAACAGAATGCTCGAAACTGTAGTCTATTATCGAATCTCATTTGTGTGACTAGGTGTTTCATAAAATAATTTAAAAAAACGAATCTTATTCAAAATTTAGTTAATTAAAGTTTTATTTTAAAGAACTTTTATCAAAAAGAAGTAAAGATAACTAAATTTGTTGTTTAAATTGTGATTTTTTGCTTTCTTGAAACAAAAAACATTTAACAAAAACGTTTAAATCAATTCTTTTAGAAAACTCTTTGGTTATCAAGCTTTGTTTTAAACTAAAACCTCCACTAAAGCTTTCTAATTCTACAGTAATTCAACCGTAATCCTATAGTTTTATCTCTAGACAAGTTAACGATAGTTTTTAAAAGATTTTGACCGATTTTGAGGAATTTTTTAATCTTATTTTGCTGAAAAATTGGCCTTTTGAATGAAATAAATTGTTTAATTGGTGAATTGACTTTAATTATTGACAATTATTGACAATTAGTGACAATTATTGACAATTATTGACAATTATTGACTTTAAGTGAACGTACGAAAAGAAACAAACAGCCTAATAGTTATTTTTTTGAAAAAGATTCTTTAAATGATTGGACTTTGCCATTAAAATATCTACTGAACAAGGATTGAGGTAAAGGAAGAGTCTAGCAGAGTCTGGGAGAGTCTGGGAGAGTCTGGAGAGTCTGGGAGAGTCGGGCAGAGTCTGGCAGAGTCTGGGAGAGTCTGGCAGAGTCATCGACTGGTCATAGCCATTTCGGACATTCAGAAAGGATTGCGTTATGTTATGGTAATAGTTATGTTCTTGAAAAAGATTCTTTAAATGATTGGACTTTGCTATTAAAATATCTACTGAATAAGGATTGTGGTAAAGGAAGAGTCCGGCAGAGTCCGGCAAAGTCATCGACTGGCCATGGCCACTTCGGACATTCAGAAAAGCGATGGTCTCCCTTTGACTGGCCAAATATGGAGAAAACTGGACAGAAAACAGACAAGAGACAAGAAAGAAAAGAATTTACGGGAAAAAAAAGAAAAGGAAAAGTCTTGACTGGTCTCTTTCACGTGAAAAGGTGTGGTCATCGCTTTTTGCCCTGTGAAGAGACACTTGCGGGAAGTTGAAAGATATTATAGTTGAAAGAATGAAAGAATCTTTACTTTAAGTAGATTTGCAGTCTTTTTTGATTGTCAATAGGTGTAGAGAGGATTTGATTACTGAGGAATCTACTTTCAACTTTGTTCTTTCAACCTTTATAGTTTGTTCAAAAGCTATAGTTTTAGCATTAATCCTGAGCAAGAAATCCTGAAAAAGCAGCAAGAAAGCGGCAAGAATTGAAGACCTGAAAAAGTCGTTAGTTGAAGGGATTAAATCACACGTTTTTCCGCTGTAGATGTATAGACAAATGAATAAATCTATTAAAGAATTGATGACTGAAGACTTAAAGCTGAAGACTTAAAGCTGAAGACTTAAGGCTGAAGACTTAAGGCTGAAGACTTAAGGCTGAAGACTTAAGGCTGAAGACTTAAGACTGAAGACTTAAGACTGATGACCTAAGACTGATGACTTAAGGCTGGCTGGCGAGGGCTGAGACAAGACGAAGACTAAGGATGCAGGCGAGACAGGCGGACTTAGGCGAAGACAGAGCGGTGACTTGCTGAGTAATGAGACTTAAGGCCGATGACTTCTTTAAGACTGAAGACTTACTTAAGACACTCACCAAAGATTTACATTTGCCATTCGCTTTAACTGAATATCTTTAGCCAATCCGGTATACTGTAATGAGTGTAAGAGAGTCTTTTACAGCTTCTCTAAACCATCACCAATCTAGATAATGAAAAGTTCAATCAATCAAACTTTAAGCTTTAAACTCAAACTTTAACAGCTAACTAGCTATATTTCTATATAAAAAAAAAGCTATATTTCTATATCCAAAATTGCGAGTTTCATTCAGGAAAATGTTTCAGCTTTTCTTGAGAATATAAAGCCCATTTGGAGCTACTCAACTAGTTCTTTGAGATAAGAAAAGGGTCAAGAAGAGAGCAAACATTCAAAAAAGATTCCAAGCAAGTTGATGATGGTTGATGGGGAACACAGCACTCAAAAGTTGATGATGGCTCAAAAGGAACCACGTCAAAAGTGATTCATGAAGTGGATTGGATGGAAGAGATTAGAATTCATCAATGTTTTTGATTAGATAACTTTTGATTAGAATAACTTTTGATTTTAAAAGTAAATAGTCAAATAAAGTAATAGCTGTAGAGGAAAACGGAAAAAGGAGCAAAACGGAAAGCTTTTTGTAAGTCTAGAATTCTTTTTCAATAGTGAATCATTCAAAAAAGCTGAAGCTTTAAAAACTGAAGCTTAGAAGCTAAAGCTTTAAAAAACTGAAGCTTTTAAAAAGCTGAAGCGACAGGAATCGAACCCGGATGGAAAGCTCGATGGTTGACTGGTAGTCTAAGGAACTTCTTAATGAAATGAGTACTGTAATAGGTAATAGGTTTTTAGTAATAAGTACCGAGAATGGAATGGGTACTGAAATAAGATTTGACTTGAAAACTTGTAGACAAAGATCAGACTCTTTCAATCCATAAAAGCTTTGAAAGATTGAGGAAAGAATGATTGAAAGAAATGGAAGAAATCCCCGATGACAGCTCAATGAACGCCTCCGAATCTTTCTCTCTCTTTTCACTCACAAAAAGTGGCACTTCCCATTTTAGATTGAAATTTCCTGTATTGGGAAAGAGATATGGAAATGGGGATGGTTATAGATGAGGGTCAAATGTTTTGAGTTGAACTGGAATTGTTGAACTGGAATTCTAAACATCAACCCCTCAATTCAGAAGTGTTTTCAAAGTGTTTTTATTGATATTGTTGAATTTAATGAAGTTTGAAGATTTAGGGTTTATTAAGTGAGCGAGTTTGCGAAGTTTGAAGAGAAGTTTGAAGAGAAGTTTGAAGAGAAGTTTGAAGCGGAATTTGAAGCCAAGTTTGAAGCGAAGTTTGAACCGAAGTTTGAAGCGAAGTGAAGCCAAGTTTGAAGCCAAGTTTGAAGCGAAATTTGAAGCCAAGTTTGAAGCCAAGTTTGAAGCCAAGTTTGAAGCGAAGTTTGAAGCAAACTTTGAAGATTTAGCGTTTATTAAGTGAGCGAAATGCACAGCTACTATAGTTTTTTTCCATTTTTTGAGTCTTTTCATGGTTGTTAACCTTAAATTGTTCTTTATTCATCTCTCTTTTATTTATCAATCTTAAATTTTTCTTTATTCATAAATAGCTCAAAGAAGAAAAGAATTGGAAAAGTTGAAAGCAGAAAGCAAACCATTGAAGAACTCAAAAAATTGTTCTGAGGGAATTTTAGAAAAATACCCAGAGCTGCGACAGGAATCGAACCTGGGTGGAAAGCTCGGTGGCTGATTGATAGTCTAAGGCGCTATCCCCAGGCCACCTTTGCTGCTTGCCCTCCTGGCTTGGCATCGCCTTATAGGTGAGTTCAGCGTTTGTGGAACGTTGCCTTGCAAGTAGTCCGTTCCTTGCAAGTAGTCATTTTCCTCTTAATCCTTGAAGTTAATCCCCTCTAGAGGCAAGGAGATCAAGTCCATTGTGGTGTAATGCTTAGCACGGTTTTCCGGTAGGCGAAAGGTCGGGGGGTTCGAGTCCCGGTGGTAAGTTTTTGATCTGCGCTAGTTCCAACTTTTAGACCTCAAAACGATAGAAGAACCAGTTCCAATGAAAGTGATTCCTTTCACTAGACTCCTTGGGTCACTCGTGCAAATATCATCCATCAAAAAGCCAGTTTTCTCTTTAGTTTTCTCTTTTCACAATATTTATTCTACGACTACTACCCGTTTGATGGCAAGATAAAGAAAAAAAACAAGATTTCAATTCTCATTCGATTTCGACAATTCGCAGAATCTCTTCCGGGTCCTGCGGCTCGTATTCATCAGGCTCTAAACGGGGTTTTACAATCATTATCGCAGTTTTACAGTTTTACAATCATTATAGCAAGTCATAATCGAAGGCTATTATCCAAATTTTTCAAAAATCCAACAATTCTCCTACCAATAGTGAGCTTTTTTTCTTCAGTAGTCTCGATTTCCACAGATTTCTCGATTTTTCGCGAGCCGAGCTCAAGAATTTGGCGGAATTTTGAGATTTTTTCATCTTTCCCCATCATTTGACAATTGTAGAGCTTGTTGATCTGGATTAGAATGCTTTAATGAACTGCGAGAAGCTATAGAGCTATAGAGTAATACTTTAATGGACTTGGAGACACTATAGAGCTATAGAGTAATGCTTTAGTGGACTTGGAGAAGCTATAGAGCTATAGAGTAATACTTTAATGGACTTGGAGACGCTATAGAGCTATAGAGAAAGATTACGGTAGCTTTCAGGATTCAGGAAACTAGTCTTGATCCTGAAAACTAGTCTAATTTTATCTCTAGAAATGATGATTACAATAGCAAAGGTTGAGGCTTTGTAAAAGGGATTAGAGTTTAAGAAATACTATCAAATTCTTGACTCAGATTCTTTCTTACTTTTCTTATATCACCATAGCTGAGATCCGTGCCAGTTCCCATCAAATCCGTCAATTTCTCATCTTTACTTTCAATCGAATATCGGGCATTTGTAGCAAAAGCCGTCGCCTCATAGTGCATCACAGAGAAGTAATCGTAAGGTTCATCTAGATTTAAAATTCATCTAGATTTAAAGTTCATCTAGATTTGAAGTTTATCTAGATTTAAAGTTCATCTAGATTTGTAGTTCATATAGGTTTGAAGTTCATCTAGATTTAAAGTTCATCTAGAGAAGTTCATTTAGATTTAAAGTTCATCTAGATTTAAAGTTCATCTAGATTTAAAGTTCATCTAGATTTAAAGTTCATCTAGTTTTTCAAACGATCAAAGTTTTTCTTTGTACCTAATAGATCTTGAATAAAACGTGGGATTTTGTCGAATTGAGATTTCGCTCCAGGAATGATGTTTGCCCAGTTGATTTGCACGTGATCATCTCTGTCTAGATAATGAAGTGATTTCATTGAAATCATTAAAAAGTAAGTAATCATTGAAGTTAGTCATTTACTTTCTTATGATTCTCAGCCATCCAAAAAGTTCAAGGTTTTCAAGAAGATTTTCAAGTAGATTTCCAAGAAATACCTGCTCTTGAATGTTCATGCCAAAATCCAACAGAATGCATCAACTCGTGGACGATCGTTTCATGATGATGACATCCAAGACCAAGCGAGATTTCTTGTTTCCCGCCAGTTCGCCCGATTTGAGAATAACATCTAGAGAAGTTGATAACTGTTCGTTAAAGTACTACCAAAGGCTCTAGAAGGCTCTAGAAGCCAGCCCTGGATCCTGGACTTACTTGACTACTTGGCCTAGGCTTTCTAGGCTCTAGAAGCCAGCCCTGGATCCTGGACTTACTTGACTACTTGACCTAGGCTTTCTAGGCTCTAGAAGCCAGCCCTGGATCCTGGACTTATTTGACTACCTGGCCCTGGATCCTGGCTTTAAGTAAGCCAAAAAGTTCCCAGGTCCAGCAGGAAGCTTTTGGACTTGGCACTGACCAAGACGTGCCTAGTCAATTGAAAAAGCTACTATCCGATACTACAGTATCCTTGTAATATACCTAACTATCCTATCAGTAAACGGTAGCTAAGCATATCAGGATATTGTTAAACAAATTTCTCTATGGCTCATTTAAAAACGAACCCTTTTCCTCTAACAATATTGAGATAATCCTGTTCATATCTTCTTTTGTGTCGAAATCGAATGCACTAAAAAGAAAAGATTTCAAATTTCTTTCATTATCAAATCTAGCAAACATTTTCCTATTATAGATAATTATAAAGATAGATATAGAGTACTGGACAATGAAATATGATATTTGAAAAAAGATCGTCACCTTTGCACGTCTGTAACTCTCTTGTCGTTACCGTATTTCTAAATATCAATATTACCATTGTGTAGCCCTTGAAAAGAGCTTTCAGAAAATGTATAACACTAATAGTTTAAACTCAAAGACAAGGCAGTTACAGACGCGCGAAAGTGACGATCTTTTTTCACTCTCTAATAATAAGAATTTCAAGTATTTTTTATGAATACTTTCAAGATATCACAAGAATCATAAGTTAAGTTTTGAAGAAATCAGATATTCTTCAGCCTCTTCAGCTTCTTCAGCTTCTTCAGCTTCTTCTCAGCTTCTTCAGCTTCTTCAGCTTCTTCAGCTTCTTCAGCTTACTCAGCTTACTCAGCTTATTTTTAAATTCACTCATTTCCTATTTTGTAACGATTTCTTGAAAGAAACACTCTCTAATAATGAGAATTTCAAGTATTTTTTATGAATATTTTCAAGATATCACAAGAATCATAAGTTAAGTTTTGAAGAAATCATTTACAGTACTGGACAATGAAATATGATATTTGAAAAAAGATCGTCACTTTCGCGCGTCTGTAACTGCCTTGTCTTTGAGTTTAAACTATTAGTGTTAGACATTTTCTGAAAGCTCTTTTCAAGGGCTACACAATGGTAATATTGATATTTAGAAATACGGTAAAGAGAAGAGAGTTACAGACGTGCAAAGGTGACGATCTTTTTTCGAATATCATATTTCATTGTCCAGTAGTGTAGATAACAAACCGTTCGATTGTGGAAACTCGTGAAGGCAGCGCGGATGAGATGACGCTCGGAAAAGGCCAAAATAGATAAATTTTGAGAAAATTGAGATTCAATTTGAGATCTCAATTCGAGATCTCAATTTTATCAGAAATCAGCAAAACATTTTAAGCAGCATTTTAAGCTTTAACTTGTACATAAGACTTACAAAAAGCTGAATCGATTACATAGGGAATCTCTCCATTCGGCCAGGTTTGTTCTCTATTTTTGACGGCATTAAAATAGACAAATTCATCCTAAAATCAAAATTTTAAAGCTAAAAAAGGTATAAATACTGGTTCTCGAAGAAGTGAGCTGTCAACATCAATGTCTCCTTGATATTTTCCTAAAAGATTGATTGTGTTAGGAAGTTTTAAACAGTTTAAAGTTTTAAACAGTTCACAAAACAAAGACAAACCCGAGTAAAGCCACGGTTGAAGTGGTCTCTCAACGAGATCAAAATGAGTGATGTCGACAAATGAATGAGCTTTATTGAATTGAAAAGTGATGAGAAATAAAGTCAACCAAAATCTTTTGATCCGGCCAACATATGGAAGCATATATCTAAATGTGAGTTGCTAAATTGAAAGTTCAAGTCGTTCAAGTCAGTTAAATTGAAAGTTTAAGTCGTTCAAGTCGTTGAAGGCAGTTAAATTGAAAGTTTAAGTCGTTCAAGTCGTTCAAGTCAGTTAAATTGAAAGTTTAAGTCGTTGAAGGCAGTTAAATTGAAAGTTCAAGTTTTGAAAGTTAAAAGTTAAGTCAAACTTTCAAATAAGCCTTGAAAATAAGCTAAACAAAAGGATAGACCAGGAAAAGAATCATTTTCAGAAAAAAGATCATTTTCATCTCAAAGAAAAAACGAAACAGACGATTATTTGAATAGTTGCACGGACGTTTTTGTGTTTGCACAAAGGGGAAGAGAGGAAAACAATGGATTCTCACCCTGCCGTTTGTCGTTTGGGAAATGAGAATAGGAAAGGATTTTTGAAGAGAAATTGAAGAATTTTGTGCATCAGAAAGATGCGTTTACATGACCGGCTGTACTTTGTGTTGAAAAAGTGGAAACACATCGTTTCTGGTAGAGTAAAATGAATGGTTTCTCTCAAAACAAGCTGACAAGCCGAAATCTGTGTGTACCTTTGATGTCGCTCGTAAGAAAAAACGGCATCTGGCAAACGGCTCGTCTGGATAGGGCGACAGACGCTCCGCTCTTTGTTTAATTGCCCAAGTTGGATTTAATCACCCAATTATCAATTATCAGCTTGAGGGTAGCATAACCTCATGGAGGGGGAGACGCCACGAATGTGTGTACCCTTTGTGTGTCTCATAGGAAAAAGTGGCTTCTGGCACACGACTCTTCCACATAGGGGGACAGAGAGACCTCTGCTTTGGTTTTATTACCCAAGTTTTTGGCTCGAACTCGGTAATGAAACCAAAGGAATTAAATCGTGTTTTGACGAAGACTCAACGAAGACCTATAGTTTTTGAATTGATATTTATTCTAAATAGCAATGTTGCATTGCTGACAAAATGATATGTTAATGTTACCAAAAACCGTCCACGGAATCAATTGAACCGAATTAATTACACAAGTTTTTGTGCGTGCTCTATCTATCGCTCGTAGGAATAAGCGGGCACCTGGCGCAGAGTCAGTGGTGTAGGATTGCCAGACTTACGTAATTAAACCAAGCTAGAAACTCGATTTTCACAGAGAGAAACCTATTTTTCGATTGAATAAGATTTATTAGTGAATAATAGAAAGATTTCTAATGATTCTAGAACTTGACGCAATAGTGCTCATCTTAAAAACTTAGAAAACTTAGAAAACACTTGAACTTGTCAATTCTTAACTTCAAAACTTGTCAATCCTTAAGTTAATAGCGAAAGAAAATTAAAAATCTCTAGAAAATCGAAGACCAGCGGAAAGTCTTAAAGCGCAAGTGGTCTAAAAAGTGAAATCAATTGAATGAAGGCGATTGAATGGACGGAGAGGTGTTCTCGGAGAGTTGGACAAAAAGGAGAAGATTAAAAGAGTCAGGCGTGCCGTGGCGATCAAATGTGAAACAAAAACGGGAGAGGAGAAGTGGACGAGATGATTTCGGTGTGTGGTTGGTGAATGTGACGAAGTGAAGGACTGTACAAAGAGACAAAAGGGAAAGAGATGCGGCGGGTTCTCTTGCGAGACTCTTCCATCATTGTGTGATTCTGCCCTTTTGATTCAGGTCTTGATTTTTGCGTGCAAAGGGAAAATTGCGTGCAAAGGAAAATTTACGTAAGCAGTGTGTCCAAGCAGTGTGTCCAAGCAGTGTGGCCAAGCAGCGTGGCCAAGCAACGTGGCCAAGCAGTGTGACCAAGTTCTAAAGTCATTATCAATCTTTATAGGGGCCTAAACAGGGGCAGACGAAAGAAGGAAAAGAATAAAGAACGAACTTGAGAAATTGAGGGAGATTTTGCAGGAAATAGCTTTTTCTGATTCAAATTTTATTGCAAATTTGAAAAGGCTAATCATTTAGCTCCGAAGCTACGTTTTGTTGATGCTAAAAGGGATTGATCAGATCCCCAGTCGGTTTAACGACCTCACAGTTCCTCTAATGGGGTTTCCAAATCCAAATACCCGAAACTCTCTTTATATCTTCACAAAAAAATTCAGATGCAGAATCGTTATATATTTCTTTTCAAATATGGCTTTAAATTTTACTGTCGAGAAAATATTAGTAGGTTTTAAGAGTCTAGATTAAACTTTTTTTTAAGCCTAGATTTATTCATTGAATCCTCACAAGTCTAAAGTCAAGATTTTCAAACGATCTGAAGGCTATGATCACAGAATGCCATTCTATTAGAGGTCTGGGGGATAGTGCTTTAGACTATCAGTCAACCATCGAGCTTTCCATCCGGATTTGATTCCTATGGCAGCTCTAATCTTGGTTTTTTCTAAACCGATCTGAAGGTTATGAGCACAGAATGCCATTCTATTAGAGACCCTCATTCCAATATAGCATTTACAATACTTTAAAGTGTAGATATGCACATTAGATTAAGCTTGACTTTGGGGAAAGCTTTCCCCAAAGTCAAGCTTTCCCCAAAGTCAAGCTTTCCCCAAAGTCAAGCTTTCCCCAAAGTCAAGCTTTCCCCAAAGTCAAGCTTTCCCCAAAGTCAAGCTTTCCCCAAAGTCAAGCTTTCCCCAAAGTCAAGCTTTCCCCAAAGTCAAGCTTTCCCCAAAGTCAAGCTTTCCCCAAAGTCAAGCTTTCCCCAAAGTCAAGCTTTCCCCAAAGTCAAGCTTTCCCCAAAGTCAAGCTTTCCCCAAAGTCAAGCTTTCCCCAAAGTCAAGCTTTCCCCAAAGTCAAGCTTTCCCCAAAGTCAAGCTTTCCCCAAAGTCAAGCTTTCCCCATAACACAGAATTCCATTCTATTAGAGACTCTCATTCTAATACAGCATTTACAATCGTTTAAATTTTAGATATGCACATTTACCTGGATAAGTATACAAGCAGGAATCAAGCTCTGATTCGCTTGTGATTGAAATTCGTGATTGAATATGTGACTGAATATTTGATTGAAATTCGCTACATTTCACAGCTTAGATATGGTAACTAATGCCATCGAAAACCTTCCGAAAAATTTGCTACATTTTGTGTCCCCTTTTCAGAATGGATGATCGCCAGCGTGCACTCTCAATCTCTCTCCCCTTCTCTTCCCCTTCTTCATCACATTTCAAGCTTTCCATCCGACCTTTTGCCTCTCAAGGATTTTCGAGACTTCTTCCGAATGTTCTTCCAGTTTCTCAATCCAAAAGATCCAACAAATTCTTCTTCAAATGATGAGTAACGCTTTTTAAACAACGATTGACTAGTTTTAAAAGTCAACAAAAGGTTAAGCGGCTGATTCATCGCGTCAGAGTTGCGGAAGGGTTTCAATTTTTATGTACAAAATTTCGCAATCTAACAAGTGCGCTAGTTTTTGAATTGTAAAAAGATACATGGCTTTGAAGCTTCAGGAATCAAGGAAAGAAATTAAATTTGCTAAAAGTTTATAGAAATTTCCAATTTTTCATTTAGAATGCTAGTTAAAAGTCGATTTTTTCGATTTTTTTCAGTTTTTACTCAAAATTTCGTTTTTCTAGTTTCAATTCAATGGGCTTTTTGAGTCTAATTCGATTATTTGGTCAAAGTTTGCAGTTAAATGGGGAAATTTGATGTTAAATGATGAGTAACTGAGGTCAATTTCTTCTAAATCTATTGGCAATTGGCAGGATTAACCGATTGTGAAACAAAACGAATGGAGAACTAAAGTTCATTCAGTTTAAGTTTATCCCTAAAAGCTGAGCAATTTGGAAGAGTTTGAGTCTATTTTTGTTCTATATCTTGACTCAAGTAAATCTTACGGTAAAAGGAGAGATCAAGCTGGATGGCCAACACTAGAAGTCACCTCCTACACCCACTTCGGAAGAAGCATCAGCATAGAGGGAGACCTAAGACCAGAAGTCGCCAGAAGAAGACGAGCGGCCTGGACAGCACTAGGAAGCATCAAAGAAGTCACAAAGATTTGAAGACAGACAGAAGACAGACAGACATCTTCGACACACAGAAGACAGACAGACAGAGGACAGACAGAGGACAGACAGAAGACAGACAGACATCTTCGACACACAGAAGACAGACAGACAGAGGACAGACAGAAAAAAGATTGAGTACACCTTGTGGCCACTAATTGAAAGAATTCTTTCTGATTTGTGTATGAAAGCTTAACGAAAAAAAGCTTTATCACATGATTTTTGGTGAACTTTTGAAGAAGACCATGAGTTTTTTCGAATTCAACTGAAAAGCTAAAAGTTAGAGGGGTTTTCTTTGATATATGCATGTCGTTTTTGTCAAAACTGATACTGCCAACTTGTTTAAAGCGTTTATCCCTAAAAGCTGAGCAATTTGGAAGAGTTTGAGTCTATTTTTATCTATATCTTGACTCAAGTAAATCTTACGGTAAATCTTCTTGAAAATATCAATTTTGAAATTCTAATAAATCCTTTTTCCAATAATGGCTTCTTTCATTTAGTCAATCTGCAAATTTCAATTAAATTTTCACAAGTTTACTTCCTTTTTTATAGAACCCAATTTTTAAAATCACTTAAATTAGGGTGTCTGCTACAAATTGAGGAAGGGGATAAGCAAGTAATGAATACTGTAATTAGTATTGGAGACTTTCAAAATTTGTTCTGACTTCTCAAATCCCGAAGGGTCATGTGATTTTCTAATTACATTCGAAAAGTGTTTTGCTTCCAAGATGAGCTTTTGAGAAGATGAAGAAGAAGAGAAGGATGCTATGGAGAAGAATCCTATGGAGAAGAATGCTATGGAGAAGAACGCTATGGCAAATACCTCTCTAATAGTAGTGCACCCAGAGCGTTGCCCAAATTCCTCGCAATCTCGAAAACCACTTATCAAAAAAGGATGTAATCAACAATTTGCACTCGTAAATCTTTTCCCTTTCAATATTTACTTTCATTAATCTTTGAGCAACGAATAGAGAATAGAGAAGGCATATTTTGATGAGAAATCGACACAATT